AATGGTCTTTATTTGAAGGAAATCGGCCTAATAGTTGTTGAGTAATGATTTTTTAAAGTTAAAGTATTTTAAATTCATTTAAATTAGAAAAAAAATTTTTATTCATTTATTTTAAATTTTTTTTAGTGCACTTGATTTGTCTCAATGAGATGAACAAGATGATCTAAAATTTGTCAAGTTGTCACGACATGACTTTTTTTTGTCGCCTTGTGTAATATTATTTCCCATAAGTAAACAAGTACGTAAAAGAGAAAGTAAGATTGGTGGGCTTGGATCCACGAGTGTCAACTCCGAACGTCCTCTGCTAGTTGTTCACCAGGCCTCGGAATCTCTCCTAAAATAGAGCGGCAAGAAAGATATCTGACGTCATACGCAGGTGTACGCCAACGCGTTTCGTTATTTGCCACCAGTGACACTAAATGCAATTTAATATATATTTGAGGAGAAAAATTCAATCATGTCTTTGACCCATTTCGCGGTTTTCGTGTGCAAGATTCTAAATCGGTCGCACACAGTGGGTATTTTTAGAGGGTTACTTTTCTAGTTGTTTACAAGGTTCAGATGGAACGGCCTTGCCGATTTTTCGCTAAATATGGTACTAGTCGACGACGCAATCCTTGAAGCAAAAAAGGAAGCAAACCAGACGCGCTTTTTAAATAAACTTCTTTATTACTCTCAAGTTACAAAATAATTAGTCATTAATTTAGCGCGTCGTTACTTAGGAACAACAATAACAACAAATTAAAATCTTTTAAAAAAATAAATAATATCTGCAAGGCGATTTCATGTACTGAGTCGGCTTTAATTATATACACTTTTTCGACGATTATGTACAATTAATTAGATCTTTGAGCGTTGCAAGTCAGACTTAAAAATACATCTCCGACCCGCGGTTGCGTTATAATACAGTTTTTTAATAAGCATTATTTACATTCAATTACAAAAATATCTCATTCACTCGTTGTACTAAAACGTACAAACACTTATACTCCTTTCAAAGAATTTGCTTAATTAGGAAGAGTATCGTATAGTATATCTTTAGCCGATTGTGTGAGTGTATCAGGAAACCTGATATCAAAATTAACTATCAAATCGCCCCTGCGTGAGGGCTCTTTAGGTAGGGGAAGACCATATCCCTGGATACGTCTCACCGTATTTGGTTTAATAATTTCCGACGTGTAATGTAGAGGTATCTTCGTGGAAGACATTGTAGGAACCTCAATCGTGCATCCACACAAAGCCTGTAACCATGACACGTGCAATGTCACAATCAAAATTTGATAACAATTCAAATACCTGTTTGAGTGAGATTTTCGCCGTATATCTGATATCGCTACCTTCACGTTTAAACAAAGGATGCGGCTTATCCCTTATGATAAAAACAATATCAGCGGGTATTTTATTCCTCCCTTGGTCACCCTCGCGTTGGAATGTAATTTTCGTCCCCGCCTTCCACCCCGGCTTCACATTTATCGTCAACACCTTATCCTCCTTTTTGGCCGTCCCATCCGCTTGTAGTACTTTCCTACTGATTTTCATTTTTTTGGTACACCCTTTGGTGATGTCCTCCAACGAGACGTAGAGATCGTGTTCAATGGGCGGGTCCTGGACCTTATCCTTGCTACGATTGGGGGTACCATGAAAATTGAAAGAGTGGCTCCGGAAAGCCCCGCCCGGGCCCGACCTAGTCGGCCCCACGTTAAGGGACGCGAAGGGATCATCCACGTCCATATCGTCGTCCGGGAAGCCAAACATGCTGTGATTTCCGCCGAAAAAAGCCGCGAAGGGACTTGCATTTCCGAAAAACTGGGCAAAAGTTGCGCGAGGGTCTCCATGGTAGGTGTAACTGAAGCTGGAGTTGCCGAAACCGGAGTTACCGGGAACTCCGCCCTTGAGACCCTCCTCGCCGTAGCTGTCGTAAATGTCGCGCTTTTTCTTATCAGAGAGGACTTCGTAAGCTTCGGCGACTTCTTTGAAGCGTTCCTCGGCCCCAGGGGTTTTGTTCTTGTCGGGGTGGTATTTAAGGGCGAGTTTTCGGTAGGCCTTTTTGATGTCGTCGTCACTGGCGCCTTTGCTAAGTCCGAGGATTTTGTAGTAATCTTTTCCCATTTTTGGCGATTTTTTATTTAAACACTAGGGTGGAGAAACACACCCGATTGTCACACGAAACGAAAATAATGCGGAGTTAAGCGCGCAACAACCGACAGCCAAATGAACTGCGATTTCGTGCTCGAGCTGCTTATATTTAAAGGTTATAAATTTCTAAATTCGCGACTCTTCTGGAATATTCCGGAAGCATTTATTACATTGCCGTCACTGACAACTTTACGACTTACTGACCTGTTTTACACCCTTATTCACAACATAATTAAACTAAATTAGCGAAAATAATCATCCCCACACACTGTAGCTTCGAACTAAAACAAACACTTGGCATGACAGTGCCTTTTTACCCATTGGAAAATATTCAGAAAAAAAACTCGACTACGCCACTGGCTAGTTATGTCAAAGCGCGGAAATTTGAAAAACTGAATCAAATCTTTACTTATTTTTTTAATCAAACAACTGAATTAACAAAAAAAGTGTAAATTTGTTTAAAACAATCAAGTAAAGTCTTTTTGTTGAGTCTTAACTCCAAAAAAATTAATTTTATTAAAAGCAAAATCTGGCTAGAGTTTTTGTGGTCTAGGTTGGTAGCAAATATTCAAGCCGTTGGGTAAGAAAAACAAAGCACTGGATTTTTAATGTCTTCCCTGTTGTATTAAAAGTTGCCTACCGCAAACAATTTTTTTTAAATATGCACATATTTTCTCGTTTTTTATTAATAATTACAATTCTAATATGCTTAACAGTATTATTGTTTTGACGACATTGCACATCGTGTGACAAAATATCTTTTTTTATAAACTCTTGATTGCTTATTTGTACAAAGCATTATTTTACAGCGTTTTGCTCTTAATGTGATTGTTTTAGATTTTTTTATTTGTTTAATGACGTTTTTTGTGAAAGTTTAGTTCAAAATTTAATTTCAAACCTTTATTAAAAAAACAACGCTACATTTACATTTTTTAGAGTCAAATATGGCACAAATTTAAATTTTCTATATAAAGAAAAAGAATTCTGTGTTACACTGGATTCCAGTGACAAATTTAGTGCCAAAAACGCAAGGATGGTAAACTGATAGTTTTATCATCCTTGCCAAAAACGCCCCTTTTTTAGTACTATTGTGGTGCACAGATGTATTGTTGATTGCATAATGTAATGCGCACAGAAAAAAAGCTCAAAAAAAAGCCCATGTCGAATAAAACTCACACGGAAAAAAGCTCACAAGGAAAGAAACGCACAGTGAAAAAATCCCACATGGAAAGAAACCCACACCGAAAAAAGCCCACACGGATAAAAACTCACATCAGAAATAGCTCACACCGAAAAATACTCACTTAGGTACCAAAAAACTCACATACAAGAAAACCCTCAGAGAAAGAAGCGGTGGTTGATGTAAATGGGTATTACGTTTTCTCTCTAGTTTCTATTCGTTAGTAAACTCTTTTTTTGTGCTCCTCTACTTTAAAGATAACATTTCCTTTTAGTTTATGGGGTTTTTCGGCATCTTTTTCAAATTCAAAACTCGCCTTGCTGCGAGAAGTTTCAATAGCGTAGTGATAATTTTCTTAAATAAAAAAATTAACAAATAAAATTGAATTGACATTGCACAAAAAATTTTTGCACCATATCAAAAATTTTCTAAATCTTTAACAGATCGGGGTGGCAAGCAATAATAAATAATAAAAAAATACAGAAGTTAAGTCTGTCAACGACTTTAAATCGATTTTTATTTTTGGTAGATATATTCTATAGTTTCTGTAATCAAATTTTTTAGAAAAAGTAGATAGTGTGCTATTTAACATTATAAAACTGGGGACGGCGGCTTGGGGGCACACAAAATTTTATACAATACTTATTGTCAGTTTGACCAACGATAAATAAATCGTCAGACATAGTTATCCGAACAATATTTTATCTTTATTTATTAAATAAATATTTAATATTTTTTATAAATATATTTTTAAAAAATTGTTCACTAGTTTCACCAAACTTTCTTTAGTTATTATCAAGTTAGTTACCTGAATACGATGTTTATAATAATGACAGTACAAAAAATTTTAAATTTGAGAGTTGTGCGTTAACAGGGGGCGTTAATTTTTACTTGTTTTTCTTTTGTAAATTGCAAAACTGCAGCACTCATTTGATGGAGATTTTAAAAAAAAAAACATTTTTTTAAATTGAGTTCTATTATTTTACTTTTTGTTTCTAATTTTTCTTAAGGACTTTCAACATGTACTACTTTCTTTACACTTTTTAGTGAACACACATTAACCACTTTTGAATTTTTTTACTGTTATTTATTGATTTTTTTATACTATTTTAAAAATTATATTGTTTTTGAATGTTCTAAATATTAAATACATTTAATTCAACACGAATAGATAAGAAGAAATCGTTTCGTGTAATTGTTCTCAACTATACCAACAAATGTACAGAAAATTTGAAAAAAAGCTTTTTATGTTTTTTTATTTATTTAAAGACGATTAATTTAATCATTTTTTTGTTTATGTACCTATTGAAAATATGGCTTAAGTCCTACAGACTCAAAAAAGTGCATAAATCGTTAAGACGTGTTTGAGAAAAATTGAATTTCTTGAATTTTGTAAAAATCATCGATTTATGTTAAGTCGCAAAAACGCTTGAATTATAGTCTTCCAGACGTAATGCAACAGGTTAAAATGCTCTACGAATAATCGTTTCTGAGATATTGAATAATATATGATTACTATGTTACAATGTAAAGCTACGTTTTGCTGAAACAAAGTTAAAAAAATTGTAGTTTTTTGAAGCCCTTCAAAATTCAAAACCTAAGAATTTTTCAGTTTGCGAAATATCAAGTGAATAAAAAGTATGGAACCAAGCGTTTTTTTCGTAAACTGAGCACTTTATGAAAAAAAAAATTAGTGTAGCGTACAATTAAAATGTGACCATTTATCAAGAATAACATTTTTCGATTTTTTTTTAGTTTTCGAGTTTTTTTATGATCTAAAAATGACCTCTAATTAAATAAAATTGTTTTTTAGCCATTACTTATTTTTTAATAAATTGCTAAAAATTTTCTAAAAATTTTAGGAATTTATCGCTGGCTGGGGTTTTTGTGGTGTAGGTTGGTAGCAAATAATCAACAAGCGGTTGTATGTCATTGCAGTTGCATAAATATTGACAGGGAGCGGCATCCACTGATTTATTTATAAAAAAATTGTGATTTTTGTAAGTAAATTACAATTGGGATTAATTTAGTGTAATTAATTGGGTGCAATTTAAGTGTTAAACCATGGATATCAATTTGTCGGCCTTTCGTGAACCTAGGGGGGTGATGCGAGTTATACATTTTGTAAGTATCAATAACTGACTCATATTGTTGTTTTCATATTGTATAATAGGCGCAATTCTGTATGTTTGTTAAGTTTTAGTGAGTTACGAGAAATCAATAGTGATTTTTTTTCAGATATTCTCGATCTGCGCTTTCGCTACTATAACAGGATACACAGGTTATACACAAATCACCTGCAAAGATGACTCAGTGAAGAAAGAATTCGAGTACCCCTTTGATGTGTATTACCCGAGTATAAATGTCTCCAACTGTGTGACATCTCTGACGTTTGGGTATTCTTCAGACGCTAGATACTTCGTGGCAACTGGGGTATTGGCGATGTTATACTCACTGGCAATATCAATCGTGTATATAAAATTCGATGAAATGTACAAAAGCAATAACCAACTTCCTATGATTGTAAGTGGTGGTCAAAATCAAGTCAGGTTACTAGTTTCCTTTCCAGGACTTTGTTATAACTGTTATTTTCGGCGTTTTGTGGATATCAAGCAGCGCAGCTTGGGCCACCGGTCTCTCAGGTCTCAAAAGTATGGCTGAACCAACTCTAGTAAGTTCCACTTGCTTGGCAGCGAATTGCAAAGCTTCGACAAGCAATTTCTCAACTTTGAACATATCTGTGGTAAGTGGCCCCCAGTGGGAGAGAGCAGAGCTCAATTCGTTGTTTTAGATTTTCGGATTTTTGAATTTCTTTCTCTGGGCCGCAGACTTGTGGTTTTTGTATAAAGAAACATCCTGGTTTCCAGGGAATCAGCCTCAGACAACAAGCGGGGTTTAAGGCGAATCTTGAACTGGTTTTTTTTCAACTAGTCACTTATTTATGCACAATTGTTTAATTGAGTTTTAGGAGGTTAGATAGGGATGTTAGCACAAGGAGTTTGTCTAAACCATGCTTTTCAAGTGTGGGTGCATATTCCCCAATTGGATTTTTTCCCTCCATTATTTGATATTACTTAAGTTTATTTCCATCCATTTTTTTTAGACTGATTGGTGTAGTTTTCTCGAATTTTCGTTACTTGTAGTGGGAAAGTAGTTCAAAACGCCATAAATGTTAACTCCCTTAGCCATGTCAAGTACAATGTGGTAGGGATTAGTTTGTTTCCAATAACTTAGTATTCAAAACATGATATAATTATTACAGTTTTATTAACCGTTTTAAATGTTTAATATGTTAATAAGTCATGTGCACAATGTGCATAACATTTTAACTACCATATAGGCCTGTTTTTTTAGGTACAAAACCAATAAATTTTAGAATTATTAAAATGAGTCTTAAATGAATTCTTGATAAAAAATACCTGCTATAATAAAAATCATTTAACACCCGAAACATGCCATTCAGAACGAAAACAAGTTTGATAAAGAATGATTTTAGGCCCAAAATCAATAGTTAAATAACAACATAAAAAATATACATAACTAACAAGAAAAATTGAGAAAATTCAGTTTGGAACACCGCTTTAATCTCTTCATATTGTTTTTTAAATCGTTAATACGTTTTTCTTTTAAGGTTATTATAATGAAGCATTTGTTCCTCTATTGTCTTTGCCTAAGGTCTCTAAATTTCACAAATATTTTTTGTCAGTCCCTCTTTTGTTTTTTACTAAACTACTAATATTGGAATGAAATAGGCAAATAAACAGACCAATGTTTGGGGCTCATTGCTACTTCTACGTCTCAAGACTTGACAAGTTTGCTAACAGTTTAAACTTGAGGAAATTAAAAAAATTAAATAAAAATACAGTTATTTGTCAATATGAATACTACCTTGTGTCCTACCCTACGTTACGCCTATGGTGTGTGTATTACATTACAGATTTGTTGTCAATCTTAAAAATCGGTCAGTTTTTTTAAAATTTAACCATTTTATCTTTAAAGTTTAAGATTTTACACTTTTCTTCTTTTTTTGTCAAAATTTTGTATAAATATAGCATTAAAATTCTTAAATTAGGGCCGATATGGTAGTAGGTTTTTAATTATTTTTTTCTTAATCACTTGCAACATACAGTTCATATCCACTGCCATATCTATGTATTACTAGATATTAATAAGGCCCTTTCAGAACACTTGCTTTTTAAGGTTTAAAATTAACATTTTCAAAGATTTTGCCCTCATTTCAAAAAACGGTAAAATCGTTAAAATTTTACTTTTTAATTCCTTGGAATATTTTGCCTTTAAAAACGGCAGAATCCTTAAACAGTGTTGTGTGCTGAAGCGGCCTTACTATAATATAGTTGTGTTTTTAAAAAAACAGATCAGAGGTGTACATAATTGAGTTGAATTACGTCATATTTTTGTTTGATAAGTTCGTAAATATATTTTTTTACCTTAGAGAGGAGTTTTATTTGAAGTGAAACACCCAACTTATGAATATAGTTTATTTTTTACCAAATATTACAAACATGGCACATGTGTATGAATACATTTTGTTTAAAATTGACAGTATACGTGAATGCGAAAGAAAACTTATGAATGGCAAGACTTAAAAGAGACACCAATTCGTTAAAAATTCAGGCACTGCTTAAATGAACTTGTACAATTATTATCACAGTATACTGAGCGTTAAAACTAATTTACAATAACAGTAGAAAATTAAACAATGAAAACATTAACAAAAACTTAGCATTCCAACATATAAAAAATAATTTCATTAAGATATCACAAATAAAAGTATGGAAATTGTACAAAATACCCGTCGACTATATCATTCCATACCACAAATAGAAGCATATGCAATTAACAAAACCGTCGAGTAGATTTTTCCTGTAGGCCAAGGACAGTTCGGCATCCTCCTGTTTGTGTGGCTCGCGATAAACAGCATACAAATCCTGAAAACACCCTACATTCTTTCCCATCCTCAAACCGCCTCAAACTTACCCCTCTTGAAGTCTGCAAGTCGATGGAAAGCAACATAAACGCCCCGAAATACCTAGGATGCAAAATCACATAATGTTGGATATTGCCATCAATCGACGCAAAAGTCCTATTCTGCTCATTATACTTGGCCAAAAGCAGTTTCGCCAAGCCTTGATACCAACTCAAAGGCTGGTTTAACAAAGGCCCCAAATTGGGGTGAACGTCACATAAGTGTTCCAACTTGGCCAAACTTTTCAACTCCATGAATTCATCATAAGTTAAAGAATTGGAGTCTTGGGGGGACACTAGTTTGTTCCAGAGGAGGTGGGTCCGACAGTGGACCATGCCTTTCGCTACCATATCCTTAATGTGTTTTTGGGTGGTATTAGCCTTGTCAAGAATCATCTGTTGCATGAGTTGCTCATGGGAGGAGTAGTAACCGAGATAGTTGACTGATTCGGGGGATATTTCAACTTGGGGGGTACTGGGGTGGGGTATGGGTTGATCATCGGACTGTTCACTCCCAGAATTAAAAATAATATGTTCATCGGAACTCGACAAGTCGTAATTATTGTCATCTTCGTGTTTCGACGTACTTGTTTCTAAATCACTTGACATTTTCTCAAGAGCGGAGAGACTTCGAGCTGTTGAGGAGACAGTCCGGAATTTACCGAGCTTTGGCTCAACTTCGGATTTTGGATAAATTTCCCTAAAAAAAATCCCTGTTCACTGGTTTTTCCAAGTGTTTTTTACCGTTTAGACGTCAAAATGAGGTAGTATTTGAGGTGGAGGATGTTATCAGTGGGGCTATAAGGGGCACATAAGTTATAAACAACCAAAGTTATTTCAAACTCATCGGTATGTTCCCGATCATGGGAATCTTTATAAGACACTTGCGGATTACTAGTCACTTGGACTAAAATATATTCACTTTCGCCATCCCCTTTATCCATATCTAACACTTTAAAATTGTATTGATTAACGTTTGTTAGGAGGTAATCGTAAAGTTGTTTGCCTTCAGTCACTAAATTTGTTATTGTAATAGTGTCTAAAAAATAATTATTAATAATTAATGCATTTCTGAAGCGAAACTCACCAGCGTGTATTAAATTACGAGCAAAATTCGGTGCTTTCGTGTAATATTTCATGAAATCATCGAAAAATTTCGTAACGTTGTATCTATCGCAGACTTTATTAACACCTGAATTGTTTGATATGTAATTATAGATGCATCGAAGATGATAATCGTAAGTGAAGGAATGTAAATGCATCAATATTTTAACCCGGTCACATTCATCCAAAAAACATAACGTAAACTAGAAAAAAATCATGACAAGGGGTAATGCCATTACCACCGAGGTTTGTATGTCATTTTATTCACAATCATTTTTTTAGTCAAAAATTTGAATAAAATAAAATTTTAACAAAGTTAAGGTCCAAACATAGTAGGCCTTCCAAATTTTGACATTTCATAAATGTCAAAAAAAACGTGTGAATATGATATTAAAATTGTTGAAATTGAGTAGTGTACCCCTAGAAATAAGAAAAACTGCTACAGAAGCAATTGAATACTAATTTAGCGAAATATTATGCGTAACTTGACAATTTGAAAGAAAAAATTCCCGATATTTTTGGTCCAAACGTAGTAGGCGTTTAATTTTTGACATTTCAGAAATGTCAAAAAAAATTAAAAGTGTGAAACTGTATTAAAATTGTTGAAGTAGTGTGCTTCCCCAGAAGTAAAAAAAAAACGACTACAGAAGCAATTGGATACTAATTTAGCAAAATATTATGCATAACTTGACAATTTGAAAGAAAAAATTCCCGATATTTTTGTAATCGTAACGTTGGCCAACCTTTAAAAGGTGAGTAATACATTAGTGATTGTGAATAAAAACAATTTATTTAAAAAATTGCAAAATTACCCGATTTATTGAAGCTCGTGATGTTATCGTCTGTAATCTATTACACTCAATTGCGTGTAATCTCGTTGTAAAAAACGGCTCATTAAACTCAACCGTGAAAATCAAAATTCCGCCCATTATAGTTTTCTGTATGTAAAAAACAAAATTGTAGGAGGAATTATCCCTTGCCCAAATTCTGAAACCACTTTAGTGTATAAAACCATCATTATTACCCCCAACTTACCCTTGTTTCTTATCAGAATTATCAATCTGTAAAGGCATGAAACCTAAAGTTTGTAAATATCGGCGATACTCGCAAAAAAATCCGTAACATAACTCCGTATGCCACGAGTCTCTCTCCAAGGCATTTTTCAATGTCCTGTGAGTCGGTGAGCATAGAGAATGGTCTCTTGTCGCGGCTGATTTAACTCTCCATTCCGGGAGAAACAACAATGGGGTGTGACAATAATGAATAATTCGTGAATTTTGCATGAGGAGAAAAATTTGGGGGACTGTGGTCGTACTTGTCCTTGATTGGTACATCGAATGCAGTTTTTTCATCTCATCGCGTGATTTCTTTTCAGCGTTTTTCATTTCTTGCATTTCCATTGAGAAAACACCGACTGGGTCATTAGCTTTATATTTTAAAGTGTGAAACGAATCCCTGAAAGCATCCAAAACGTGTGATAAATTTGGAGTGTTGGTCAGATTTTTGCGGTTGTCGTCACGTGGAAACTCAACCATTGAAGCGGTTAAACCAATCATACACGTGTAAGGGTTGTTGGAGGTTGACTGTAAACAACCAATCAGGATTCGGGGACACCATGGGTTCATTTCACTTACAAAACCCTTTTGTACCAATGCCTGATTATGGAAGAGTCCCAGTTTTTGCCCTGAGACTGAGTTCAAAAAACATGAACGCATACTCAACCACTGACCCAATTTCGAGCAGTTTGAAATTAATTTTTCGATGTTGTCTCGCGCCCAATTGTATGTATAGATCAAAATCTGCAATAGTTTAATCAAAAAAAATGGCTTAATTATAATACAATAAATTACGGAATCACACTGGACCAAAATCCATAGAATTTTCTGTCTCGGTACGAATTTATTATTGATGACTGCTGGTACAAATTTTTGTGTGTGTTTGAGGGCATGGGGCCCCATAAAATCAGGGTAATCTAATGTCCCCCTAAACGCGGTTGAAGCTTTCCAATTGTCAAAATTCCGCGAGATGATTACACACTTATCAACGAATTTTTTCGGATCGTGGGGTACAAAAATCTCATCGTTGCCTTCACACAAAGGGTGTGAAGGTATCACCCGAAACGCTTTCGGAATGTCTTGTACGAAATTAAGCAATTCTTTAATCGTAGTCCCCGGAAGGTGCGAATTCGTGAGATTGATTTTTTGTTTTCGCACCGATGGTGCCATTAAACCCGACCCAAACTCCAACCACTCTGGTAGAAACCTCGAGTAGTTTTTACTCAAAACCCCCTCATCGCCAGTTTCGTACGCGTTGAGTTTAGTTAGCGGTTTAACCGACGGCATTTTCGCAAGATAAATTTCCTTATCGCGTTCATAATCATCGAAAGTTATAGAACGAGTGGCTTTACTCGTCGGGGGGTTCACCCGTCGGACGCGTTTCCGGTGCGAAAATAAAGTCTCCAATTTGCGACGACCGACGACTTTTATGTTTTCCCGATTACCGACTTCGAGTAAACAATTAAATTCGATTTCTTTGCTTAGATTTAGATTGCTTGAATTGATATTGATTGGGGATAAGTGAGGGGTTATTTTCGTTTCGGAGTCTTCGCAAAGGGGCGCTGTAAGGATTAAATACTCCATTACAAGGTCCCACGTTGCTTGACTAATTGCTTCACGTAGTTTTATTGCCAAGTTATCGATATTTACACGGCCTTGCTTCCAAAGTCGGAATTCCAAATGTACTGCCGGCAACTCATCTAAAAATTCATTTTTGATCTGAAGAGAAAAAAAAACTATTTCTACCATTATCGGCGATTATTCTCGATGAAACCATGTTTTGGAATGATTTATTCTCAAAAATTTCCTCAAATGCGTCTGGGGTTATTTCGGACGGTTTTATCTCAGAATTGTAGACCACACCTAATGCAATACAAGCTATACCTCGGTTGCCACACGAAGGGTTTTGACTCTGGTTGTATATAAATATACTGTCATCGCTATTACGACCCATAGCTTGGTCAGATTCCGAATAATCCTAATAAAAAATGCACCCAATTTTTATATTAGAGTCGGGTGAAAGCTAGAAGTATCAGAAATCGCGCCCCAGAGAAAAAAATCAAGTAACATAAGATACCAGAAACATGAAAAAAAATGTTTAAATTCTGTCAAAAAATTTGACATTTGACATTTTTTATGTCTATTTTTAATGATACTGATGATCTTGTATGTTTTTTTATAATTATTTAGTAAAGGTAAAAAATGTTCTAATAAAAGCCACAAATAACACCAAAAGTTGGAAAATTATTTTTCCAACAAAAATAAATAGAGAATTTAAACTCTCATAACTTCGAAATTTTTATACACAGAATTTTGTTAACATTTTTTTCTATGTTCTTGGTATCTTACCTTACATGGCATTTTACTCTGGGACGCGAGTTCTGGCGCACCCTGTACACGCGGACGAATCCCCTTTATTACAAAGGGGAGTTTATAATTCGCTTTATTATCGAATTAAGACAGGACGCCACTGGTGTGCGTCTTCTCTTAATTTTATGTGTACAGTCAACCGATCTGAAAATGTCGTGTCTATTAAACGAACCCCTGGACTTGCTGTCTTCCCTCTGAATAAATCATCATCGCATCGTAAATTTGAGGATTTAGGAACATTCGCAACGAAATGTGAAGTTTCGTATTCAAAAAAAAAAAAATTATTATAATCGATTGTAATCGCAAATTGTTTTGAAGAAAAAGAATTTGTATATTTAAATGCCGTGGAAATGTTATTGAATAATCCTCATTATGTATTTTTTTAATAGTACTCTTTCTCTTATGGTTAATCATGGTTTCATTTTTTTTCTGTATTTTGTGTCTGGCCTGTAGACTCTGACTCACTTTGTTCTAATATTCAAAATGACAACAAACTTGATAAATCAATTTTTAATTAATACTTTTTTATTAATGTATACAATGTACAGGGTGCGCCAGAATTCGCGCCCCAGAGAAGAATGTCATATAAGATAAGATACCAGGAACATGGAAAAAATGTTAAAAAAATTTTATCTATTAAAATTTCGAAGTTATGAGGGTTTAAAGTTTACACTTTGACTCTATTTATTTCTGTTGGAAAAATAATTTTCCAAGTTTTTTACTATAGGCTATTAAAAGAGGAAACATGGAAGCTGTATCCTAAATTGTAACTCTGTTCAATGTCATTTGTGGCTTTTATTGTCAAAATTTTTGTCCCTTTACTAAATAATTATAAAAAAAAACATATACAAGATCATCAGTATCATTAAATAGATATAAAAAATGTCAAATGTCAAAAAATAAATGTCAAAATTTTTTGACAGATAGAATTTTTTAAACATTTTTTTCATGTTCCTGGTATCTTACCTTACTTGAAAATTTTCTCTGGGGCGCGAGTTCTGGCGCACCCTGTATAATTTCGGTGGGTACCTACACTGAAAATGAAACAAGATTAGTAGCCCCATAACGTGTCAAAGTAACCCCATTTTAGGGTCAGTTCGTATATAAAAGTATGTAAAAATGTTCTTGTCTAAAAAAAACTAAAAATTTATCTCTGATGAGAAGTTTTGCCAACAGTACATATTTTTCATCTAAGCAGCATTTCTTAATCACTTGCGTTGAGTAGGATATAAAAAAATTTTTGCTTTGTTATACAGCTGGCAAATCTGCATTCTGCATTAATTAAAATTGTTTTGAGATGCGAGTTTTTTTTTTTAAACATTTTTTTCATGTTCCTGGTATCTTATCTTACTTGAAATTTTTCTCTGGGGCGCGAGTTCTGGCGCATCCTGTATTACCATAAACTATTAAGTGACTTTTTTCTAAAACAGCATTTTTTTATGAGCGAATTAACTTTTTTTTATTTGTTTAGTCAAATAGAACAGTGACTTTTTGTTGTTTTTTTTTTGAATATTACAATTGTTTTTTTTTTTTAATAAAATATTAGAATTTTTGTGAAACAAAACTTTAAATTTCGTTGAAGAATTTTCAACTTTACGATGCAACGATAACTTATTGAGAGTACAGCAAGCCCCTCGTTTTACAGACACGACATTTTCAGATCGGTTGACTGTACTTCTAGTTTTTACTTACTTTGAAGTGATAGTGGGACCTGTTGTCGGTGTATTTGGGCATATTTAAAAATTGCAACAGGTTTTGTTTCAGATAGTGTATGAAAGAGTCCATCCACTGTAACACAAAGTCTTGCATACTTAACTAAAATGATGATTAATTAAACTCGGGTTAATCACGGCCGTTTTTTACTTTTATCACAACTTCGGGTAACCTGAACGGTTTCTGAATAAACTGCACGTCTTCGGGTGTGAGAGGACACATGGAATTTCGTGCTAACATAACCGATAAAAATTCCAAAACCGCATCATCTAACCGATTTTGCAAGACTTGAACTAGCTCACACTGTACGTCATTCCCGGCCTCGGTAATCCCATGTACTTTCAAGATTAGAGTATCTTCATTGGGACCATCTTTACTCTCTTTCTCGCCAAAAGAGCGAACTCTTGGTCTTATATCATCCTGAAATTTCTTTTAATTTTGAGTGACACAAAACTGGTTAAATACCGATAAAACCGACGTAAGACTTTGCTCGTACTGTAATTGGCTTTTGGTTTGTCCTAAAGGTAAGGATGCGATTGAGGGACTCCTTGAAACAATCGCATTTTCATACTCTAACGGTCTGAGAGGTGCGTTTTTCGCACTGGAATTTTGCACATTCTCATGGAGTCGCAAATAAAAAACATTATTTCGGTTATCACGATAGACAAACATGTTGGTGCGATTCGACACTGAAAATTTCTCAAGGATGTTCTTCAAAGCGAGGATACCACGTGACAGACCGGATTTCCCAGGCCCGGTTTTGAGGCGAGGGTGAAGAACAAAGTGTGTTTGCCACACCACCGGACACTTAAAATACCCCGGTTTGAAATTTAACGAGGCTTCAGAAAGGGTCACTGACGAGGTCATGATCTCAGACTCGTCACTAGTCTCTACAACACAATTATTACAAATCGTAAAAAAATCAGTGATGAGTACCATCCATGCTTCTTAGTCGGTGATAAGACGAATTACGCGAAATCGGAGACGAGCAAATGCTCCCGGGCCAGTCTTTGGGGTTGTCGTCAGGTTCAAGCAACGGATCGCAAATTCGTGTCTCGTACAAAGACTGCAAAAGCAACGATTGGTTGACTTTTTTGCACAACTCGCGAATTTCATCACTGAGCATTCGTTGGACTTCTAAATAACTCAAAACTTGACTTGCAGATAATTCGAGAAATCTACAATGAAAATAAATCGTGACTGTCTCTTGTTCCACTTTTGTGACAAGCCAAAAGTTGGGTAAATTGGCACGTTTCATGTTCAAGTAGTGGAGCCACTCGTAATCCTCATCGTCATTGCTCACATCTTCGTCGTACCCTAATTAAATAACTGAATTAATTGAGTCACTAAGGGGTTTTTTACCTGTCCCATCAGTCCCTAAGACACTACCACTAACACTGGACATGTCACTGGGTTGGGATGCAATCTCGTCGAAATCTTTTGAATAAATCACATCACCTACGTCTATTATAGTCTCAGTGTACTTGATTCGGTTTATGTCAAACCCATCGCCGTTTTGTTTCACTGGTTCGAAATTAGTATCCTTGGCTAAGTAGTACAGTTCGCCTTCTTGTACCAATTTATAATTCGGGATTTTCATCTTTGCAAACTCTTCAACGAATTTACTGTGGCTTTGGTTTGAGCCAAAGACAAAATTTAAACTTATGACATCCATAATGCACGAAGACCGGGATTTACTCTCCGCGACATGTCTCATCACATATTCCAAAGTCCCCAAAGACACGGAATCAACGTCGAGGAGAGCAGTGGCAATTTCGTCCTTCAAGAGCCACTTAATCTGGAACAAAATAAGCTTTTATTTAAAAAAAATGTACTAAAAAATATTCATAAAAACTGTGGGAGCGCTTATAACACCACAAGTATTGCACAATTACATTGCTTAGTTGACCGCCCCGCTTTAATAAATTTTAAAAACTTAAGCTGTAAGCAAAAATGTTGTTCCCTGATAGAAAAAACAAAATTTTTAGTTTTTAGTACTTTTTTTTATATATTTTTATTTTTCGATTTTGTCTTTATTTATTGTTTTGTGAAACACAAAGAAAATTTTTATTTATTGAATCTGACTTAAATCTATACCTCAGCGAAAACAGTCGAAGTCCAAAATGCTTTTTATTCAAAAATAATTTAAAACAAAAATTTTCAATTAAAAACCAATGTTACAATTTTACGTAACATTTCAGAATGGTTATTTTGTTGTAAGTGGATCTAGTCGATTAACAATTGATTTTGTTTTAATACTTTAGCGCCCTAAACGTTTAAAAAAATTTTAAATATTGCAAAAAAACTAAAATAACTTAAGTTCAAGGTGTAAATTATTGTTCAATGCAATAAAAAAAAATTACCAATATACAACGTGTCAGAACTCGCGCCCCAGAGAAAAATTTTAAATAAGTAAAAACATAAATAAGATAAAATTTCAAGTAAGATACAATACCAAGAACATGGTAAAAATGTTTAAAAAATTCTAACTGTCAAAAAATTTTGACATTTATTTTTCGACATTTGACATTTTTTTATGTCTATTTTACTGATGATCTTAGTACAGCTTTCTTGTGTGCTCTTCTAATAGCCTGTAGCAAAAAAACTTCGAAAATTTTGTTTCCAGCAGAAATAAATGGAGTCAATGTGCAAAATTTAAACTCTCATAACTTCGACATTTTTATAGATAGAATGTTTTTAACATTTTTCTATGTTCCTGGTATCTTACTTTACTTGGTGTTTCTCTCTGGCGCACCCTGTATTTTTAACTGGAAAATCTTCAGAATTTTGAATAAGGAACATTTCTGTAATAGTCCTGATATTCTGGTTATCACATTTTGCTTTACTGATCAGTTTTCATTCATTTCTAATTTGAAAGAGTAATTTTGGCAAATTTAAATGTTTTCTTGGTTTTCTCCTTAAATTGAAATTTAAAATTTTCTGTGAAATTTGTATTAAAATATAATTTTCCTGTCTGTTAATTGATTCCAAAATAATAATTTCTTGAAACACAAGAAATAAACGCTACCAAAGTCAAAAAAGTCTTCTAATTTGTCTTCAATTTGTACGTTATCTGGGGTTTTGTTCATGAGATTTTTTTATTCAAAAAAAATTGTTTTTCAAAAATCTGTAAAAATTTGTTGGCACTGTGCTATTATTATAGATTTGCATTATTTTATTCCGACTCAAAGTACTACATGGCGATTTTATATTTTTTGCTTACACAATATATTTTTTTACTTAACTCTCTTTGGACTTAATACTTTGTCGCTGTAACATTACCCTGGACTTATCTGTTATTTTGTCAATTTATGCCGATTGTAAGATTTTATGCATTGTTTGAAATAGGTGTATTAAATATTCATTTTTAAGTAATATTTATTTTTTGAAAAAAATTTCTTAGTTTGTTGTCGCTCTCAGGTACAGAAATAAAAGCTTATAAAACATCAATTACCTCATCTCGCAGAACCACAATCGAGTTTCTTTGATTTTCGGGAAGACTCATCAAAGGTTCAGGAATTCTGCAAAAAAAGTTAGTTTTCGTCGATGCAATGTCAAATTTGCACTCACTCCCCGACTACACTAGTTTCTGATGTTGAACTCGCGATACTTGGCTGGAAGCCATCTGATGAAAACGAGGTAGTCCGAAGTCCCTGAGCCGAATACTCAGTTATCACATTTTGGACTTCGGTTGGTAAAGTCAGACAGAAAATGTCTAAAGTGACTTGGACTTTCTTCTTATCGATGATACTCCCCGCATCAATATTTTCAGTCAATTCACCTTAAAAACAAATCAAACGAATTAAATTCAACGATAGTGATTTACAATTTACTTACCAAGACAAGTAGGTAGTACCCTTAGTGGGGTGTTTGTCACGTGTCCATTGTACCTCAATGTACACACAATGTGTAAAAACAAGGGACAGATATCACTAGTGATAACATCCCCAATCCCATTCTCGAGTCGCACAATATTAAAACCATCAGAGTACACACTACAATCGCGTTCCGATGGTGGGTTTGATACATCATCATCACTGATGTTATTATTGTTGATTTTGTTATTATCAGCTTTGGTTGAAGTAAAATAACGACAAAAGTAATATTCCGGGTTTGTTGGTATTGGAATAAATGCGACATTAACCATTTTAAAAAACTTCTCTTTGATGAGACAATGAAGCGATTTTAGTTCATTACAAGCCGTAGCTTGACGTAACTGCTGGACTTGGATATTGTCATCACTTGTTTGTTTAATATGCCCACAAATTGTCTAAATTTGAGGATTAAAAAAACACATAAGGAAGTGAAACTTACTAAAATATAATCCGTGATATCAATTTCAGTTATACATTCCTCGCATTGGTCCACAGCCGACTGGACATCAGTACAATGTACATAAATATCACGATGCAAGGCTATGAAAAGCGAATTAGTGAAACATTTAGTGTGGACCAAAACCAGAGTCTTGCAGTGGTGACGCAAACTACTCCTATCCTTATCATCCGGGATTTCGTAATTATCTTCCGATTTATTCTCACACTCGTCGGTTTTCAACCTGAAATAAAATTTCTCACAATTCGTTCCCAGTTTCGTTTTAAACCCACTTCAAATACTCATCCTGGATGAAATCGGTGCTTTTGAAGCGATGATCCTCGTAGATGTCTCTCGGCCCTTTCGTATCCTCAGGATTTTGCACATACGCATTGACAAGTAACGCAAGAGGACAATCGTAAACATAAATTGGTAAAGTAAGTGAATTGGTCACGTTGATGGGAACATCACTGAAGTTGCTACCACGTGACGATGCCCGTTCCATACTCTCTCTACTCTCGCTCAAACTTGGAATGTTTGTTGAATCACTATGTACTAAAGCTTTAAGATCGGATAAGTTCGACGGGATAAAAGTGAGGATGACGTGAGTTATGGAAATTCCTTTAATAAAGCAACGCCATTGCGAAGCTGGAAACTCGTCAAGGTTGCCAACACCGCGATACTCAGATATGGGACAATGATAAGGGTAGAGATTTTTATGTCGTGTGATTATTTGGCGCGTGAATTTGTCCGAGTCCTCGCGAGTTAGGAAAATTTCCTGGTCATGGAGCGAAGTTAAATGTTCTTGGATGTTGTCCAGGAGGAGTTTATTCGACTTGTCGGACTCGTACCCCCTCAAACTCTTATCCTTTCGTTCGATGAACATTGAAAATAGTAACTCGGTTTGGTGGCATAGCGGGAGAATATTAATTGGGTCAAATTTAAACGGAATGTGTTCGATTCGGGGACTTGTAATGGGGTACCAAGTCGACCTAAAACGCACAAATTAAACCAATGAAACTACAAGAGTGGCAATCTAACTCATTAGGCGACTCAATGAGATTACATTTACTATTCTTCCTCAAAATATTTTTAATCGTTGTACTATTTTGGCGACTGAAGGTTATATTTGTGTCAACACTAAACGACCTATTTTTCTCTTGACACATCAGACTTAAATGTTCCATAGTTAGTAGTGAGTTGATACATTGCAAATCGATTTGACTTATCTAAAACCGGTTTTGGTAGTGTTTAACTCCCACAGGTGTGCCAGAACTCGCGCCCCAGAGAAATGTCAAAATTTTTTGACAGATGGAATTTTTTAAACATCCTGGTATCCTATCTTGAATTTTTTCTCTGGGGCGCGTATTCTAATCACTAAGGCTCGGATTATATGCAAAATGCATATTTGTTTTTAAGAGGTATAACAAAATTGTAAGTTTTTTATGCATATCTAACGTTTTTTGATTAAAATAAGCCAATTAATAAATGCATATTTTGGCACCTCCGTGCATATTTTATTCAAATTACAAAATTCCGATAAAAAATTTCAGTTCATGTTAAAAAAAATGGACGGTTTAAGAAAAATGATCCAATTACAAAATATTTTAAAAAGAAAACAACCGGTAATTCGTAAGCCAAAAAATTAATATCCTGCTGAATGTTTCCTTTTAAATTCGTTTTATACAGGGTGAATATAAAGTATCAATCATTTGTTTCCAAAAGATAATAATTAATATAAATTAAAGTAATAAAAAAAAATGATTTAATTTTGAGAACAATTTTTTTTTGTTATTGAGTTATTCGATTTTTGTTGTCAAAATTGCACTTTATATTAAAAAAAAAAACTTTTTAGTGGGTTGTCATTTAAAAAAATAGATATTTTTGTAGAACTCAAAAGCAAATTTCGAAAAAATTTATTTTTGATAGAACACTACATTTTATGAATTTAAAGAATAAACAATTTAATTTCACCTGGAATAAAACGAATAAATACTTCCATTCGGTTAAGTAGATTCTTGCAAATGAATTTTAGCAATTTTATTTTAAAGTGATGTGATCTGAAAAGTACAAATTTCTTAAAAATAATTTATTTATTCTCTTTTGTTCATCGTGTGCAGTTCAAGATGCCGAAAATACAAAGTTTAGTGTACTCGAGGATAAAAATTTATATCAACTTTGATTTTTTATTGTTAAAAATTTTGCATATTGATGCATATTTGGCATATATTGAAGCATATTTCTTAATATCTTGTGCATATTTTTGTGAAAATACGTGCATATATATGCGCATATTTTACAAATTTTTCGTGCATATAATCCGAGCCTTACTAATCACTTACCACATCAGCTAACTCGTAATAGTATTTATTATTCATATAACTAATTCTCGAATTATTGCTTGTTTGTACTCGTCCATGTTGTGGTTCGATCCAAACTTCAGTGACCATCTGAAGCTCAGATTCGTATTCAGTCTCAAACTCTTCTTCTTCGGATCCACTGTAGACCTCCTCCCCCCACCATGCGCGATGTGGGGGGAAAAGTACGTATTGTACCACGCAACTAGCGCTGGGTTCCATCCACAATTCCAACACCATGGTGATAATCCCGGATGAGGAGTGTGCAAAACTGAATCCCTCTTTAATCCTCATTCGTGTTAAAGTTGTCAAAATCCGTGAAATGGCATTATCGAGGAGTCTAGGATTCGAACTGTGTGAAGCACTCCAAATCCACCTCTTGTGGTACAAATAACGCGATAAAGTCGTGAAGAGGGATCCAGTGAGGGGGCCAGGTACCGCCATTGTGGTGTTAGGGGGCTGGGTCCCGTCTGGGAATATCACGGTGGTGAAATCACTAGGAAGACGCTCATACCGGATCAAAATCTTCTCTAAAGGTTTCTGTAATAGAACGCAACAAACGTTTTCTTTTGATTTTCCGGGACTTGGCATGTAGGACAAAGCCGCAAGTTCTTTTTTTAAAGCCTCACAAGTGCTGTGACGGATGTAGCCAGGAGTGTTAGTCACAAATCCGATATTGAGGACAGCACAAGGTAATTTCGAACTTATTCGGACTATACAGAACCAAGATGGGGGCTTGTTGACTTCCGGCGGTTTCGTTTCGTCTTTATACAAATGTTTCAAGTACGTGTGATTGTCAATTAACACGAAAGAGGCCCATTCGGAGAGCTTCCCGTAAAGGGCTGTGGCCGCCTGACGACACTGGACCACCTGTCAACACAACCAAATTATTTCTCCTCAAGAGACCCGAAACCAAAAATTCCGACCAAAACGCAACGTACAATCCCAAAATCCTAATCATTGTCATTATTGCAAAATTACTACATTTAAGGTAATGCAATCAAAAAAAAAATCAATTAGAGTAGGCGACGATTAATATTCTACAGTTGGCAACAATTTTTGCTGGAAATTTTGCACACAAATCTTGTACAGTTTTTTTTTAACTTGCAACAATAAAAAATTTCTGCTCTAAAGCAAACATTATTTCACCCAAAATGAATGAAACGCAAACTTGTCAAAGTTTCAAAAATCAGGACTGCCATCTGAAGGATTTTAATCACCGCCTACTCTAATTTATTTATTTTTTCAAATGCACGCTACTACAGAAAGTAAGTAGAACGTCAATGTCATGAGTTATTCTAGAACAAATAGTTCTTATTAATATTCAACGTAAGACAGGTGTCCAAAATTGATAAATTTGACAGATCTATTACTATTGAAGACATACGTCATAAAATTTTCACAACGCTCTTGATATACGTTCTTTTATAAACACCTACAATAGAAACTCTATAATCCGAACTAATTCGATTTTCGAGTAGCGATTAACTTTTTTCGTTTAATTAAATAAATAACCAATAAAATATGTGTTTTTAATTATAAATATACAGAGTGCTCCAGTTAAAATATTTCGTTTTTTTATGTCTTTTGTGAAAGAGTTTTTATCAAGTTTACCCGTTTTCCAGATATTTAAACTTTTTTTAATTTTTTGTATTTGCACCTTCCTCTTCAAAAAGCGATAACTCTGCCATTTTTGATTATTTTGAAATCGTATTTCGGGATATGAAAGAGAAAGGTTAGGTCTCTCCTTTGGTGTATTCATAATGGACAAAATAAATAACAAACCCAGAAAATTTAGGGTTATTTAGGAAACTCAATTTTTCCAAATAAAAAATCACATTTTTTTTCATTAAATTTAGGAGAATTTAATTCTGCATCGATCTGTATTAATGATCTTCAAGTTATCTTGATTTTTTTATGCATAGTTTGACATGGAAATATTTCTCACTAAATAAACGAGTTTTGTTTTTCATAAATACAAATTAAATTCATTTCAACTTAGATTTTCAATTTTTTTCTTATTTCCATGACAAACTATAAATTTTCCTCAATAGTAAAAAAGTTACTATAACTTGAAAACTATTCAAACATAGCAGAATTAAATTCTCCTCCGTTCAGTGGAGAAAAAAATGGGGCGTTTCATTTAGGTTTTTTTGTGTATGTGATTTTTTTTTCATTGTTTCTACTATTCCTAATAATAAACATTAATTAATCTTTATTAATGCGTACAAAATCTTTATTTGTATGTTTTTAAAACAATGTATGCTAAAAAATTGTATTGTCAATAAATTTAAAAAAAAAATGATACATTAACTAAAAAACTAATGTAGGTTTTGATTTTGAAGCAGATTTTTAAGAGCTTTGTAGTCTAGATAAAACTGATAAATAATTACTTTGAAATTGTGTTTTGTGGATATGAAAGAGAAAGGTTAGTGTATTCATAATGGACAAAATAAAGAACAAACCCCCACAATTTAAGGTTACATTTGGGACACTCAATTTTTCCAAAAAAAAAATCACATTTTTTTTTTCATTAAATTTAGGAGAATTTAATTCTGCATCGATCTGTTTCAATGATTTTCAAGTTATCTTGATTTTTTTATGCATAGTTTGACATGGAAATATTTCTCACTAAATAAACGAGTTTTGTTTTTCATAAATACAAATTAAATTCATTTCAACTTGGATTTTCTATTTTTTTCTTATTTCCATGACAAACTATAAATTATCCTCAATAGTAAAAAAGTTACTATAACTTGAAAACTATTCAAACATAGCAGAATTAAATTCTCCTCCGTTTAGTGGAGAAAAAAAATGGGGCGTTTCATTTAGGTTTTTTTGTGTATGTGATTTTTATTCATTGTTTCTGCGTACAAAATCTTTATTTGTATGTTTTTAAAACGATTATATTGTCAATAAATTTAAAAAAACAAATGGTAAATTAACTAAAAAAATAGTTTTGTTTTCCTGAGGCAGATTTTTAATAGCATTGTAGTCTAGATAAAACTGATAAATAATTACAACACCATATATGCATGGAGCTATTATAGAGGTTCGGATTAAAGAGATTCCACTGTATTATTATAAGTGTTAATACCGTGCGATCGAAAAAAAATTAGAGTAGGCGACGATTAATATTCTAGAGTTGGCAACAATTTTTGCTGGAAATTGTCCACACAAACTGGAAATGAAAATGACTATTTTCGTACAGCATTTTTGTAATGACTTACAATAAAAACTGTCTGCTCTAAAACATTATTTCACACAAAATGAATAAAACGCAAACTTGTCAACATTTGAAGTCAAAAATCAGGATTGCCATCTGAAGGACTTTAATTACAGCCTACTCTATTTTTTTTCGATCGCACGGTATTTTCATGTTTTTTGTTTATTATTTAATCTTCGTATTTTTTCCCAATTAATTGACTTTTTTGGGACCGATTATGAGTAAAAATCGGAATTGTGTGGTTTCTAATGAGGGGAATTACTTGGTATCGCTGCGAGGAGTTGGGCAGATGTAAATGTTTCGGTAGCGGATTGTCGTGTTTCAAAATAAGCGACACTTTGTGCGTATGGAACCACTTCCTCCAATTGCTCTTCTCCATTTGGCAAATCCCTTGCCACGAATTGACGAATTTCGGACACGTGGTACTACTAAAAAAGACTTCGCATTTAATACAAACACGAGTAGGGTGGTACCTTGGCGACAAAAGCAGACTATTAGTGTCGGGACACGGTGAATTTAAGTTAAACACAGGAATTCCACTTCGTACACTTTCGGGTAAAGTGTACCAGACATTTGAATTTTGAAAGTTGGTCAATTGTTGAGCAAAATTTAAATCGGCTGATGATAATTGCGACAAACGCATCCAGAAACGTTCAATTATAGCTTGACGATACAAAGACTTCGAGTCTTTTTTTATGAGACAGGTTATATCATGGAGGAATTCATAAGGTGCTGAAATGAATATTTCCAAATGGGTGTTATTTTTAACTACCGGCCATTGTGACGACAGTTTATAGATTATGTAAATCAGTGATTTCCATTGCAAACCCAACTGGACTTCAATCATGCCATTAATATAATTAATATTCTGGAAAAAATCGCAATAAATATTGAATTTTAATTTGAAAATTGATTTTGTTACTTCAACAGCGAAACCTTCGCGCATTCGACGCGACAATAAAAGTAAAATGGAAGCACTTGTATTTTCATCAGTCTGGCGTTTTGAAAGCAAATTTGGGGTTTTATGACTATAAAAATTATCATTTCTGGAACAAAATAAATAACAAGTGGTACAAATAACAAATGAGTGACCTACGGAGACCTCCATTTTGTCAAATCGTGAGCTTTGCGATAATCACATCTAACAGTACTGTGGAAAGACCACAGTAAAAACAACTCGTGGTAAATGTTCATCGGCATGGACGGCTCATGTTTCTAATAATAAAACAAAATAATTGCAATTAACCCTTTGAGGGGGTGACTTACAATATCGGGGGAAGTCTCCAAACAGGTACCCATAGTACTATGCGAAAAAAATTTAAGCAAGTCAGTGTACGAAATATAGCCGGCACTAGAATGGGGGTGAAACGACGAACCGACTTTAATAAACGAAACAGCAATGCTGTCATAATGTAGCTGAAAAAGAAGAGTCTCCATTATGTTAGAGTCAGGCATCGCGACAACTCCATCAGTTATGACTAGAATATCTGAAAAAACACAATTACGGCCTGAAAATTCAAAACTGAACACCTACGACTTATGCTATTTTCAGGAAGGAGAGACACAGCCAACATTGAATATCGTAGCATGTTTACAAAATTGGCATCAGGTGAGACCATCGGTACTTTAGTGTTTTTTTCATTCTCCGGAAGATCAAATAAACTACCAACAATGCGCTCATTTTGGGTCTAAAATCAAAATTTGAGAACTTGCCCCCCATGTGACTCAACCCCACTTTTTGACGTTCGTTTTGGTCGTGGACCATTGCCGTAACATCGGCGATTTTCCCCTCAAGAACATGAAACTGACTTTGAACAAATGTGACAATTTCGTGAAAATTACTCGACGTTATTTGGACACCTTTGACTAGAACTTGTTGCGCTGGACTCATAAAAAATGGAGTGTTTACCATGACGGTTAAGTAGAGACTTGGCTGGAAAACAAGGGAATTGCCAGGGATCGTAAACTAAAATATTTTAATCAGTCACTGAAATAATTTTGAACAACCAAACCTGTCGAGTTAAACCTTCCACACTAGCCTTAAACGAGTTAAGTATTTCGTCGAAGAGAATCTCGCCTTTTTGGATATCGACAATGCATTGCGAGGGACTCATGTCCAAACAATACACAAATCGGTAACTGTGGGCGAGAAAAATCACCTCCGTTCGACAATTTATCAAAAATCGATTGCATTTTGATACTGACTGTTCGCGTGCTATTGCTGATACGATTTCAATTTCGTTTGAGAAATTCTGAAACGATTTATCTAAATCAAAACAAAAAAATTGCAATCCACGATTTACCCATTTTTGAATCACTGGAATGGTCACAACTGTGTTCAAATGATCCAAAAGCCATTGCAATCTCGAAGCCCTTGAAACGGGAACATCTTTCGGTAACAGCAAATAGACAGCTTTTGCCTCTAGTACCGCCGATTCCGTTTCTTCCGAGTAAAGAAAATCACCAGGGTAAAGGTCTTCATGCTCTGATGACAAGAAGAAATTCATAAAACCGATCAAACAAGTTTTAATAACTGCAAATTAGAACGCATTTGGGTTTTTTGTATGTGGGCACGGCACTGACCGGTAATCAGTCCTCAAAGTATTTTTTATGGCTTAGGTGGCACAGTTTCAGGTAATGACCCTGTTAAAACAAGTTGGACGTGTCTTAAGTAATAAAAAGTCTCAGCGAATAAATAATTACTGTGATAAATTATTGATAAAAGAATCAGTGACCCTTTCTGACTTACCCTTGACTGATAGTTCAACTCCTTCATCAGAATCCAGACTTTGGGAATCAAATTCCATACTTTTTGAAAAATCACATCACTGGAACACAACGATCACTGAAGGACAAACAAACAAACACACGTGTTTATGCAGAATCCACAAGAGAAAAACAATCGAGCGATTATAATATTAACAAGTTTATCTAGTCATTAAAAACATAAACAGATGCAATTAGATATGTGCCAGGAGACGTAGTTACATAAACTGCATTTATTTATTATTAACAACTCCGCGACTCTAATATCAATAAACAAATATTTGCGTAAAAAACACTCAAAAAGATTACATCACGAGACAATCAACATAACCTACAATAATTGTGTTTGTTTTGAAAACCACTTTCAGGTGATTGATCGCATTTTTATTACAACTAAAACTGAAACTTATCGCGGAAATAAAGCACTACAAGTTATTAATAGCAAAACAGCTCAATTTCAACTATGTATTATTATTACACACGTAAGTGACGCCTCATTTGAAAATTAATAATACACAAATAATATTTGACGCGCAATTTAATACATTATTTAAACCACTTACTCAAAATCAAAACAATTAATGTTCCCTTAGTTCAAACAAAACAATTTTTGAAGTTAACAAACATATTGCAGGGTTAGGGTGCGCCACTGACTTTATTGCATTAGCGAAATCCGGACATGGCGAATTCATACCAAGCGACATCTTTTAATTATGTCCTGTTTTTACTATCATTGACTTGTGTATTTAAATTGATAACAATGATCTAAAAATAACTGCAAAAATTGTCTACTGATAAAAAAATGAACTTAATTATTGCTTTAGCGAAATCCGGAGTTGTCGAAACATAACAAGACGATTATGTTCTGTTATTGTTTTTATCCTTGTCTTGTATACTAAAATTGCTGTGACGTAACCGAAAAAAGTTAATTTTTCGAAAAAACGCCGGAAAAGTGAGGTTATATGAACTTCGCGATGTTGGTTTGTGCTCAATTCAAATAAAAATATTTTTTTACCACTTCCTTTTAGGAATCTCAAGATTTGAAACTTTTTTCCATTGATTTCTGGTATGAGAAATTCAAAAATGTAGCGCTTAAAGCAATTTTAATCGAAATCCCGCCGGTTTTGTTACAAAAACTTCAATCAGATGAGTCTGATGTAAACATTGAAGAGGTAATTTTGAATTGTTTTGGTTTTATTTCTAGTACAATTTTTTAGATCTGTTCACACGAGTTTGTGGATGAGGTAAAAAATGCCATTAACGCATTAGATAGGAATGTTTTTGTTAAAAATAACTGGCATGCGCCTATGGTAAGTTTTCTAGTTGTCGAATAAATTGCCCAGAAGGGAGTTTCAGGATGCGAAAATGTTCAGTTTTGGGAATCAATTAAAAGTGACGAATTTGGATGACTTGTCATTATTCCTCTCCGCCTCAAATATCATTTCTGAGGATTTTTCAACGCAAAGTAATATTCCTTTTTATATAGCTTTAAAGCCATGGAAAAGTATTCACCCCGCGAGTGAATTCCGTTGCATTGTCATCAACAAAGTCTTAAGAGGTGCAAAAATTCATCATTTTCGTGTAATTACGATTTTTTTAAGGTATAACACCGAGGGATTGGCCAACTTATTACGCTCATTTCAAAGATGAGGGGCCTCTAATTATTGAGACTCTCACTAATTTTTATAAGGAAAATATTGCTGATGTGTTCCCGAAAAGACACTGTAACTTTGACCACCACACAATAAATCAAATGATTTTTTTTTATTGTAGACACTTTTGATGTCATAATATCATTTCCGGACCAACCATGTATTATCGATTTTGGACCATTAAATAACAAAACTAATTTGTATGCATTTTCGTGGAAAGAAATTTCACCTCTTTTTGATAAGGTAACACTTACATAACCCAAAACGGAAATTCTCACTTACCTTTTAGGAAGTACCAGACGAAGTGGCCCCAATTTTCAGATATTTGGACTCTGATATCGGGATTATGACCCGAACAGATGCAATTTATAAATTCGCAAATGCATTTACTTAATTTTGTATTTTTTTAATTGAAATAAATTTTTCTCTTGAACGATGTATGAGAAATAAAAGTAGACACATACCGAAAGTAATTTTTATTAGGAACAAACTCAGAACGTGGAACAAATTCAAATAGCATATTGCAAACAAAACTTAAAACTATTAATACTACTAATATTCTTAATCAAAACACATGTAATAATATCAATAAATAGATTTTTTGCTTACAGGTCCAAATTTTTACAAAAAAAAACCATCTTATCAAATTTTTGTAAGCATAAAATCAATAAGCAGGAACTTTGGTTACCTAAACCAGAACAAAAACATGCATGCAAAACTTACGACAAACTAAGACTAATATTCTCAGTCCTCCAAAAAAGTACTTAAACATGACTAGTGAATTTTTTTGCTTACATAATCCGCAATATAATCAGATTTTTGTAAGCATAAAACCCAAAAGGAACTTTCGTTACTCATCCCCACCAATAGCAAAGCAAAATTAAAAAATATTCTTTGAAAAAAAATTGCAAGCAAAAAATCGAAAAACTCGAACTTTGGTTACCTACTTCTCCGGTTCGTGGTCCTCCTCCCCACCTTGAGGAAGATTCTCATCAGGAGGGGCAACATTTTCGATATTCTCTGGATCAGGAGTCTCGCTTTCAGTAACAAGAGTCTCCTCTCTTACACTAATTGCAGAACGAATCTTGTTTTCAATCAATTCCAGTTCTTTCAAAGTTTTCCCAACGAGACTCTTCATTTTGGAAACAAAATCGTCTCCACTTTGGTCAGCGACAGCGGCGGCTTGTTCAATATGAATAGTGTTGATGTAAGCCCTCTCAAAAATGTTTTTTTGGACACCTTCTCCGACCACTTTAATCTGCGAAGCTGCGGCTGCATTGTGCTGAAAACACCAAATTAAACAAACGAAAAACAAATCAAAAACTTACTGCATTGTGCTTAGCGAGGGCTGATTTAAGAGTTGAAAGGACTTCATCAGCGTAGTCATTAACACATTCTTGCTGAGAGACACATTCAGTATAAAAATCATTAACAGCATTGCTGAAACGTAGAGCGACATCGTCAGCGTTCAAGTCATTATACGCAAATATCATTTTTTCAGGCTGAAAACAAGTTTTAAGAAAATGAAGACAGTTATCACTACCAAATTTACAACACTCATCATCTGTCTCGCTTCTTCATACAGATTATTACTATGGCGACCTTCAAGCTGATCACGAATGAATTCCATTGCCTCTTCTGAAACCGACGCTTCCTCTAAGAGCATTTTTTTCTCATCTAAAATCTTCCGCACCTCATTTTTCATATTTTCTAGAGACACGCGTCCCTCAGTTAACTGAGTCCTTATGCTAGTTTCACGGGCATCTAAACCAATCAAAAGCTCTTCAAAGAAACTAAATATGACATTAAAATACTCGTTTCTGTCGTGCTCATTACGGTCCATCTAAAATCAATTCATGAACACAGTTAACAATAAAAAAATTATACCTCAGCGCGACATTCTCCCTCAGTTTTGGTCACTTCTTCAGTGAGGCTAATAATCCCGTCCTTCATTTGAGTCAACTCTTCTTTGGCTCTCTCAGGAATTCTTAAATGTTGAGAAATCTCGCCGTAAACCCCATTTATGTAAACTGCAATATGGTCAGCGGTGACACGTGCTTGGCTACTGAGAAGCTCATAGATGTCCACCGGTTGCAAAGTCCTAATTCTGCGCATCATATCGGCAATTTGTTGCAAATCACCCAAGAAGCGTCTCCGGAGGAAAGTATTAAATTGGGCGATGTTAACAACACGATTCAATTGGTGGCGTCGATGAAATTTGGTTGCTTGTCGCACATCCCTCATGGTATCAGTCACAACTTCCACAATCGTGGACAAGTTAGTTGACTCGTTTTTCGCCTCAACTTTCGGGGGAATCCTTTCACTGATCTCTTTCTGACAAATATCAAGCAATCTACTTGCATTTTGAATCATTTCTTGGTTTCTGTCAAATAAACGAGTCAAGAGACATTCTTTATCTCCACTAGTTTTCTGTTTCGCTTTAGCATCCTCCAGATAGGTTTTTGTTCTCATAAATGACTCGTTTTGTTTGCGATATTGACTTTCTAATCTGTTTTTGTGTTGTTTTAATTCGAGAATTTCACGGAGGAGTTCAATTATTTTATTGTTGACTTGTTCTTGGGTCAGGTCGGCACTTGGATTTTCTCTTAAATCCGCCAATTCGCTTTCTAGTTTCTCGATTTTTTCTTGCAAGGCGCTTGAAGCGTCAGTTAGAGTTTTAGCGATTTTAAAATGGGGGAAAGTGGCGAGTCGTTTCATTAAAGTTGCGATCTGTAAAGTATTTAAGGTTTCACGGCCGGACTTGCTGCTAGTTGAAAAGGTGGCTATGATACAAGCTTTGGCGCTACCGTTGAGACTATCTTGCAAAATTCGAGTCAATTTCGAATCACGGAATGGAATTGATTTTAATTGTAGTCCTAGACACTTGACTACGTTCCCAAATACGTTAAGTGACTTGTGAATCACTGCAAATTCTTCGGTTGTTTGTTCGGCGATAAACCCGGCGTTTTCACTCCCGGCCAACTCGACGAAATTTAAACGACCGGTTTTAACACGTTCGCCATTTTTCACGTCCACAAACAAGGTGACCATCAAATGAGAAAGATACGCGTAGTATGAGCTCTTTTTCAATGTTTTTCGACCGATATTAACCCAGTCATTGACATCATGAGCGTTAAAAACCGTGATTTGCGTCAAATCATTAAAACAAACTGAACCGTCATCCAACGGATCATCATACACTCTACATTAAAAAAAAATTAAAGGAATTCCACTGACAAAATGGTACAAACCTCAAGGGAGTACTGTCGTCAAGCAAATCAAGAACTTGTTCGTGGTTGATTTCAATGAATGAAACTCGAACTGAGTACTGAGTTTCCGCATCAAGTTTACCCAATTCCTCGAAAAGTTCCTCAGCAGCTCGCAAAATCAAACCAATTGATTTATCCTACAATTAGTTTAGTCACAACGCCGGCTTAGATTTTCAACTCACCACTTTGAAGTCACAAAAGTCAATTTCACGTTCCCCAAAAAGTGTGTACGACTTCCCCGTGCCCGTTTGTCCGTATGTAAGAAACGAGCAAGTGTAACCCGCAAGGACGCTACGAATGAAGGGGGCTACCGCAACCTCATAAATCTCCAACTGGTCAGCATTCTCCTCAAAAACGTAATCAAAAGTGTATCTCTTCTTAATTCTTCCGGTTTTGATCACGAGATACTTGGGGTTCATGTACTTTATCACTTTGGGGGCCTTCGTTGAAATTTCGACTTGAGTCAAAGGCCTGGGATTTTATTAGCAATTTCGAGTTTTTATCAATTACGGGACTTACCTAGGCCTTACGCAAACCTTTATAGGTAAAAGTGGCCTTTCGTCACTCATTTTTAACTAATCTTTGGTAATTTATATCACAGTCGGTTACTTTCCACGAGCACAGCCTACTTGCGCTTCAACGGTTTAACGGTTTTTTCAAAATTTAAAACGACAACCGGCACACCAACCTAACACGACCAAAGTCACCAACATAGTTAAATTTAATTTTAAAATATTTCCGTAAACATAAAATTACAATTGTATTTTTTTAATCAATAAAATAATAATTTCATAACGTAATTTAATAAACATAAAGTTGTTTCTTTATTTTTTTGATGGGGTTATACAATCAACAATACGCGTCTGATGGTAAGGTTGCATGCCCTGAGAATTTATTTTTTAGTGGTGTTCAATTGTTTTTAAAGTTTGTTTGTTGCTAAATTATAGTGGTGCTAAAATTGTAATTTAAAATGTGTTTTTGGTGTTGTGGTTTCCGATTTAAGTTTAGTGAGTGTTGTGAGGGTTTTAAAATTTGAATTTCCCCCTTTGTGAAGTGTTGTGATTCATGCGTAGGGAGAAAGCGTATGCGTGCAGATAACTGGTGTAAATATGGCGTCACAGGAGGACGATAACAAACTTGAGAGTAAATCAAATGTAAACAAAGATCAAGAAAGAAACTTTATAAATGTGTATAAGGTGAACAATTAAATTTTTGTGCTTTTTGCACATTAGTTTATTTAATTTTCGCATGATTATTGTGAAGGACAGTGTGTTGTTCAATTTTCGCATGGCCGCCATGTTCCATTAAGAAATTTTCTGAAAATTGAAGAGTTTGGCCAGTTTTGAGATGTTGAGACAAAATTGTTGAGTGCAAATTGATCATGTTTGGTGTAGACTGTGTTTTTGTTGGAGTGCCTCGAATCAAATGGAACCTAGTTCCCGACAGTTCTGTTGCTAGAGCTGGAGATTTGTTTGTTTAATTGCTTGTTCCTGTGTTTCCATCCACGATGAGTTCTAAATGCCAGGGAGTGAACGACTTTACACCGTTTAAAGCACGCATCTTTTTTATTATTTTTTTAGAATTCGGAGTGATTTCATAACACTTGCCATTCATCACAACCCAAAACAATCCAATTCCAGTTGTTTATTATGAAATCACTCATTAGTATTAATCCATTTTTCAATTAAGTACTTAGTTTTTTGTTCAATTAAATTAGCTTCAAGTACTGCACTTTTTGTTTAATAAGTTATTTGTAATTGTAGTTTTCTCTTTCAGAAATTTGAGTATATTTTGAAAAGCAAAATTGAACCGTTCTCTAAGAAAATTGAGTCACTTATAGAAATATGGAAAAGTCTAGGCCAGTGCAATCAAGAAAATTCAGACATTGGATACATTATTCAGATAATGGATTGGGCAAAGTTGCACACACTAAATATTGTCTTGACGGGAAAATGGAAAATGTTCAAAGGTAATTACGTCTTCCTCACGGCGGTAACTAATTTCCAAATTTTCAGTTGATTTTGAAGCAAAACTTTTGAATGAAGTGGAGAAGACTCAGAATGAATTGATGAAAATAAGTGATGTGTTTTCGAAGAAGTTTCAAAAATTATCTGATGTCATCAAGAATCCTTGGGATGACCCAGTTTTAGCCAATTTATTACATGACAGCAATGCAACTATCGGTCAAGATGGTACGAAACTTTGAGTTACAGTTATTTTACTAATTATTTTTGTCGTAGAAATTGAATTTTTCTGTGTTGAAACTGCTTATTTAGTTTCCGTTCGTTTGAAGAAATTATGCGAGTCCCAGTGTGAAGATTTAGCTCTGAATTTAGTTACGGCGTTTATGAACTGTTACAATTTATCTCAAACCCAGAATTTCAGTTTAAATGCCACAAAAACCCACATACTTTTTTGTTTTGACATCCACGTTGCGTTGCTTTACAGGTATAATAGAAGATCGGAAATAGTTGCATTGGTAGGGTTTAAATTGAAGTTTTTATTTTCTTAAAATTGTATTTAGTTTAAGAAACTTAGCTTGGAGGAAGGTTTACATTTGATACGTCGATTTGCGAAAAAACGTGTCAAGATCTCAAAAGTTTGGCGAAATTACCCTGAAATAACATTTCTGGCGTCTCAAGTGTTTGTTACTGCTGCTGTTACAAAACCAATTGAAGAAAGTGGTGAGCTTTTAAAGCTACTTCTCGATTCGTGGATTGCATTCAGCATAGAACACTCAATGGTTGAAAAAGTTGAAGTATCGGTTCGTCGTATTATTCAAGCGGCTACAGCCGCACAACATATTTACATCTGTTGCGAAATAATCCACGACAAGGTATGGGAATAAAGAAATTTTGTTGTCTTGTTTCTAAAATTTTGTTTCCAGTTTGGTTTGAAGTTGCGAACGTTCACGATTGAGCTGTACATCAGGGCATTGACAACGGATATGAACAATTTGGAATCTCAAAAAACCGAAAACGAGACCGAGAAGGTTGAAGAAACGACGAAACGTCTCGCGAACGGTTTTTCTAATTTGGCGGATATTTTGAAGGACAATGTTCAAGTTAGTCGAGAGTGTGCTCTTACCGCTTTCAGTCTGGAACCTACCCTCGATCGTCTGCGAAAAATCGAAGAATTGGCGAAATTATCCGGTTTTAATGTGCTAGACACGGGTCAAATTTGGGAATGTAAATTACACCCACCGGTCACGTCCGCGGACGAAATCTCGTGGATTTGTAACGCTTGCGGGAAGTGGATGTGTAAACCAAATCTCGATTTACGCTTAACAACAAATTTTGCTCTCAACGAGGCCTTGAATTTTGAACAATTGGGTATTTCGTCCCAGCTTTGTGATGATCTAGCTGTTGTTTTGAACGGTCCGAGGTACCACTTATTAAGTTGGTTGTTAAGGTGGGAAGATCTTCACAGATTGTGTGAAATGTACTTAAATGATATGGAACGTACTAAAAATCTTGTAACTGAACTGAAATTTGTCGATATTGATTATTCAATGTTCGCTGGTGTTAAACGCGAACCGGTCGACGAATTGGCGGGTATTGAGAGGGGCTACGAACGGTTTCTTTATGCCGATGAGAAGTTCGTTGATATGATTGAGAATTGTAATCCCGAACCACCACCAGAAGTACCCCAAACGAAATCTGATCCCAACACTTTGAAATCGTTGAGAATGTTTAGACATAATATTAAAAGGAATAAGCCTCAGGTGTCACAAAATATTTTAGAAAGCAATAATTTAGCAAATAGTTCGCAAAATTTAAATAGAGAAAATAATTGGTCTCCTGACCATCGCTTCGACCAAAGTTTATCATTCAATCCACCAAATTCATTCCAACCAAACTTAAATGGAACGTTCTCACACAATGCGACATCAAGAAGTTATTCCGAAGTGTTTTTCAATCACTTGACATCAAACACACAGTTTAAAAAAAGTACAGATGGTGCTGTTGACTATTCAACAACTACAGGATGCAATAAACAATCCAGAGACGTTCTAGATTTTCGAAGTAGCATTAAAAGAAAACCATCTGAAAATATCGACAATGAAAATTATCAAAAATTTGCGAATAACTACATCAACTCATCCAGTGATAATTTTTTACATAACATGATCTCGTATGAATTTTCACGAAGCAATTCTGAACCAAAACGAAATCAAGCAACGGATTTTTATCACCAGAAACCAAATTTTATCCCGACTTCAAACATGCCGTTTCAAAACGATTCTATCAATTTAATAAAACGAACACAAGCAAAAAACGAGCGAAGTGATAAAACTCTACCTCAATCAAATGGCTTAAGACACGACGTTATTCCACACAATTCATTTGAGAGAAGCCCGTCCCAGAATAAGAATTTTTTAATTTCGAATATGAGTTACAAAAATAAAGAGGATATAGTTTTAGCGCCCAGTAAAGGTTTCCCTAGTTTCGATAAAATTCCAGCACCGATAATTAATGACAAAACCGATAATAAGTCTCAGTATTTAAATGATTTGCATCTTCAAGTTTTGGGCAATAATGGAAATGTTCAGCTACCAGAAACTTCTCTGGAAGAGTCGAATAATAAAAGAACAAACACAGAGGAATCGAAAGGCGTGCCAGAGAAAAAACTAAGAATTGATGAAGTTACGTCACCTCCAAAAAACGGGTTATCGTCAATACTTGAAAAAGAATTGAATAAAAATAAAATAATAAAAGAGTTGCTATCAAAAAACGACTTACCGCCAAAAAACGGGATTTGCAACAATGTGCAAACTTCGCCACCTTGTCAGACACCACGACCAAAAAATGGAATACACATAGAAACAAATGAACATAAGATGTTGCTCAAACTCTCTGAGCAACATCCAATAATCATAACAAAAATTGATGAGGATTCATCAAGTGAAACTAAAAGTGATATTAGTGAAGAGACTGTTGTAAAAATCGATGACTTTCAAGAGGAATATCCCAAAGACTGCCAATCGGAAAAAACCAAAAACAATGCCTATCCTTATAAGTATAAAGAGAGACCTAAGTGGACTAACCCCAAAGAATTAAAAATAATCCTCCACCGGTTATCAGACGAAGTTATCAAAAGTTTCATCCCGGGTTATTCGGACACGGATACAAAAAATTGCAACTGCGATACAAAAAATTGCACCTGCAACTACACAACCAAGAAGAAGCATGTCGGAAGGCCACGTAAAGTCATGTGTTGCAAATATCGAAACTTCGAAAGACTAACCTACGATAAGTATTCGGTAAGGACGGTTAGACGGCATAATAGTGATAGACTTAGAAGAATTCGTTCGAGAAATATGCGACGTGATTTAGCAAGAAAGACTGGCGATAAACTGAAAAGGTATAAATATTATAGACACGACAGGGCGAAGAAACCGAAAAAACACAGTGATAAAAACAAGAAGAAATTCAACATCCCGAGGAACGACATGAACCCACGTGTAGTCCTCGAAAGACTACCCCTAGATACGAATTACGTCCGAAGTGTTTTATCAAATGTCCCTGGTTTAAATGATTATGAAATGATTAGGCCAACTAATGTCAATCATATTGTAAATGTGGTACAAATTTCCGGAGGACGATCAACTTCGACTGGTCCTGTACAAAACACACAAACAAGTACCCAAATTACCCCACATATACAAAGAATTGGACAACCACGATCTGATAAACCCGAACATAATTCAAATTCTGAACCAACGACGACATCAACACCAGCGTCAACTTCAGCAACTAAACCGACAACTTCACAACCATCAACTCTTATCAATATTCTATCGCAACAAATAATTCGACCGGGTCAAAGTAACTGTATCAGAAATCGTTCCTCACCCCTTATTAATATTCTTTCGCAACAAATTATAAGACCTGCGACAACACAAAATAATAAAGTGTCAACACAATCCGAAGGACAGGTAATTAGTTTTGTTTTTTTTTTTATTTGATTGTTTTAATTTGTTCTTGTTTAGGCTAATACACCCAAAACTGATCAGTCGAATTTAGAAGAAACCAAAACTGTGACTACGACTACTAAAACTACAACAAATACAACATCTAGTGGTCAAGGCACCATTTTACAGTTTATTTGTAAGTCGACATTACCGAAATTCCAACAAGCTTTCGGTAAATCCGTTTATCAGAACAATACTGAAACCAGTGAAGCGTCTAGTACGAGTACTGAAACGGTAACGAACGCTGAAACGAATAAAAAGACACCAACAACGAAAAACTCCTCTGTTAATATTCAACCGATTCAAGGTGGTGTGATATATACGCGTCAAATGCCAGTGGGACAAACAATAAATTTGATACCACCAGGACGTGGACAAGTGTTCCGAATCGCAACGTCAAATTCGGACCAAATATCACTAGTGAAAGACACGGTGATTCACAGTAAAATGAGTGCGTTACTAGCTGCAGCGTTACAAGGAAAAACAAAAGATGGCCAATCTGATGGTGAGAGTACAAATGAAGAAACAGTCGGTACTAGAGTAACAGTAACGCGACCCACTTTAGTACAAAATGCCCGAATTGTTAAACCTGTATTACAAATCCCTTCTAACGTCATACGCACAAGTCCTCAATCGAATCTAAGTTCAACAACTTTAGAACAATTGAGAGAATTCGACATGGTTTATAAACAAATCAAGGAACGAAGTAGTACAAACACACCTTCGGAACCCAACACGTCTGAATCGAACGAAACCCCACAGAAAATCAGTGTTACATATCTGAATCAGGGCCAGAAATACACTCAATTATCACCAGTGGTCGTTGTTAGTAGTTACTGTAATTTGCAACCGGCTGCTTCACCTGCACTTAGTGTTACATCGCAAGGCAGTTCTAGTCCTTGTGTAACACCAGCGCCGGCCCCCTCAATCCCCAAAGTCTCCTCAAAAAGTTCCAAAGGCAAAACGGTGAAAAACACGACGACTCAAGCATCAAAAGCGTCACCGATACCGAAACCACAACAAAAACCACAAGAAGATGAACATACAACGCAACGAATTTTCGATATTTTAGCCGAATATGCGGAACAATTGAGAAATTCACCGGATTTGAATAACAAACCGGCACCGAGACGACGTTCGAATCCACCGACTAACCCAAATCAGAATTCCAAACGGAAAAAAAACTCCGGATCGAAAAAAAGCGGACAGTGCAGTAGTATGGTATCAGAGGCGGATATTGAAGATCATAGAACAGTAGGTAGTGAAGATAGTTCGTGTGGGGTTGTACAAATTTCAATGCAAGAAGACGAGCAAAGTCACGTACAAACTGTCACAACTGAATCAAATGATAGTTCATCGGGATCGAGACAACAATTGATTTTAACCGATGCTGGTAATAATCAAACCCGGAATTTAATAATTGCGGATTCGAGTGTTGGGGAAGCTTTAAAAATGCCAAATACGGCCGTTTTGGTACCCGGAAATTACATAATGCCAGTATCGATGGTCAAAGGGGGCCAACAAATTGCTGTTGTTTCCGGTGGGAGCAAAATATTGGCTACTGTACCGGCACGATCTGGTCCTAATATGCTCCTTTTTCAAAGTTTTTTGAACCAAAATAGAAACAAAACAGCTGTTCCAACTGTCAAGTATTCGACAATTCAACCAATTTCGGGAATTTCCTCACAAAGTTTAGCTGGAGTTAGTGGACAACCTCCTGTGATACTACCACCGAATTCTCATAACTTGACTGCTGTCACACTTGGACAACCACTGACTTTGAAAAAGATAGATGAGAGTGATAGGGTTAACACTGAATTGTTGTTGACAATTTCGCAACCAAAGGATAACGCAAATAATTCCACGGAATCGGGGAGTCATCCAGATAGTACTAGTACTGTAGGCAATATCGAGTTAGAAGAAACTATAGTTCAAGAAAATTCAGAGAAAGTTTTTCATACGTATCAGAAATCGTCAACTACACCAATCGCCACTCCGGTTATAGCTCAGACTTCATGTGTGAAGGAAGAACAAAATACACCGGAGAGTAACAAAAGTAAGTATTGCGATTTTTCGAAATAAATTGTTTAAATGTCAAGTTTCAGATGAACCAGGAAAAACATTAGAAAGGGTTCAATCAGTATTAGTTACCGCGTGTACTTCAAACGGCCCTATGTTGTCGCATACGCCTCCAAGATACCGCAAATCATCAGAATCAGCAGGTACAAATAATGAACCTTCTAACAAGGAGGAATTTTTACATAATGGGGAGAAGGTAATCAGCATTTAATAATTTCCACTGTAAATTTTGGCTTATTTATTTAGAAATTTTACTAATTTTGTTGTTATCTTTCAGCAAAATAATAACGAACAGAAGCAATTCCAAGGCAACGCGACTTATTTCCAAAACAAGACTAAAAAAGCAAATAATCCGCAACGACTCGACCGCGAAATGCACCAATTGTGTTTGCAGAGAAAACAAGCGGCCCTTGAACGCGAATTACGTCTACAGAAATCATTATCTGAGGAATGTGAAGATTTGGGTGTGGATGAGCCAAGTACGAGTGATTTGTTTCCAGAAGCGGATATATTATTTGATGCGAATCATTCACCATCGTTCGATCAGTCGTCTCAAGATTTAGTGAAACGTGCAACTGGTCAAGAAAAAGAAGAGAATAAGTCTGGAATGACTTTATTTAGTGATGATGATAATTCTGGTTCGTTGCGGACCGATTTTTTATTTGAATCAGTTGAGTATCAACAAACTGGAACTGAATTAGAGTATGAACAAAACCAACAATTGACAAATGGTCAAAGTAGTGCTAGTAACGAATCGGGATCGTCGTGTGAGGATCACACATTGTTGCAAAATTGTGCGTCGATGTCTGACGTGACGCTGAATTCGCCAGTCTCGTCCGATCCTTATCATGAAAACACGCCACCATCGTTGAACAAGTATAAATTCAAGTACAGTAATCGCCGAAAAGGGGAACGCAATAAGAATTCCGAGACATGGACGGTGGAGATATCGAGTTCGGAAGATACGACTGGAAGCACCGATTTGGGTAAAAGCTCGAGTCATAGTCCCGAATCGTGCATCAATAAGCAAAGTCATAGTGTTAGTTGCGATGAAGAACTGAGTGATGGAGGCTACAAAGTCGTCCGAGTGGCAATATCGAAAAATGATTTGATTAAAGATGAGGAAAGCTGTGAAGAGTTGCATTGTGAAGACGATTTGGATTGTTCACCAAGTGGTAGAGGTGCTAGACGCAGTGTTAAAAAAATGTGTTCTTGTTGTAATGGCTCTCAAGATGGCGGCGCTTCGAGAAAGAGACCAGCATCAAGACCTCATACGCCGGCTCCGCACAAGAAGGCCTTCCTTAACAAGAAAAGATAGTGCACACGTGTATAGCATGATATTTAAGTTAAAATTGTTAGTTGTTTCTGTTAACTAGTCGAGCTATCGAGTGGTTGCACTTTAGTACAAATTATCTGACAGCCGGTGGTGTAGCGTCTGATGAACAATTTATTATTAATTACTTGTATAGTAATTGCTACGTTTGCAATCTTTTAGTACCTCTAACTGTAAATTTTCCTTGTATATGTAAAATATTTAAATTACATGTGCAGTTTGTCGTTGTATATAAGTAATCTAATAGGTCTATCAGTAAAGATGATACAATTTATTGCATTGTGCAAATAAGAATTAATTAGTACATATTGCTCTTTTTCATTATTTAAAACTGCAATAAGTTCACACGTATTTCAGTTCTTTTATACATTGTTAAATTATGTCTTATCGGGATTATTTCATAGGTAATGTTAGTTCTTGATAGACAAAAATATTGTGTATCTTTTATTTTTGCTTATAGCAACTAGAGTTAGTATTCAATTGAGAGTATTTTATTTCGGTTTTTTCTTTTTTGTTAATATTTATGTACTCAGTTGTCAATCGTAAAAAATAATTCGTTTATAGAAAAACGATTTGTATGTTTTTCATTACCGTATTTTTTCCAATAAATGTTCTTATAAATTTTTTTTTCTTTTTCCAATCTTATTTTCAATTAATTGTATTCAATTAATGTTGCAGGTGCCAAATTTTTAGCTTGGTATTCCAGTTTTATACCTTTGTAATATTTATAAAATGGTCACTTGGTATACTCAATGTTAGTATCATTGACAATCGCCTTTTATCAAAATGCGTATCAATGATACTTCCAGTGGCGTGCGAGGGGGCCTGTGCCCCCCCCATTGACTTCTGTCACTTATAATAAAAATAAAACAAAATATAGTAAGAAATACTAAATAACTTTATTGTTTTTCTTTCTTTTTCAAAAATAGACATTTGTGACTGACTTTTACCGCACCTGAGCAAACAGATCTTTAAATTCCGATTTTTTGTTGCTTCTATATCAAATTTTGAAAATGTTGCACATTTGACAACACTGCACTACCACTTTTCATAAAATTTTCTTTTTTTAAATCTAATTTAAAATTTTCTTCTATTATTTCAATTATTTGTCTTGATTTAACAAATCTAAAACATTTTTATCTTATTTTGTTTCAAATTTTCAAAAATTGTGCAAGTTGCGAAAGTCGCCGTTACCGGATTTCTGCGTCGCTGTAAATGTCAAAACCGAAAAACATACCTATGATGCAAAACTCTAAATAAAGCTATTACTCAATAAAAATCGTGAAAATGAATAAAGTATCAGAATTCGAAATAGCCCCCTTAAGGACTTTGGACGATTTTCTGTTAGAATCAGCCCGATTTCAAATTCCGAACGTGAACGACTTGGAAAAATGGGGTAAAAGAGTCTCAAGTAACTTGCTCTACTACCAAAGCAACTACTTCTTAATGTCACTAACAATCTTCGTTATTGTGGGGTAAGTCACCCTCCAACCCCTTACCCCCGTTAACAAACCCATTTTCAGTGTCATCCACCCCACAAAAATGGCCTGTGGCTTCGTAGTCACTGCAGTCATTTTCATGGTGTTTTCCTACATCACCAACGAACGCTTCGCTGCAGCTCAATTCAAGAAGAAACACCCGATTATCTCACTTTTGCTCATATTATCGGGCTGCTACTTCGTAGCCTACATGCTTAAATCCCTCCTGGTTTTCATGTTTGGGATTTTACTCCCAATTTCAGGTAAAATAAACATTTTCCCATTTCCGTAAACTAATCAATATTCCAGCCACCTTCATCCACGCGTCTCTGCGACTCAGAAACATCAAAAATAAAATCGTCAATCGCGTTGAAAATCTGGGCCTGAAACGGACCCCCATGGGGATTTTTCTTGAGCAACTCGGGCTGGATCAAGAGGGATTCTAACTACCGCGCTAACACTATATTTAAGTGCTTCAACAAACTTAAAGTTTTATTGAGAAAATTATTCGGAAAGAAAAATGCACACAAAAAGTGATTTTTCTCACGCACCCTAGGCTATTTTTTCAATTGCATGCAGTAGTGAGAAAAAAATATATAATTATTACTATATTGTTACAATTATCCAAGATTGTTTTAATGTGATATTCTTATTTTTATGTATTGTTTGATATTGCATAAAGCTGTATTCCTAAGAAACTATTTATTTAAAAAACGTATAAAAATCGGGTAACGAAATGACTAGACTATAAACTGGTAGGTTTGATTCCATTTTTTTCTAGTTGGTGAAGAACATTTTCTTCTGATTTTTGTATAAATTTCTTCACTACGTTGTAATAATGATGTGTGTTGTAACTCCTGATGAATGATTTTATGTGTTCCACTAAATTCAAGTCACAAACTGGATGATTCTTAACTAATACATCATTAATTACTTCGTCTGTCTCTTGATAATATTTGCAGTCACCCTAAATCGAAAATGAGTGTTTACCATGACTCAAAAAATACTTACGTCAACTTCACTCAATAGTATTTTAATTAGGCACAAATAAAGTTTCTCGAGGCCGGAACATTCGCCATCAAATGGTGATTCCAGTTGTATTCTACACTCATTAATCCTGTCGTCTTTTTGTGTAAACGAATATTCAATCATTTTACATAGGGCTAAAGTACTGAAAGACGATAATTAAACCAGTTTTACTAACTAATGACTTACATTATACTCTTCTCGAATTTCTCACAATGCAACATATTTATTTGCCACCTATTTAAGAAATATGACAAGGCGCTGCAACCGTCCGGCCCGGGAATCCCCGATAAAAAATTAACAATACTCTCAGTTTGCCACATAAACATATAAGCAAAAATAAAACAGTAACTTTTGATTGGATCTCGACAATTTGTTCTTTGTAACGCACTTAAAAGTGCCTTAAGTATTGATTCAATACAAGGTTGGATTTGTTCAGGTAGTGTCATAATACTGATGACACATAAGCGTCCAAATTTCGACGGACAAACAGCTTCTTGTGGATAAGGTTCCAGGAGTTTAAAAAGAACATCAGGTACATATTCGGCCAGAAGTTTTCCTTTGATGTCTCTCAAAGTTTTAATTTGAAACGAAGCCTTCATTAAAATATTACTAATAAAAATCGTGGCCACTTCCATTATACTACTTTCGTTGAAATCCAAAATACAGTTACAAGCAGCCAAAAATCCCTGAACTACCACATTATCGTCAATTGTTTCGGGGTAAAACTTCACAACGGTGTTCAACAAATCAAAACCGCGCTCCGGAACATCCACTTTCAAGCTCAAAGGACTCGGACAACTCTTATAAATCAGTTTTATCGTAAACGGAATGAAACTACTCTGAACTATATCTTTACAACTCGAATTAACCACTATTTTACTCAACAAAAATTTCACTTCTCGGATCACACTAGCGTTGGAAATGTGAGAATAAAGCGAATCGAGAATCACTTGCATGATACGTTGTGACGTCCGAGCTGCACTTTCGGGTGAAAACTAAAAAAACTTACTTACTCGACAATTTTTCCCCCCACGTGACTCACCTCGAAAAAATACGCCATGGCTTCCAGACACAAGACTGACATAGTAGGCGAAAAAACCGAAATACTAAATAAACACTCAGTTATTTCAGTCAACAAATTCGAAAAAACCATCCGGTGCGGGTTGGATTTCAGCGTCGATAAGTGGGCCCTAATCGCACTAAAAAAAATAATAATTAAATTCGTTACAGAGGGGTTCTACTGTATTTTGTATACAGCGAGTGACCGAAATAAGTGCACACCAAAATTTATAAAGTAAGAAGGTTGCCTCGTAACTTGACTAAAGAGCGAGTAAGATGGCTATATGGTGATGTCTCGATCAAACGCTGGTTGCAGATTGTCAAATTTCAGATTTGTGTTATTATTCTTGTGTTGCATCTAGCCTTATTTTTAACTTTATTACTCAATATCTCAAAAACTATGCATCGTAGAGTATTTTAACTTGTTGCATCGTGTTCAGCGCGAAATTTTACGTCTAGAAAACCATTTTTAACCGTTTTTACAACTTAAGGTAAATTGACTATTTTTACGATTTTACTACCTTCAAAAACTCAAAAAATTCGTAATTTTTTAAACTTGACCCAATAACGTTTTACGCACTTTTTTGAGTCTTTAAGATCTCTAGAAATGTTGAAAAACGTAAAATAGATCAATTTTAAAGTTGATTTTTTTTTTATTTTTGTCGAGATTTTGGTCGATTTTTGGCACCCGGAGCGGTCTATTGCCAATAACTCCGGACTTATTGGAGATAACCTCTTATATTTGGTATCGTTGGATAGAAAATTGAATTTTCTGTCATATATTAAAAAATTTACTGCTCTACGATGAATAGTTATCGAGAAAATTTGTGATAAAGTCAAAAATATCGAAAATTTAAATCCTACTATAACTTCAAAACTATTAGGAATTTTGCAGTTTTCTTGACGCCAATCGATTCCCCGGAACATTTTACATGTTTCTAGGTCAAAATATTATATCGTTGAGATACAGTTTTTTCGCAATTTACAAAATAAAAAAAAGTAAAAATTTGTCAACACCCCCCCTTAACCTTAAAAACTAGTGTTTTTTAACATGTCTCAGATTCAATTTAAACCTATCTTATCCGATAGATTTTGACGCGCTAATTACGAATTTCCCAATTATTTTGCGCCATCTCCTTTAGTTTCGCCGTAATCGGCGTTTAAAAATTCAATTTTTTTTTTCGAGATGTCGACTTGGCTTTGGCCTCAGTCGATAGATTTTCTTACGCTGATAACGATGGAGTTGGACTGATTGCTCTAAGTCTAATAGTTTGGCCGTAATCGCCGTTCAAAAAGTGAAAATTGTKAAAATTGTGAAACTTTAAACGCGTTTTTCTACGAAACTATAGAACTTAGAGCAAAGGGGTAAAAACTATTAAAATTAGCTTAAAATTATCTATTTACTGGCGCAAACCGGAAGTCGCTCCGGGTTATGGCTCCGGGTACAGAGCCATTTTTAGTTTTTTCAAAAAAAAATTCATATCTCAAAAACTAAGAGTCTTAGGTAAACAGGGTTTGAACAGGTGTGTTCTCTGGTTAATTTTACATATAGTACTAGTTTTTCATAAYAATCAAAAAATGTTGATTTTTGGTCAAAATCGATATAGTGCTTTTACTTTTAGCCTTATTTTTAACTTTATTACTCAATATCTTAAAAACTATGCATCGTAGAGTATTCTAACTAGTTGAATCGTGTTCAGCGAGTAATTTTACGTCTAGAAAACCATATTTCAACCGTTTTTACGATTTTTAGTAAATTGACTATTTTTACGATTTTACTACCGCTCACCTTCAAAAACTCAAAAAATTCAAAATTTTTGAAACTTGACCCAATGTCGTTTTATGCACTTATTTGAGTCCTTAGGACCTCTAGGAATGTAAAAACGTAAAATAGATCAATTTTAAAGATAAAAATTTTATTGATTTTTGTCGAGATTTTGGTCGATTTTTGGCACCCGGAGCGGTCTAATGGCAATAACTCCGGACTTATTAGAGATAWCCTCTTATATTTGGTACCGTTGGATAGAAAATTGAATTTTCTGTCACATATTAAAAAGTTTACTGCTCTACGATGAATAGTTATCGAAAAAATTTCTGATAAAGTCAAAAATATCGAAAATTTAAATCTGACTATAACTTCAAAACTATTAGGAATTTTGCAGTTTTCTTGACGCCAATCGATTCCCCGGAACGTTTTACATGTTTCTGGGTCAAAATATTATATCGTTGAGATACAGTTTTTTCACAATTTACAACATAAAAAAAGGAAAAATTTGTTAACAGGCGTATTCTCCGGTTAATTTTACATATAGTACTAGTTTTTCATAAGAATAAAAAATTTTGGATTTTAGTCGAAATTTTGGTCAATTTTTGGTACCCGGAGCGGTTTATTGCCAATAACTCCGGTCTTATTGGTGATAACCTCTTATATTTGATACCGTTGGGAAGAAAATCTAATTTTATATCATATACAAAAAAGATCGGTGTTCTACGATATAATTATCGAGATAAAATTAAAAAAAAAAAAAATTTAATATAAATTAAAATATTGTAAATTTTAACAAAATATATTTATACATTATATGTATATATTTTATTTATTTTATCCTTAATAAAAAATATTTTATTGGTATTTATTTTGTGGAATTCATTTTTTTTAACTTAAAATTTTAAAAATATGTTTGGTTGCATATCCTATTTTTGAACGTCAATTTGCACCAATAATGCGCACACGTGATTGGTGCAAAGTTACGTCGCAAACTTCTTACTTTGTGCACACAGTCTACTGTATTTTGTATACATCGAGTGTCCGAAATAAGTGTCTCACTTACTCTAAACAAGCGATTCGTAGTGCGCTATTTTGCGAGTTGTAGTTGGCCAAAATCGCGTTTAAATGGCGACTCAAAGTAACCGGGGTTAAATGAGTGCTAAATTTGCTACCAACCCAAAGCAGCCTCCCTAAAACAGTCCAATCGGGACGTTGATCAAGTAACAAATTCGACCAATGTTCGATATAATAAAGAAAACTCTGTTCCGGTTCTTCAAAAACGTAGCTTAAAAGACCAACCCCAAACATGAGCACTTCCAAAATTCGGTTATAGTAAACTTCAGAATTAACCCTTGCGAGATTTGCTTCGGCTATATGTTTCTGTAAAACGTGGTGAAATGAGGCACAAAATTTACTATAGTCGCAGCGGTCCATGAAAACCTAGAAATTAAAGTTTTGACATAATGAAATGTCGGGGATTCCCCCTTACCAGTAAAGTGTGACCGCAGCGTCCGCGTAAAGTGTAGTCGATTTCGGGGCTTATATCGAGGTTGTCTTCCGTGAAAAGTGTCTCCTCGACGTTGTCATAAGCACACATTAAAATAAACAACAAGTACATAAAATCATTTAAACCGTCAGTCAAAAGAGAAGAGTAGTTTGGTAAAACGAAAATGTTATTAATGAGGATCAAAATATTCAAAATAAGTTGATTGAAGTTCTCTGGTTCGGCCTCATGTGCGTCGCGGGGTACTTGTTTGTGCCCCATGATAATCTCCTTGAATTCCAGACAACAATTAAACATTATTTGCCCAATCGCTGGTAAACACCGAGTCACAAGTTCCAAAACGTTGTCAGATAAGTTCACAACAGCGTGTGAGATTTGATTAATTATTTCGCCCCTTAATTTAAAATCGTTTGAACGACTATAGGGCTCACTGAGGAGTTTTTGGAAAACTTCAGTCAAGCGAGAGTTGGTGGCCGAAAACAGCGGAGTTTTCTTACAACTTATGAGGATTTGAACCATGCATGAAATAGTGGCTGCACGCAAATCCATTGGAAAATTCTAGAATGGCAAATGAACGATTTGGGGGCCACCCTTGGTCTTGAGACTTACCTCGTTGTGAAGGACGTTCAAAAGGGGCTCGATGTATTCCGGGGGAAAGTACATGTTCTCGCTGCAGAAAACTCGCTGGTTGCAACCCAACCCCCTCATGAATTGTATAGCCCCAGTCACTTCCAACATATTCTCGCTCAGTAAATAACTCATGACTTTGTTATTTATCACACTGAACAAGTTTGGATATTCATTTACTACCAATAGTTCAAGTGAGGAGAGAACCATCTGTCTGATAACATCATTTTCGTGTGATAACAATTCGATTAAAGTTAGGCTCAACTTCTGTCTCAGGTTGGGGTTTAGGGCTACAAATTCTTTAGCCCCGTAACTATCAGCAATATAATTTTTAAGGAAAGTCGCCGCCATGAGTTTCTCAGCATACGCTTCTTCCTTACTTTGGATAATTTCCAGAAGAATGAAAGGATAGTCTTGAAAAAAAAGATGAAAAAGTGAGGTTATGTCAAATTCGTCAAACCTTCAGTCATTTCTAAGGCTTTTTTGCGCTCTTCTGTTAATCTTTGAATGTCTGAATGCGGTTGAAGGGCACAACTTAAAATTTGCGCAATTGCGTTTTTTAATGCTGGCTTTTGACCCGACATTTTCAATTTATTTTTCCAACCTACAAAAACTGATCAAGCAATACTCAACTGTCTTATAAAAAAATTAATTATACTTACCTTAATGGTATAAAAAATCACATGAGAAATTAACAAAATAATTTGAAAATAAGACAACAAACTTTAGACAGTCGTACCAATTGTGACACCTGTCAATCAGTGTCGACAGTCCAAAAGATTGAATTCACCAAATCCAAGCTAAATAAAGTCAAAAACAGGTAAAAACGCCTTTTTTATAATAATTTAGTGATTTTTGGGGCTACATACCAACTAAATTAATCCAATTTTTGACTTAATTTGTTGATTTTTTGCAAAATCTCACAAAAAGTACTAAAACTGTTTTCAACCAAATTTTGTTTTGGTTCTTTCGACTTATTTTTGACTTAACTTTACTCAAAAATCAGTTAAATTGAGCGAAATAAACAAAATAACATCGATTTCGATTTAATATTGTAACTTTTCAACCTGTTTAAAGTTTAAACGAAATTTTTTGAGTCGCGTAATTAACTAATCTAGTGGTTTTCGATTTATTTTTGAAAAAAATTGGCAAAACAATCAAGCTTCTGGTAGAAAAACGTGCCAAATGCAAATAGTGTCATAATTTTTTACTAAATTTATTAGGCTGATAACTGAAAAATGAGTGTATTAAGTTTTCTTCATTTCCAAAAAAATCACCAGACAATAAAAATTTTCACCAAATCATGAAAATCACCAGACGTGGCAACACCGCCAGAAGCACGTTTTGGTTGTCTGACACTTGATTGGCCCATTGGAATTACATAATAGCATATTTGGCGGGTCATTTGAATTTATTGAATTATTTCAGGCTTGAGTTAATTATTAATAGTGTTCATGTCGGGTCCAGAAAATTTGTTAAAATTGAATTAGATTAAGCGAGTCGCAAATGAAAATAATTACGTCAGAATTCAAAAGATCAATAAAAATTGCATAATTACGAAAGCACGTTAATAGGAAAATTATATTACAGTTAAGCATTCCAATTACGAATAACGATGCGATTACATAGCAGTGCAGTCTTTATCATTTCTAATTACATTTTTGTTAATTATTAAACACAACACATAACTGCGGTAACATTTGCTTAGTGACATTGCAACAGCAAGTTTATTGACTCAAAAACTGTGCTGAATATTTGAGGTAAGGACATTGCGATTATTTTTGTGTGTACAAATAAATATTCAATTCGGGTGATAAAAACAGCGATAAGATAGTCAATTATTTGCAATTTATTTCAACTTCAAGAGCACAGAATTTTGTAAAAAAAAGTTATTAAAGGATTCGAATTTTTATTTTGATGATTTTCCATTGAACAAAATTCAAATAAACGTATGATTCAACTTATTTAGGGAATTGAAACGGACTTTGAGCGACAAATATTCTTAGTTGTAGTTTTTGTCCTGTATTGTGAAAATTATCTCAAATTACCTTTGTGCCATTGAGGCACTAATCTTAATTTCATTTAATTTTTAGCATACAATGCAATAATGAAATTAACATTTTTATAATTAACACCTATGATTAATAGTTACAAGGTTAAGAATATTGGAAATGTGGGGCTCAACGGGCGTTTTTTGGGGGCCGCACCTCAATGATTCCTTTTTTAGTCTCCCAACAATGTCAGAAAACTTCGCCGAGATTGAGAAATACTTAAGCCAGTTTGGCAGCGGCGACGTCATCCTCTCAAACAAATACTTCGACAAAGGCCTCGCCGTGATTTACTTTAACAATCCGGGAAAAAAGAACGCAATCAGCGGCAAAATGATGGTCCAACTCCGGCAATGCGTCCAGAAACTCGAAGAATGGAAAGAGGGCAAAGCCGTGCTCCTCTGCGGCCTTGGGGGCAACTTCTGCTCGGGGGGCGATCTCGAATTCGCAAAAGCCTCCGGCACGCAAAAGGAAGCACTTTACATGAGCAACTGGATGCAAGACACCTTGACTCGTCTCCAGAAGCTCCCCATGTTCAGCGTGTGTCTGATCCAGGGCCCCACGCTGGGGGGCGGCACCGAAGTGTCGCTTTTTTGCGACTTTATTATCGCCACGGAGGATGTCAAATACAGCTTCATTCACGGGAAAATGGGGATTATAACAGCGTGGGGCGGAACGACGCGGTAATTTGACACGAAAAGCGCGTTTTAGTTGAGTTGATCGGTTTTTTCAGGCTCGTTGAGAAAATCGGGGGCAAGAAAGCACTCAATTTGTTACTCACGTCGCAGATTTTGAACGCCCAGGGGTGTGTCGAGAACGGCATCGCCGATCATGTGGTCCCCGTTGAGGACTGCTTAGCCAAAGCTATGGAATGGATCGATTTAAGACTCCAACACCATCACCAAATCATTCGCTCCTTCAAAAATTGTGTTAATAAAGCCGTGAGGGATACGTGGGAAAATTCCCTAGCGTATGAGAAAAGTCTTTTTTCCTTGACGTGGGGCAGCGAAATGAACAAAGAAGCCTTAGCGAAAAACATCAAACATATTAAAATGAACAATGGAAATGCTAAAATGTAATTTTTTATCAATACAACAACAAATCAGCGATTTAAATGTTTATTAGCAGTATAAAAAAACATTAGATACATAAACGCTTATACTAAATAGTCTTTGGAATATAATAATATATACACCCGTCTTCATATTAACGTGCATCGCAGTAGTCGTTGCAAAAATTCAAACAATCCTAACCTCAATCTTGTCTACAAATTATTTTTTAATAAATGTGTACCCCAGGTGGCAAAAAATAACTAAAACTGACATAGAGTAGTAAACGTCATTATTGAATGACACTTTTTGTGTGAATCAGCCTTTAAGTTAAACATTGATATACAAAAATGATGACTCTATTGTTTGCATTTTATGAGCGTTTTTATTTAAGAAAATAGTTTTTTATAAGATTTCACCTAACAGAGTAAAAAATCATTACATTAAGTGGAAAAGTACATTATTTTCGCCTTTTTCGGAGCGTTTTAATACGTTTTTTACCCAGAAACGCAAATCTTTAGATCTTTAAATTAGGCCAAAAATTGTGTGTTTTATGCATTTTTAAAGTGTTTAATAAAGTTTTTGAAATAAATACAAAGTTTTTTTTGAAACATTTTGCTAAAATCGGCTAAAAAGTTAACAAATTAGATTGTATTATTTTAGCTTGTTTCGCTCGATTTAGTTCGTTTTAAACCAGGAACTTTTTATTTGCAAAATCTTGTCAAAACAAGCCTCAGAATTACAAAAAGGAATTCAAATAGATGTTATGTCGTTTGTTTTATTCGATTTAGCTCATTTTTGAGTAAAATTTTGTTAAAAAGTAAGCCAAAAAACACAAAATTTGGTTAAAAATAGTGTTACTTTACCTTTTTCAAGTCTTTAAGCATTTTAGAACAAAAAACGCCTTTTTCAAATGTATTATTAGCATGTTTCTCAGGTAAAAACTTAAATATTTCGTGCAATTTCATTAAAAATTAGACCAAAAACAGTGTTATTTTTGACCTTTTTGATTGTTTAAACACGTTTTTGGGCAGATTTGCGAGATTTATGTAAAAAATGTAAACACTTTTAGAAATCTCAAATCATAATCTTGTAAAAACACGTGTAAATTAACTTTTTTGCACAATCGTCAAAAAACAAAATTCTATTTTCAATTATTGATATAGTAATTAAGGTTAAAAATGATGACTCTATTTTTTGCATTTTTTGAGCATTTTGCACTTTTTTAGCCACAAATTCAATTATTTTGACAAACTTTCTCAAAAATAAATCTAAAATTCACCAAATTAACTAAGAAAATAGTTTTTTTTATGAGATTTCACCTAACAGAGTCAAAAAATCACTAAATTGAGTGATTTTGCGTTGCAAAAATTCAAACTAACCTCAATTTTCCCTACAAATTATTTTTTAATAAGTGTGTACCCCAGGTGGCAAAAAATAACTAAAACTGACATAGAGTAGTAAACGTCATTATTGAATGACATTTGTGTGAATCAGCCTTTAAGTTAAAGATGCGTTTAGACTTCCACAACCTACTTGATGCGCATTAGTGTGAAAAAGAGTACAGAATTGGAAATTAAGCAACTCTTTCTCGCGTTTTTTTGGCAACACGTCGACCTATGTGAAGTAGCACTTGACCTGAACGGATTTGCTTAAAAACGGCTATAGCTTCTTGGTGTGAAGCACCATGGAGGGGTTTACTGTTAACAGCCAAAATTTCATCACCTGAAAGGCATTATTTGAAACACCGATTGTCACTTAGCAGTGCTACCAACCTTCTTTTAAAGTCCCGCTATCCGCTGCCTGACCGTTAGGAAAGATTGTTTTAACATAGATTCCCATGCTGCCTTTCGGAGAGTCCCTCCCCCCGACAATACTAAAACCTAAAGCCTTGTAACCGGGGCCTTTTTGGAAAACAACCTGTCTTATCGTAAACGTACTACCGCCTCCTCGAGGCAGTGTACAAAACTTGCTCTCTTCTTCTTCCTCAATTTCCTCGAGTTCTTCAATCCAGTCCTGGAAAAAATGTATGATTTTTAGTGTTGATTTAGGTGAGAACATGCCTGTTTATGGTCACTAGTCATCCGTTCACATTCACCATTTTGTCCAACATCCGGCCTTTGTTTAGTTATAAGTTCATAATGGCTTTTGGAGGTAACAACTTTGGAATTAAAATTTCTCGTGTCGGCTTCACTTTTAATTGGTTTCGTTTGGTATTTATTCTTGTTGGGCGAATGCGACCTCGCTCGTTCGAATTTAAGCTTGGTTTTAGGAATTTTAATATTTAAATTTTCTAACTTAATTAAATTCTTGGTTTTGTTGTCTTGGTTATTCTTGTGGAGGATGCTCCCAACCACTGACCACCTTCTCGTCGCTTGATTTTCATCGAGGTCGTAATCGGGGGGCGGCTCATAGGGGAGGGAGTCGTACCCTTGACTCTCACTATCATACCCATAATCAGGTGTTAAATTCACCGAATTGACGGTTCTTTGGCGCGATCGCGCCCTTCGCCGAGTTTGGACTTCGCCGGTGTCAGGCGTGACGGGCGAAGGGACGTAGAATGTCGGTTGGGGCTGTTGGGGCTCGTGGGTCGGACTGTGGAAGAACTCCTGAACGGACAAAGCCCTGCGTTTGCGAAGCCCGACATGGATTCGACTCAATTTCGCCCGGAGGACGTCCTGGACGCTGCTCTTTTTCGCCCCAGGGAGACGAAGGGACGAAGTCGCGTGGGGCGTACTGACTAGAATTCGAGGACTAGGATTGAGGAGGGTGTCCCGGGACGCTTCGGGGCTACTCTGCGTGCTAATGCCCCGCAAAGAGGCACAGCAATTACGTAATCGGCGCCATTTCTGAGAGATGCTGCCGTTTAAATCTGGAAAAAAATATAAATTAGTAAATTTGGAAATATCCAGTTTTTTTTAATCGAGTATTCGCCCAAAGGTTTAGTAAAATTTACTTTTTTGCACAATCGTCAAGGAACAAAATTCCATTTTTTTATTGTGTATTTATATAACTAAGGTCAAAAATGATGCATTGCATTTTGCACATTTTTTTCTCACAAATAAATTTATAAATTACCAAATTAGGTAAGAAAATTTCTTTTTTTTCACCCTACACAATCAAAAAATCACTAAATTGGGTAGAAAAGTACATTATTTTGGTCTTTTTCGAAGCGTTTTATACGTTTTTCAGTCAGATACAAAATTATTTTGCAAAATTTCGTTAAAAACAAACAGAAAATTAACCAAATTAGGCCAAAAATTGTGTTGTTTTTTGCATTTTTAGTGTTTCAGCACGTTTTTTGAAAAATTTTACTAAAACTGACTGAAAATTTAACAAATTTGATTGAAATTGGTATTATTTAGTTCTTTTTTAAACCAGAAACTTTTTATTTGCAAAATCTTGTCAAATCAAGCCCAACAATTACAAAAAAATTCAAATTGATGTTATGACGTTTGTCTTGTTCATTTTAACTCGTTTTTGAATAAAGTTTTGTCAAAGAATAAGCGGAAAAACACAAAATTTGGTCAAAAATAGTGTTATTTTACTTTTTTCAAGTCTTTGTTTAACAAAAATCTCAGTTTTTTGCCAGATTTTGCTAAAACCAACCAAAAAAAAACACAAAATCAAGTCATTATTTTCGCCTTTTTCAAGTCTATTAGCATATTTTTCAGGTAAAAAAAAATATTTCGTGGAATTTCATTAAGAACAATCAAAAAAAATCATAAGTAGATTAAGAATAGTGTTATTTTTTACCTTTTCGAGCGTTTAAGCACGTTTTTTGAGCAGATTTGCGAGATTTATGTAAAAAATGTAAACCCTAGTCACTTTTAGAAATTTTAAATCATAATCTTGGAAAAACAGGTGTAAATTAACTTTTTCGCACAGTTGTCAAAGAACAAAATTCTATTGATATAGTATTTAAGGTCAAAAATGATGACTCTATTTTTTGCATTTTTTTGAGCATTTTGCACTTTTTTAGCCACAAATTCAATTATTTTCACAAACTTTCTGAAACATAATTCTAAAAATCACCAAATTATTTAAGAAAACATGTTTTTTTTATGAGATTTCACCTAACAGAGTAAAAAATCACACAATTAAGTGAAAAAAATTTAACAAATTAGATTGAAATTGGTATTATTTTAGCTTGTTTCGCTTTAGTATTTTTTTACTAGGAATTTTTTAATTGCATACCTAAAAATTACAAAAATAAATTTAAATTAATATTATTTCGTTAGCTTTATTTGACATAACCCGTTTTTGAATAAAATTTTGTCAAAAAATAAGCTATAAAGCGCAACATGTGGTCAAAAATGGTCTTACTTTACCTTTTTCAAGTCTTTAAGCACGTTTTTGAACAAAAAACGTGAAATCAAGTCATTATTTTTGCTTTTTTCAAATGTATTAGCATGTTTCTCAGGTAAAAACTTAAATATTTCGTAGAATTTCATTAAAAACACTCCAAAAAATTACAGAATTAGATCAGAATTTGATCTTTTCGATTGTTTAAGCACGTTTTTGGGCAGATTTGCGAGATTTATATAAAAAATGTGAACCCTAGTCACTTTTAGAAATCTTAATCATAATCTTGTAAAAACATGTGTAAACTAACTTTTTTGTACAGTCGTCAAAGAACAAAATTCTATTTTTTAATTAAGGTCAAAAATGATGACACTAGTTTTTGCATTTTTTAAGCATTTTGCCACAAATTCAATTATTTTGACAAACTTTCTGAAAAGTAAATCTAAAATCCACCAAATTATCTAAGAAAATAGTTTTTTTATGAGATTTCACATAACAGAGTCAAAAACAAAAAATCACTAAATTGAGTAAAAAAGTACACTATTTTGGCCTCTTTCGGAGCGTTTTCATACATTTTTTTAGCCAGAAACGCAAAATTTAGTTCAAAACAAACCAAATTACTCCAAAATTGTGTTATTTTTTGCATTTTAGAGTGTTTAAGCACGTTTTTGAAACAAATACAATGTTGTTTTTGAAATATTTTGCTAAAACCGGCTAAAAATTTAACAAATTAGATTGAAATTGGTATTATTTTAGCTTGCTTCGCTTGATTTAGAATAGTTCGTTTTTACCAGGGACTTGTTATTTGCAAAATCTTGTCAAAACAATTACAAAAGAAATTCAAATTGATGTCGTTTGTTTTATTCGATTTAGCTAGTTTTTGAGTAAAATTTTGTTAAAAAATAAGCCAAAAAACACAAAATTGGTCGACTCTTTAAGCGAACAAAAAACACCAACTCAAGTCATTATAATTGCCATTTTCAAATGTATTAGCATGTTTCTCAGGTAAAAACTTAAACATTTCGTAGAATTTCATTAAAAACACCACAAAAAATTACAGAATTAGACCAAAAACGCACGTTTTTGAGCAGATTTGCGAGATTTATGTAAAAAATGTAAACCCTAGTCAGTATTAGAAATATTAAATCATAAATCTTGTAAAAACAGGCAACTCTTTCAGCCCAGATATGATGAATTTAATTTTTTTGGCCTGGCAACACTGTTGGTTGCACACTTCGCGCGAGACTATCACTCTCATTAATGAATAGAATTAAGCACTACGTCATCTTGTGGTTAATTACAATTAGCGCTTAAAATGGTTAAAATTTTGATTTTGTTATTCCATCTTGCGGATGGAATTAGTAATTAGAAACAAGATGCTATTATAAACAAGAAAATAGTTCAACAACCGCAATTGAGATATGAATCGTTGGAATAATCTTAGCGGTGTCTGTGATTAGTCCATAATATGCGCTACCACTAAATTCTTTAATTATGACGTGAAACAAAACAGACGTCAAATCTGCCTCTAAAGGAAAGTAAATCAGAAGAAATAAAAGTATTTTCACAGACTTTTCATTAATTTTAATATAATGGAAACATATTTTAAACTCATGCAAACAATTGACTCCGTTCCGCTGAGAACAAAGCGAAAACTAGATAAACGCTGTTTACAGCCCTCAATAAAAATCGTTATCAAAGGAAACTCAAACAAATAATATGCATGAAATTTTTCTAGAGCCGCCGCTGTGCCCCCTATTTGCGTTCAATGTTTTTACCATCTTGGTTCGAAAGCAAACACAATACAGACAGACAGTTGATTTCTATTATTCTATTGTAGTATTAATGCTACTTTATTGCAACGCCTGTAAATAATTATTACACCAGTCGAGAATGTGACATGTATTGTACAGTTATCGGTAATTAATCAAAATAATTCCAAGTAAATAATAATTTATTCTTGTTGCCGACAAAATATTTAAATTAGTTTGTTGAAACAATAAAACCGCCCACAATTTCGGCGGCAAAATACTCTTACCAATATCGGGAAAATCATTGAAAATCGCTTTGGAGCACATAAATAACACCACATTCACGTTGCTGACTATTTGTCGAAATACGCAGGAAGACTCACGGATACGCCTGTTGAGCGTGAACAGTAACTCAGGTCCGTACTAAGTAAATTGAGTGCCCAATTAAAACACGTAGCGAGCCCCCGTTGTTCAAGTCCATTAGTAATAAAATTGTTTTTGCGTGCGGAAATGGATCTGTCACTGACCCTTCCACTAAACAGGTTTAGTTATTATTTACAGGATGTCTCAAGTACACAAAACTGATTTCCCGTATTAATTAAGCCAAAATCCCCCAGAATTTTAGAAATAAGTTATCAAGTATAATTTACGACATGTCTAAATTTGGAATGTTGTGTTTTGATCTTGTGCTGATAATGTTAATAATGTGACTCGAGTCGGATTCGCACGATTGTTTTCGTGTAAAAATTTGTAGGTGTAAACCTTTGTAAACTTGCACCTGAAGCCGTTCTAAATAACAACATTGTGGCAGGCACTCATTATGCAAATTTTGCCCGTATACCAAGAAAACTGACAATGGCGTCAAGAAAATTAAATTTCTCAACTTGATCCACATTTTTGAATATTCCTGGCACAACTTCCGCATGTCCACTTCCTGTTAAAGGAAACGATTGACATGTTTCGTATCAGTAATTCTTCTATTAGTGGCCTTGAAGGTGAAGAAGCACGAAAATGTGGAAATGTGTCGCCTACTCACGATTAAAAATAGCTTGCGCAATTAAGTTGATTATTTATAAATTACGAGATAATATTTTAATTAACCGTATTTGTCGGCCACAATAACAATACACGGGCTGAAGTGACTCACAAATTATAATATTACATTAGTCATTCACATCTAATAATTAATACAATTTAATGCCAAATTATCTAATCGGGTGGATTTTTGCATCTGGCCGTCAATAAATAATATGGAAACATTCTTGCGGCTGATTACCTGGAAACATCAACTGAATTTACGAAGCAGTAAAATTTAACGATCATTAATTCAAAACTAAGTCGCATTTATTTAACTACGGATCCCAAAACATGATTTGATTGGCGCAAACAGGCAAAAGTAAAAATTTTGACATTTGACATTTGACATTTCACAAATATTTCCTTTTTATTTTGTAAATTGAGGCAAAACTGTTTTATTTTTGACTTATTATTATTTTCTCAATAACTATTTAATGTAGGACAATTATTTTTATTTTTATACGATATAAAATTAAATTTGCTTTCCAGCGGTACCAAACAAGAAGGACTAGCGTCAATAATTCGGAAGTTATTAGCAATAACTCCGGATACCAAAGATCGCCCAAAATATTGACAAAAATCGAAAAATTAAAGACCACAAACTTTAAAACATGTGCACATGTACTACTGATAAAGAGAGAAAGGGAGCATAAAAGCAAAATCATAATAAGAAAGAGAAAGAACATAGAAACAAATAAGTAAAAACAAACCATAAGAATGGAAAGGCGCATAATACCAACTTAAATAAGCACCAACAGATGGTGGGCGTGTTAAAGCGCAAATAAAGTCACTAGAAAGTATAAATTCGGCCTATAAGATAGAAAAGGATAGCTAGCTAAATCCCAAACATGGCTACCGTTTGACAATTTTTGAAAATAGTTTAAGTGTAGATGACTTTATAAGTAATGCTATGAACACTTTTATGTGTCCTGATAATATAAAAAATTTAAATTGTAAAATTATTTTTTAAGTGTCGTGTATATTTTTTGTTGAATAACAAACATAAGAAACCAAAATGTGATGTTTCGACACAGAGTAGTCGCAGTATGGTAATGCGAGCTTCTATAAATAAATAATTTGCCATTACATATTCTGTGTTTTATTTTTCACTTATTTTTTTTAATAATTTTCGTCATTTTGATGAAAACAAATTTTTTATCTGTAAGTGAAATAAATGTTTTATTGAGACGTCCAATATGTTATGTTTATTGTACCTACATTAAAATGTGTTCAAAAAATTTCTTTAATGTTTGAATTTTCCGCTTCAAAAATCCCAAACATGGCGGACGATTGCCCTACTTATTGTTTCTAGTGACGCAAACTTTAAAATAAGTGAAAAGTGTAGTGTTGTGTGTAAAAGTAAACAAAAGGTAAGTTATAAGAAAAATAAAGATAAGGAAGTTTTGTAAATAAAGGAATAAAAAAAATCAATTATTTTTAATATAATTCAAAAATATGTAAAAGATAACAGCACCAGAGCTTTAAAACATATATAGTCTAGATAATGATAAAATAGTGACAGAAAAGTAACTAGGTTGTCGACATCCTCCGCCCAGAAAATAGTACCTTTAAAAGTTTGCGGAAAAGTACATTTGTCTTGAAAAAAACTAGTAATGGACCGGCTGTATTATTACACACAGTAATATAACTGCGTTTCGGGCTTAAAAGATAATAATTTCAATGTTAGTCGATGGATCCTAACCTCCAAAAATTGTAATCAAAATATTTAGAACAGTTGCAAACATCTTACCGCGTAGTTGTGGATTGTGTTGGTAACATCATTCATGGCATTCTCTATAGCACAGTTTTCCGTATTTTTAAACTTTTACAATAAAAAAGTGTCAAAATTCTGTCAAATCACTATCCGCGTAGGAATATCCAGATTTATCGCGATACCAACTCAACAAATTTAAGCATAGCGATTCTAGGACTTTCCTTGTTATAGAATTTTTCTCCAAGATGTCAAAAAAGTAAAATCTATCAGTTTACAAACTTATACATAAAAGCCATCTGACATGATGTTAGATTTTTATATAAAATTTATAATGAAAAATATCAAAGTCTTTTTATAAATTGTATCATCGTGTCATACAAACATTTTTGAAAATATTATTAATTAATTTCTTAAACAAAAAATATTTAGAACACGTTCTATAAATTATAGAATAAGCAAAAATTTAAAATTTTTGTGAGTTTAGGTAGCAATACAAATTGACGTTTTGGCTTTCGACTGTCAAATAAAACCGCACATTTTTTTGTATTGTTACGTTCAGCTCATGTGTGATTTTTGCTCATTTCTGATTTCTGTAGGTAGATAAAACATTGGTAAAACACTGAACCTGAGGTTATAATCAACCGTCAAACAAAATGTCAAATTACAATTAATGCAGTGACTAATAGACAATACGCATGCGCAATTTAATTTAATTTCTTTAAAATTTACCAAATGGTTTTAAATATATTTTTTTTACAATTTTGTTTAAAACTTCATTATTTTGCAAATTTCGGCTAAAATGTATTGACAAGGGTTAATGTTTTAAACTTTCACGGTGATAAGTGTGTTCTAAATGTTCTAAATAATACGTAAAATGTTGCCGGGTCTCAAAATGTGTTTAACGTCAGTTTTAAATTTTGTGATGACAGTCACAACGACCGCTTCAAGCGGTTTGAGACTAAAAAAAGAGTGCAAATTGTGCCAGAAGTAGGTGATGCGTAACGTGAGATAATCACACCTTGATTCGCTAATAAATATTTAGTAACTTGCAGGCGATCAAGCGAATTATGAGCTTCCATTTGAAACAATTTGGAAAAGTAGGCAAAATTTTTAACTTCGCTATTGCGAAATATTTTTATATTCCAGTTGTTAGTTATGGTCACCTGACATTTGAGCAACATCAATTAAAAGTAATTAGAAATTAATTGCATTCTGGGGGAGTCGAAATGGGCAAAATAATTAGCATCACACGCAATAAATTACCCAATCTTTACGTCATTAAAAAAATCAAAAATCGTGTAGTTTCGCTTTTCCCTTTTAGGTTGTTTGTTTATTTTCATAATTGCTAAGAGGCCGCCCACTTTACACTAAAAATTTCAATAAATAAACACTTCTGTTTACGATACTACCGCACCTTTTCAAATAAACCCACAATTGCAACAAGAGGGCAACATTTTTCGAAATTGGCTCAATATTATAACATGTGTAGTGGAATGCACTGTATGATGTAAATAGCCAACAAAGAAATCCATAAATAGACCCACTGATGCATCTGCATAAAGACGTATCAAGTAATGTAGCCCAGGGTTGTACTCGACATTAATTACAAATAATAATAAAACAAAGTACAAGGAAATTGGGTATTTCTGGTAATAAAATTGAGCTCGTGTCGTGTTTTATTATCGTATTTGTACTGATAACAAATTCCATGAAACACTATTCAAAAAAGGGCCCCAATGGAGACAAATGGTAAAAGCTCTGGAGTTATTTATTGATAGCAATAAAACACCCTCACGGGTGACGAGGGTTGTTCCAGGTATCCATATTTCAGAAGGATGGAGTCAAAACTCTCCACAAAATTCGTTTAATTTATTAGATCAGAAAATATTGTCGAAGTAAAATATGTAAATATTGAATCATCGTCTCTTGTGTGTGGGTTGGAAAAAATTCAATTAACTGTTTATTTGGCCGTAGCCTCGCAACAATATTTTTCCTGATAAATGTTGAAATCTTGAAGCTACGTAATTGTGTAAAAGGCAACAAAAAATTCATACCATGGTCAGCATTTGCGTAACGTGTGTAGCGAATCAAATTACTCTTCCCAGCGTACCGAATTTTTCCAATAGAGGCACCCGCAGTGTCTCAAAACCCACGAATCGGGGTAAATATGAGGTCAAAATAACAGTTTAACAGTGATTAGCTGAGATAGCAGTGTTTTGGCACTTTGACCTTCCAATCAATCACATCCGCTTCTCTCACGAAGCTCCAAACTGTTAAATTTTCACTAAAATCGACCTTACAACAATTTTGTTTTGAAAAAACTGGACCTTGCTCGCACCTTGAATAAACCACACGTCGCTTTTTGCCAATTCTCGCCTCTCCAACAGCTTATCGTGTTTATTCAACAGGGCCGTACCCAAGGGGGGGGGGGGTTAGGGGGTTCAAACCCCCCCCGAAATGCTGAACACTTTGTTATATAGTGTTATAAGTGTTAAAAATTTAGTTTTTTTGTTATTTTAATGAGTAAATTTTAAATTTTTGTGAATTAATTTTTCATGTGTTAATTATACAGTGTTTCATTTTTATTGTTATTTACAAATTTAAATAGTTTATAGAATGTTTAATTTTAAGGTAAAAGTGTTTTGAAAAATGCCATGAAAAGGAGTTATACCCCCTAAAAAAGGTACGTTGTTTAAAGGGATTTTCCTAATATTTCAGAATAGATAAAATTACAAAATTTGGTACCTTTATATGTACACCCAAACAAATGCCAAATAACAAAATTTTTAATCAGGGGCGTCCTAAACGGTAAAACAAATTTAATTTTTAATTTTTATGCTGTTTATGGTCTGTAACATAAATTTTAATAAATAAAAAATCCGTAAATTGTATCGGAAAAACACAAAAGACCTTTTTTTATGAAAAACTATGAAATTTTGTTGCTGAAGTGGCAAGAAACCACAGAAAAAATAGTTAGAGTAAATTTTTACCCTAATCCCATCTAGTTTAGGAAGCACCTAATTAAAAATTTCAACATTTTATTTTTGTACTTGTTTAGGTGTATAAAAGTTATCATCTGTAGCAAATTTTGAAATTTTTACCTATTAAAAGACGCACCCCTTGCGTAGCATTTTTCGATATATGTTCATAGAAAATTTTTGTTTTAAAAATGAATATTCATCTCCTGTTTAAATTTGTAACAATAAAAAGTATTAAAAATTTATTTTATTTTTTGTTACTTTTGTGAGTTAATTTGTATATTTTTATGTTTAATTAGGATCTCTTATTTCAATTTAAAATAAAAACGTGTACTTAGAGATTTTAACTTTTTAATCCGTCTTCTTTCATTTCATTTTCATGGACCAACAAGAAACCCCCCCCGAAATAAAATCCTGGTTACCGCCCTGTTATTCAAGCTTTCTTATCACTGCATTCCCGATTTAATAATAAACACAGTCATTAGCACTTGTTCGAAGAATGAAATTATTTGAAAAAGAGGATTTTTAGTGTGGGTGGTTAAATTTTGTGAGCCATTAAGCTTGAAATCCAGACATCAATTAAAACAACAAACTGACTTTTCTCGACTCGGTTAATTGTTCAATCAAAATTTCTACTTTATGTTTTACTTGAAATTAGTTACACAAGTAGCCAAGTATAAATCAAATTATGGTAATAAAAAGTAAAAGTTAATTGGAAGCAGGAAAATAAATTGAAGCGGCTTTAGGTCAGGTCAGGACACGCAAAGTTTTGTAGTTAAAATTTTGTTGATTTATCTCACCTTTGTTGAATGATTTTTCGCTGGGACTGCTGAGACAGGTATCCTGGCCGTTTTCGGCGTCGGTCACACCCTCGGCACTGAGCATGGTGTGTGCTGATTCCGAGTGTCGAAAAAGTACCATTATACATTTAAAAATCACTCAAGTGTCGCGAATTGGGGCACTGTTTGCGTCGACGACGTCGAGGAGACTCCGCATCGTGAGTTTACTCGCCGGCACGGTGTCGAGCAATGCGCACATGCCCCCACAATTGCAGATGAATGATGCTGCACTGAGAAGGAGAGGGATGCGGAATAAAAGACTCCCGAAATAAGCGACGGGGAGAAAGCCGATCCGAGGGCGCAAACATTTTTATTTCCGACTCTCTCTGCTTTCATCCACACACACGTGGGACGTATGTCGGCACTCGAAGCTGGAACCTGGAACCCCCGAAAAGGGGACGGATATTAGGGTGTGGATAAAGGATGTCTACCCTCGACCAGACAATGATATCCCGGGTGCAATCTCCGCAACGGCTCGCAAATTTATCATCATTTTTATTCCACACAATTTTTTCAAATAAAAAATTAGAAATTTCACAAACACAGGTGACCTTTTAATGTAAAAATTGATAGATGCATTGCTTGAAATTATTCTAAACTATACAGCATGTCCCAAGAATAAGTTACAATACAAACTTATGGTTTTTTAACGAAACACCATATGTTTCTTGGCATTACAGGATGTAGCTTTTTATTACGACTTTTATTAGTTGATTTTGCTTAGTTTTTGAAATAAATTGTTTTTTGGACAAAAATGTACTTCTTTTAAAAATTGAATCAAAGTATTTCAACAAAATAATTGCTTGAATAAGTGTTTTTTTCAAAATAAAACAATTTTTGCTATTTTCAAACCAATTTTGCTCGATTTTAGAACAGAATTCATTCTAAATTAATGTATTTTATACAAATAATTTCTTCAATCTCAATTTTAGGCTTAAACAGGGCCGTACCCAAGGGGGGGGGGTTTAGGGGGTTCAAACCCCCCCCGAAATGCTGAACACTTTGTTATATAGTGTTATAAGTGTTAAAAATTTAGTTTTTTTGTTATTTTAATGAGTTAAATTTTTGTGAATTAATTTTTCATGTGTTAATGTGTTAATGTGTTTCATTTTTATTGTTAGGTACAAATTTAAATAGTTAATAGAATATTAAATTTTAAGATAAAAGTGTTTTGAAAAATGCTATGAAAAGGAGCTACACCCCCTAAAAAAGGTACGTTTTTTAAAGGGTTTTTCCTAATATTTCAGAATAAATAAAATTACAAAATTTGGTACCCTTATGTGTACACCTAAACAAATGCCAAATAACAAAATTTTTAATCAGGGGCGTCCTAAACGGTAAAACAAATTTAATTTTTAATTTTTATGCTGTTTATGGTCTGTAACATAAATTTTAATAAATAAACAATCCGTAAATTGTATCGGAAAAACACAAAAGACCTTTTTTTATGAAAAACTATGAAATTTTGTTGCTGAAAGTGGCAATAAACCACAGAAAAAATAGTTAGAGTAAATGTTTACCCTAATCTCATCTAGTTTAGGAAGCACCTAATTAAAAATTTCAACATTTTATTTTTGTACTTGTTTAGGTGTATAAAAGTTATCATCTGTAGCAAATTTTGAAATTTTTTTTTAAAATGATTTCGGAAATATTGAAAAAAAACCTATTAAAAGACGCACCCCTTGCGTAACATTTTTCGATATATGTTCATAGAAAATTTTTGTTTTAAAAATGAATATTCATCTGTTTAAATTTGTAACAATAAAAAGTATTAAAAATTTATTTTATTTTTTGTTACTTTTGTGAATTAATTTGTATTTTTTTATGTTTAATTAGGATCTCTTATTTCAATTTAAAATAAAAACGTGTACTTAGAGATTTTTGCTTTTTAATCTGTCTTCTTTCATTTCATTTTCATGGACCAACAAGAACCCCCCCCCGAAATAAAATCCTGGTTACGGCCCTGGGCTTAAATAAAGAAATTTGTAATATTTTGAATTATTATTATAAATAAAAATAAAATTATTGCACATTTTTTTTACAACTGCAAAAAAGTGCAAACTTTAAGACCATAACAATTTTTAGGGTTCTGTATTTGTATAGCAAAAAAATGAAAGAAGTTTGTTAAAAGTTAAATAACTTAAATATTTTAAATAGAACACCCTATTTTCTGGTTCTGCATCTAAAAGATTATTAAATTATTTTTCGACAAACATTTACTTTAAAGTGCCTATAAATTAATAACTAAAAAGATATCTAACTATAAACATTGAAAAAAAATAATCAATATTTTGATAGCCAAAAAGTGCACATTTGCACTCAATAATCACATTTATGTTACACTAAATCTATTATTCTTTATTTTTACAATAAAACAATTCGAATTTCAATATTTATGCCGTCTTTTAGAAATTCTGGTCTAATCCTAAATAAGTGATCTGTGTTGGAATTACTATGGTGGCCTTGGTATGAAGTTAAATATCTTTATTTAATTTATCAATTCGACGCATTAAAAGTTTATTTTTTAGACATACAATTTATCACTCTAAAAAAATAAGGTGTTTTATTTTTATTTTTTTTAATTATTTAACTTTTAACAAACTTCTGTTTTTTTTAACTTTTCGACTGCAATACATCAAAAAAAAGTTATAGCCTTAAAGTTTGTAGTTTCCTCTTTGCAATGGTATTTTTTTTTCTAACTGTCTTAACTTTTTGTGTAATAAATTAAAAAAAAAGTATAATTAATTTCCAACTTAATTAAAAAACTATGCAAAATCAACTAATAGAAGTTTAGCTTAAAAACATTGAAATTAAAAGCTACATCCAAAAATGCCAAGACACATGGTGTTTGTGGGACACTCTATATAGTTAAAAATAATTTCACTAGATAGTATTTTTCAATTGCGTATATATTTTTAGTTTTAATATTATAGGTCAATAATGTATGTACACATATTTTTTCTTTTTATTATCTTAATGTAGTAAATATTTCATAATCTGATAAATTTTCAAATTTAAATTCAAATCGGAATTAAAACAACTTATTTTTCCGAATTTGAATGTAATTTTTGGAACATAAAATTCTTAGGCACAAAAACAGCATTTTTTCTAACATGTTTGATAACAAATTAAATAAAATTTTACAAACAGAATATTTTATTCCAAAGTTTTAAACATACGTTATTTTGATGACTTTTTTAATTGATTCCTAAATTCTCTACTAATTACAAAAGTTGAGGTGAGTAATTGGGGCACAACGTCATCGAGTTAATTGCATAGGGGTGGTAGCAGTTAGAGTGTCGGAAAATGTTCAAAATGCGGGTACTTTTGATATTTCAATCAATTTTAATCAATTTTGCACTTGCTCTTGTTTAAACTGTAAATACAGTTTCACCCTCACTTTGAAATTTTAATGCAATAACAATAAAGTGCATTTGGTGGCCATAGGCGGAAAATTCTACACTTCCGTGTTGTAAAAGGATTGGGAATTTAAATGCGCAATTACTTTCCGAGTTTATTTTATTAATAATCACTTCAGAACACTGTTTTTTAGGCATTTTCCCGTTTTTAAGGTATATTTAAAAATGAACATTTTCAAAGATTTTGCCCTGCTTTTTAAGGTAAAACTACGATTTTTTCGATAGGGTAAAACACCCTGTCTATGAAATTGAAGGAGCTTTACTAGTAATCACTTTATTATTATTATTATTATACTATTATTTTCCTTTTCATGTGAAGTATTGAACATTATGTTGAAGTTTTGGCGATAATATTGTGTTCAGTTCGAGTTAGTTTGACAGTCGCAGTCTCGCAGTTATTTCACAAGCTTAAAAATTTTGGCTGACAGGAAATAACGGTAAAACTCGGAGATGTCCAATCTGTTTCAAAGTTTTAATTAATTAATTAAGAAAGTTCGCTATAAAATGATGACTCTTAATTCGAGTGGAGTTTGGAATTTTGGAGAGGTTTTAATAAAATTAAAGAAACTTGACTTAGATTATTGATTAAAAACATTCATTAGTGTGCGCCTTAAAAATATATTATTTTAATTGAAACCGTGTAGCAAAGAAAGGCTGTTATTTATTTTTGGCCTTGTCATGTCTGTCTCAGTTACCATAAACGATAATTCATTTGAAATTTCCATTGCATAACAATAGTCGGACAAATTCTGTTATTGACATTTCAGTACACAATTTCCCATTTGGTTTTGTGTTAAATAAATGTGTTTTAACAAAGCAGGGGCAAAAATCTTGCTAAAAAAGAACAACTTCCTCCGGAATTGAGTGATTTGCGGTCTCAAGATGACTGGGTCTTAGGATGTGAATAACAGGAGATAACGATTTTTGCGTCTGATTAATTTCAGAACGGTAGCTGACGATTCTGCACACCAGTGACGTACAAAGGAAGTGTAATAATGACGACACGATCATGATATACTTAATTGCTTCCGCTTAAACAAAACCATGTATTATTAATGAATACGAATCGATTTTCAAAACTGCATACATCACGCAATGTATGTCTGACTTCTGTTACACTTTTCTTCCGCTGATTAATGACCTTAAACGTCGCGTAGGTTGGAAAAAACGGTAAATGAGGACGAGACCTCTACACGATAATCTCACGGTCGCATCCACGAATATTTAAATAAAAATAATAGATTCTTAACTACCTATTGTTCGACTTCATTATACCCAGAAAATCGATTAAATGACGGATTATGTAATGATAATGAGACAATCAGTCCCTACATAGTACAAATTTAAATATTCCCCCTTAAAGCTACCTGTAAGGTAGGTAACCAAACATACATTACAATCTCGCAAATTGTCTACTTATAGTTAACTTTGGGGGTCATAATTAATTTTTTTTTTATTTGAATTAACACATTATTATCCATTGTTTAACTTGTTTTTTTATTATACTTAAAATGTCGTGTGGTAGGCAACCAAGTATACATTAATTACAGTCACGCAGAATAAAACATAAATCAATTTTTCAGAAATTTATTTGTACCTAAGAATTTACTACAGCGCTTAATGTATCACATCAGCTATTTGAGACCGTCACTTCCTGTTTATTGTCCATCATTTGTTCAGCTTCTTTCATTCTCCTAGTCATAATATCATTTTGTCTCCTAACAAAATTCATCATTAGTTTATTATTAAATTTAATAAATTTTGAAGCACATTTTTCTGTACACTCAATTTCATTAGGTGACAATTCACGTGAATTCGTGTGTTCTATACATTTATAAAAACATCTTTCAGTCATTTGATTATAAAGTTGTAAAAAATCTTTAAACTAAAATTAAATTTATTAGAAAAATAATTTCTAATTTGTTGCACTAACATTTCGTAAACTACTCGCGTCCACGTTCATAATTATATAATTGAAACTTTTGTAAACAATAAATAAAAATCACTACATATCACGTAATAAATGAAAACACATTTTAAAAATAAGGTTAGGAAAAATCAATTATTTTTTTATCGGGAAAATGCGTCATGTTGGCGCCACTGACAGAGGGTGTCTAACGTTACGTGAGCGTCAAAATTACCCCAATTTAATTTCTGGGATTTATTTTGCCTACAATTTTGATTGATTGTTACAAAAGAAGTTTTGTAATAAAATCTGTGCTTCCACTTTATTTATTTTTTCTGTATTTGTGTTTGATGTGACTTTAGCCACATCGATTTTCCAGTGATTTTCAGTTTTCCCTAAACACACAAAAATGTCGATGACATTTTTGGGTGGCTAACTTCAATTTTTCCAATTTTGGTTGTTTGTGGTGATTTGTGTTGAATCAGATGTGAGTAACTGTAAAATAAGTTCGTTTGGGTATCAATTCCGGTGTTTTAGTCTTTTAGGAAATGGCCCAAATAAAAACATCAACAAGTTTGGAACGGACAAGTATACACGATATGTTGAAAGAGACGCCTGCAAATGATAATAGGAGTAATGTTGTACCTGCTGTACAAACAAATCCCGTTTGTCCATATTCTCGTTCTGCCCCAACAGGCTTATCGTCCTGTACCAGCTCACCCGCGATTTTAACACCAACAACCCCATCCCAAAATGACGATTCAACCATTCTCAAAACATCATCGCGAATTGAAAATCTCAAAAACTGGTCCATATCAACTTATAAGTGTACCAAACAACTCATGTTTGAGAAGTTGGGGAAGTCCTCAAGGACTGTGGACGCAGGTAAATGGTTCAAACATAAGTAGAATTTCCATTGAATTTTCATTTATCTAGAGCTGGAATCTCAGATAGAGCAGTTGCGGGAAACCCAGAAAAAATACTGCAATATTTTGCGCCTGGCTAGAGCCTTGACTAGCCACTTTTACCACGTAGTTCAAACCCAGCACGATTTGGGAGAAGCATTCTCAGAACTAGCTCAGAAATCTCCTGAATTGCAAGAGGAATTTTTATACAACTCAGAAACACAACGAAATTTGACTAAAAACGGGGAAACCCTTTTAGGAGCACTCAATTTTTTTATATCGTCTGTGAATACGCTCTGTAATAAGACAATTGAAGACACGCTGCAAAGTATTAGACAATATGAAGCCGCTAGAATCGAATATGATGCTTATCGCACTGATCTTGAATCAATGTCCACTAAACCAGACGGCGCCATTGGGCTAGAAGAAGCCCAACAAGGATATGAACTACACAGACAACAGTTCATGAAGTTGCGGACAGAAGTCACAATTAAAATGAAATTTTTGGACGAAAATCGAGTAATTTGTTTGTTTAAGTTTTTTATAGTTCATCTATACGGTTTATTTTTTAGATAAAAGTGATGCATAAACAATTACTTTTATTCCATAATGCCATTTCTGCGTACTTCTCCGGAAATCAACAAGCCCTGGAGGCCACTTTAAAGCAGTTTAATATTAAAGTGAAGACACCAAACTCCACATACCCTTCTTGGTTGGAACAGTAGTATTAGTGCACTTTGTATTAACATCTAGTCATTCGGATTTTGTGTTACGCTTTGTTAATTGATTCCTAATCTTCATTCCACCCTTTTTTATAAAGGTTGTAGCTTTAAAGCAAACATTGTATTCTTATCAGTTCTTAACAAAAATATGTTTTATTATTTATTTTTTGTATTAAAATTTGTGTATTATATTAATATATAATTGAGTTATGCAAATAAAATTCATATACATAATTTATTTCTATTGCAAACCCCTTCCCTAATCGTTTCGCGCTTATATTTAAATGTTGGTTGATGATGCCATCACTGGAGGCGCTAGTTGCACAACCGTTTTCCGCACGGCCATATTGCCATAACACTCTGAGAGTGGCGACTTGTTTGTTTTTTTCTCTGATAGTATTTATCAGTTGTTGATAAATCTTGCATAAAAGTGTGTCCATAGTTTTGTTCTTTTAAAAAGACGGGTGTGTGATAACTGAAAATGGCGAATCCTGTTAAACCAGAAACTGTTGTACAAGAAGAACCCGATGGAGATCGTGATCCTCAACAAGAAAACCAACACCCACAACAGCAGCAGAATTTTGGAGGACCTAAACGAGGAGGTCATAACCGATTTGTAAATCGGCGACAAGGGCCTTATGTAAGCATTTTTAATCATTTTTACGAAAGTGTTTGGTTGTCTTAAAAACAAGATGGCCACATCGTCCATAACCGATTTTTTTAATTTCCTGTTTTATACAACAAACCAGAGTAGTTTTTGTTCAACTACGATCATTTCTCACTTGTTTGTGTTGTTTCGCAATGTTTACAAATCATATTTCCGTTTTGAATATTTAATCAATCAGGGGCGGCGTAGTTTGTGTGGCCACGAGTTCAGACTGTTTTTTTATTATTATTTATTATGAATTTTTCGTTGACAAACAACTTATATCTTTGTAAAAGATGCGCTTCCAGCCCCCACCGAACCGTGGGGGTCCTGGCGGACCCGGTGGGCCTGGAGGACCAGGAGGCGATCGCGACTTCAATAGAAGACGTGGTGGTGGACCTGGTGGCCCCCATGTTAATCAAAATTTCAACGAACATGGACCACCAGGCCGAATAGATAAAATTAACGAAAAGCTATCCAACATGAATGGACCCACATTTGACTTGCCACCTTTAGAACAATCGGAGAAGAAGTTTTCGGGACGTACACGCTTGTATGTCGGTAATATTGGGAACGATGTTACAGAAGACGATCTAACGGAACTATTTCGTCCATACGGTGAAACCAGTGAACATTTTGTTAATAAAGAAAAAAATTTTGCTTTCATAAGAGTGGTTCGTATTGATTTAACTGAAAAAATGTATTCGTTTCATTGGGAATTTTTTTAACAGGACTACCGGGTGAATGCCGAAAAGGCCAAGCGTGAATTAGATGGTATTCTCTTCAAGGGAAAGAATCTGAAAATCCGGTTTGCACCCAACGGGTCTACTGTTAAGGTCAAGAATTTAACTCCATTTGTCTCAAATGAACTTTTGTACTATTCATTTTCTGTTTTCGGAGAGGTAGGATTATAGTGAGTTAAATCACCTATTTAATCAAAAATTTGTTAGGTTGAACGTGCTTATGTCTTGGTCGACGAACGTGGAAAACCTGTAGGTGAAGGAATCGTAGAATTCGCCCGTAAAGGGTGTGCTTTAAACGCAGTGCGTCGATGCTCTGAAGGTTGTTTCTTCCTAACTTCATCTCTCCGCCCTGTAATTGTCGAAAGTTTCGAACCAATGGACGACTCTGACGGTTACCCTGAAAAATACCTCAACAAGAAAAACCCCGAATTTTCAAAATCACGCGAAGTTGGTCCACGATTCGCTAATGTGAACAGCTTCGAGTATGAATACGGAATGCGTTGGAAACAACTCCATGAACTCTTCGCTCAAAAAGAAGAAGCAATGAAGAAAGAGTACGAAATGGAGAAAGAGAAGCTTGAAGCACAGATGGAATTTGCGAGATATGAACACGAAACAGAAATGTTGCGAGACCAACTTCGTGCCCGTGAAATGGACAGAGACCGTCAGAAACACGAATGGGAAATGAAGGAGAGACTCGCAGAAGAACAAAGACAACGGAACGAAGAACAAATGAGAAGACAACAGGAAGAAATGCAAAACCGTATGATGCACCAGGAAGAGGAAATGCGACGTCGCCAACAAGAGAACAACTTGTTCATGCAAGCGCATCAACTGGACAACATGCTCGAGCAACAGGAACAAGCATATGAGGAGCCTAGTGGCATGTATAATAACAGTAAGCTAATTATTTCGTTGTTGTTCCGTTAACTAATTTCTGTTATTTTGTTTAGTGAATCAAGATGGGGAGACTCCTGTTGTGGTAAGTGTTATTTAAAATTTTCCATATTTTTATTCGCTTCAAATTGGCGATTATTACAAATTATTACTTTTCTGATTCTGTTCAAAATGTAGTTATATGATTTTAGATTTATATTGACTTTCGTGCAAAAATTGCTTTTCGTTTTTGCATATATATTTTATTTTATTATATTATACAAGTTTGTATCTTCTTTAAATTTATCTGCATTTATGCGGCCATTGAATAACTAAGGACATTATTAATTAGTGTTTAAATCAACCAACTGCTTTTACAAATTATCACCGACCACTGATTCTTGCGTACATAATCAATAAAAAGGCGGTTTATTATAGATTTTGTTAACACAATATTTCTTATGTAATTTGTGATAATCGTGTAAACACAAAGGATCAACGAAATATGAGCGCTTAAAAAAACATCGGCTGTCACTATTGAAAAAAATTTGATTTTCTAAAAACCTCTCCTTTTCGCAACTTTATTTAAAAGTCGGTAAAGTAATGCAAACGCGCCCAAAGGACACACACAACTGACAGGCAAAATCACTCAAATCACATAATTGTCTCTTATCTCGACCAAAGCGGATAAAAAAATTATTAGAGAAACTTTTAGAGTTTTGGACGATAATTGTTGGCTTAAATTAATCACAGGCGTATCATAGAGGACTAAAATGCAAAATTTTGCATTGGGAAAAGTAGCAAAACATACTCTAAAAATTTATTGAGGGATTATTTGTAAACGAGAAAATAATTTATTGCGATAATTCACCGTGTCAGCCAATAAAACAGACAAACTTTTACGACATAATTGATTAATTACTTACTTCAACGTGCGTTATATTTCGTCGATGTTCCGTTTTGTATCTTTTTTAATAAAATTGCACTTGAGCCAATGCAAATCGATACGTGTAGCTATGTCTTGAACAGAAAATTTTATTCTGAACTTGTCATCGTGAATTTATTAGAAGAACTACTTCTTTTTTTATTACGTACGTCTACATTGTATTTTATTCCATAATCTCAATCTCATGTTTTTGGGAACTTTAAAAACAGTCCACGGAAGTTGCATGATTTTTACAACTTTAAGAAACTTGTATTGTTGAACACAAACAACTTGTTTAATTTATTATTGGTCTGACCATTTTGAATACTTATCTTGATTACATATGATCTAGTCCTAAATAAAGCAAGTGCAATAATTATAGTCGTTAAAATATAAGTTGACAGAGTTACGAAGTATTGGTACTTTCTATATGTACAATTCACATACTACTGTTATAAACAGAACTGCAGCAAAATTTCTTGAATCTGAATTTTGTAAAAGAAAAACACAAAAATTTATTGTGCTAATCTTCTTAGATTTTATCGACTATATTACCTAATACCATTGCGTGATTTTGAACATTTCTTGTTGTCTGTCTCCAGTAATACCTTGGAAAGTCGCGTAAATTGTTTTGAAACACCAACAAAGATCATGAAATCAAAATCCTATTGAATAACATCTGGTTTTACTCCTCTTTTGAATTTGGTATCGGTGTATTCCATCAGATTTCTGAGAGTTGTGTACAGATTTTCTTAAAATGAGGGTTTTCTGAGTCTTCTTCGTATTTTCCGTTGGAGTTCTTGGATATTGGGTGTATCGTCCTCTCGGCTGTTTCATATTTTAATCAGATCAATAATAAATTAAGCTGTCGGTAAATTGTCGAAGTAGTTTTCTAATTAAGTGCTTTTGAATTTAAATATTGAAATATACATTTATGTATGCGTTCCTTCCTCTTGTTGACTGTTTCTATTATATTACATTAGGAACCAAAAGCTTTCATGAATTCTTACAAGCGCAACAACCACCGTTTCGATGGACGTGGTGACATGGGCCCACCAGGGCCCCGTAATGGTGGGGGTGGTAGAGGCCACTGGGTGAACAACGATAATCGCCGTGACGATTTTCCACCTAAAAGGCGTCGATATTAAGTTACTTCAGCATTCGCAAGAAATTTATTTCCCCCTTATATAAACTAATGAAATCACGTCTTTACAATAGATGTCGTTTTAAAAATACGTTCTACCTTCTGTTTAAAAAAATATTGATGCGATTTTGTCATTTTATTTATCGCACGTACTTTATAGTCACATATTCGTATTTCTTCACCATCGAGAAATTTATGTTCATCTCCATAGAATAGTGGGTAATTAATTAATTGTGTTGTAATTAATTGTTTTTTAATTTTTTGTTGAGATGAACGAAATTTCTTAATGTTGATGAATTTTTATATTTACTATAAGACTTTGATCATTTCAGCATTAGATTCTGAGTAATTAATGTCAATTTTAAAATGTAGAATTAAAGCGAAGTTACAGTATTGTGTTTTTAAGTTGTCCTAATCTTATATCCAAATTAATGATATTTAGTACGTCAGACAGTTTTAAACTGCACTGCATTACTATAAGCTAAATGTACAAACTGTTTTATTAAGTTCGTGGCTTAAACTTGGAAGTTTTCATCTTAAAATACGAATCATTGTAAGTAAGATATACTATAGCAACAACGGCTGTTTTTACTTACAACAGTCGTATCTTATTTTGAAATAAGGTCCTAGTCACGTAATGACTGAATACAAATTGTAATGAATAGTGGCTGGGTGGATAAGGCTTTTTAGATGCATGCATCATTGTGAAGTGTATAATCATTTGAAAATCTCTATACAAAATATCACGTACCATAGATTTGCATAAATTATACCACATGTAGACAAATATATTTTTGAATAAATGTCGAAATTATGTACATAAACTGCATTCAAATAGTCCGTTTCCCGATTAATTTAAAAATCGTTCACTTTGCCAATTGTTTTTGAAATTTTTTAAATAGTTTTGATTTTTTTGCTCAAAAGAAGAAATCGTGGTTTCGTGGCCGGCTTTATTGGAAGTAAAACTAGAAAGAAATTTAATCCTGGGGTGTTGGAATTAGAACAGGCTTAATGGGGTTTTAACTTATACAACAGCTTAAATACGTAAATGGTAAATAAGTTAATTACAATTGAATAAATTGTTTTATCTACTATTGCCTTATTACACCACTAATGGTGTAATGAAACATCCCCAAACATTAATCAATTTAAATTTCATTTAACATCGAATTTATATACAATTACACGTACTTTGTCCGTCAAAATCGATGACACGGTTTTGCTGCAGTGTAAAGTTGATTACAATTAAGTTAAATTTGTTTTTAGTTTTTGGCAATTGTAGATAAAATTTTATGCATCATACGTGGGCTAAAGCATATTACAGTACAATAGTAGTGCTGTTGTCCCACTAATAATAGAAATAACTAGTTTTACGTTGTGGAACTTATAACAACGACTGAGCTTCTTCATTATTTAACATTTCCCGTTTAACCATTTTTTGTCCATTGTCATCTTTTTTTTAAATTCCTTAAAACACGTCCTTTTGGTGTCGGTTTTACTTTTAACCAATTTTTTCGTTCCTTTAGCATGTTTCATTTTAATTTCCTCTTAAAAATTTAGTAATGGGTAACTCCTCTTCTATCATTTCCATTATAATTTTCAATTATTCATTTCGTTTTTCCTACTAATGGATCAAGAAACTTGTTATTTTCTCCAGTAAAAGGTAAGGAAATGATATTTTTAACAGCTGTCCGCTTCGCGGATGATTTTATATTATGATAATATTTATTATAATATAAACGGTGGAATACTTTAATTAACCAAACTCGCATATTTTGTTTTAATTAAATATTTAAATTTCAGTTATTCAAATCATCTATCGATTGTGGTCGCAAACTGAAATTTAAATATCGGATCACTGAAACATTAGTTTCAGTAGATACTAATCCTACGACCATTTATTTATTCTCAAAACCAGTATTTTTCATAGATCTCGGTGCCTATTAAACGTTTGTCTGACATTTTAAAGAATGGTTAAATTTTTTGTTTCAGTCTGATGAACTTCAACCCCCGGAAAACGAATCGTTTTACTATATTAGTAATTCGGGCCAGTATATACTCACGGTTGGCGAATACAGGAGTATCGTTAAATTACTTGCAAATTCTAAAAGTAATCTACTAAAATTTTTCTGTCGGATTTTCCGGAAAGTGAGAGTTTAAACTCGTGCGAGTATTTTTTACAGGTGTCTCAGAAGTAATAAATGTAATAATTATAACTAATCTAAAAATGTAGTAATATTTCATCTATTTTGTATTGATGAAAAATCGCAAAATTTTCACCTGTCGGTTTTTTATTTTTGCACCTTTTAGTTATTACATACAATTCAAAGTACGTAAATAACGTAATAAACATAGTTTTTTTTTTTTTTTTTAATTGCTTCTAGAACACCTGTAATACTATGGTACATTTTTTCAAGCTTTAATACTTTGATATTGCTTTAAAATATCCAGAACTTAAAACTCGAATATATTAATGGTTTTGAAGTCGGATTTTAAACCGAATATTTGACTTGGCGTCAATATCAGTCACATATTTTTCGTGTTTTGATGCTGAAAGTAAAATATCGGTTTTATTTTGTAAGTGTTAGGTTTTTTATTCTAGTTTGTAACTTAGTTTTGTGATTATTGTAAATAAGAATTTCATTGCTTATTTGAAATCCTTGTAACCAAATATTACTTCGGTCATTCTGTAATATTTTCGCAGCTTTTTGTATATTCACTCAGTTTAACTGTATCTGTCTTAACTTAAGTTTTGAATTTTAAATATAGTTTCATTTGGAAAACTTTTTTTAATTGAATATGGCATTTAAGTTATTTTATCGCACGCTTTTTATTTGGTTCGGAAATTGCCGGTAAAATCTCTATCTCTTTTTGAAGATTACTTAACTTCTTCGCCGAGTTTCTTTCCATTGCATAAAGTAAGTTTCTTATTCTGTGAAAGAAATTCGATATCGATCTCAAAACAATTATTTCTCGAATAAAGTTTCGAATTTCGATAAAAATACCCGAAAGGATCGAAACTACCGCAGTCGTGCCGAAGCCAATTTTAGGTCCCCTAAGAAACACGAAGCACCTTAAATAAATGTCGTCGGAAGACTCGGAGAGGAAGATTTCGTTAAAAAAAAATCGAATTCGTTTCGCAGTTTTATAAAATAGCCAGAAGTTACTTTAGGAACTTTATTTAAAATCACCAGGTTTGTATTTTTTTGTTAATTTAAATGATAAGTAGAAATTTTGGTTGAAACAATTGACGTATTTAAATCGCCTGTTTTCTAGATCTCGACACGGTAAAATACATGGGGCCGGGCTTACGAAACTATAATGACTCACGCCATTGGCTCATTTATTTTTACCGTGATTTTGTGATTCTAACGCCCCTCTTCTCGAGTTAAACTTTAAAAAATATATTTATACTTCAACTTATGCGAAAATAGAATATAATCGGCCTACTCATTCTTGAAATGTCGAACTATATATAATTCTCTATCAATCAATAACTTAAGTTGTCACTTTTTATCTCCATTCAAATAGGAGGCTATGGAAAACTTAAATCAAAATTAACTTACTCATAGCCAACTATATTCTCATAATTCATTTATAGCAAATCATAAAATTTCAGGTCCGATATTTTCAACCAAGCGAATTCATTTGAGTTTTTTGCAAAATTATACTCAGCGTTGATTTTAATTGTTATTTTGATGTTCACAGGTACACAAAAGGTCGCACCGACCGCAATATAGAAGCAAAGGCTGAAGATCTCTATCTGTGCCAAAAGGCTGAACGACTGTGATACTCTGTACCTGATTTTATTATGAAATAAAATTTTTTACTTGAGTTTTTATTTTTCCTTCACTTTCCTTAATTAAACACAAATAATAATATTACAAAGCTGATTAAATTTGAAATTTCAAACCAATTCGCAAACTGGAAATGATTTCAAAATTTTGCAAAATTCTATAAAATGGAAAAACTTTCAAGGCGCATGCGTGTTATCAATTAGCTGATGCTCATGCGTATTGTCGAATTTCCATGAAAAGTGTTGTCTATTTTAGCAAGTAATCTAGTATTAAAAATTCATTTGTTTGTTTGATTTCGAGTTTGCGATTCCAGACGACCGAAAAATGCCAGTTAGAAAAGCAATACATGCTGGTAGTTGGTACACAGATTCAGGTAAGTGTTGTCAAACATTGATCAGCTGTTTGTAGTTTTATTGTTCATGAATATGGTGCCAATGACTCCTCTTTCTAGGTCCTGAATTATCGCGACAGCTCGAATATTGGCTACATCAAGCCGATTTAATCCACGGTCCTGCTCGAGCTATAATTGCTCCGTGAGTTTTATAAATTTAAAAAAAAAGTTATTTTATTTAAAATTTTAGACATGCAGGTTATCAGTATTGTGGGGCTTGTGGGGGGCACGCTTACAGACAAGTCAGTCCTGTCGTGGTAAGGCGTATATTTATTTTAGGACCTTCTCACCATGTCCGTTTATCAGGATGTGCCTTGTCTACAGCACGAAAATACAAGACCCCCCTTTACGACTTACACATAGATTCACAAGGTAATATTTTAATTCAATTCAAAAAAACGTTACCGATTTTTATTTCAGTAAACGGCGAATTAGAAATGACGGGTCAATTCGAATGGATGGATTTAGATACTGACGAAAATGAGCACAGTATTGAAATGCATTTACCCTACATAGCGAAAGTTATGGAAAAGTGAGTCTTTTCTGTGGGTTTAAAGTGTATAATAGTGGCATTTTAGTTACAAACACCAATTCACCATAGTACCTATTCTTGTGGGTTCTCTTAGTCCTGAACGGGAGGCTTGTTATGGCCGAATATTGTCAAGTTACTTAGGAGATCCTCAAAATCTTTTTATTATTTCGTCAGATTTCTGCCACTGGGGCCACCGGTTTCGTTACACGTATTACGACCGTTCTTACGGTAATATCTACCAATCGATAGAAGAACTGGATCGTTTGGTATGCACCATAAAATCCACCGTTTAACCAATACAGAAATGAATTTTGTAGGGTATGAACATAATAGAAAATTTAAATCCGACCGACTTTACGAATTATTTAAAGAAATTCGGAAATACGATTTGTGGTAGACATCCTATCGGGATACTTTTACAGGTGAGTAGAAATTGAGTAAGAATTGTAACTATTGTGAGGATTCCAGGCCGTGCAAGAACTTTTACGCAACGATAGTAGAAGAAACGCGAATTTAAAATTCCTGAAATATGCTCAGTCAAGTCAGTGTCGTAATATGAATGACTCATCAGTGAGTTACGCATCAGCTGCCCTTGTGTTCGAGTAGTCAGTGGCCTTACAGCTATCACATTGACTGTTATTAAAATGGAACACCTTTGATTAATAATTGTGCGAAATTTTTTATCTACCCTAGGGATAATTACGTTGATTTTTAAGCTTATTGTAACAATTAATTTTTGTAAAGCTAAATTCTAAAAACCGATAGTTTAGACTTTTGTTTTAAATAGTATGTAGGCCCCTTCAGCCACTTTTTACGGAAAATACCTCGATTTTCAAGGATTAACAGAAAAGCAGAAAAAATCGTGAAAACACCCCCGTTTTAAGGTATATTTTAAAATTAAGATTTTTTTTCTTGAAGTTAAAAAATATTAATTTATTTAGAAACAAGGTAATAAAAAAAGAATACAGCCCAAATGATCAAACATTTTTTTTGAAATTGACGTGTGGTAAACCCACATCTTACTTTCAAACTCATATGTATTGATAAAATCAATGTTGTTTAAACAATTATCAGGAACACCTTGTTTGTGTGATATTATTTGTCCTTCACGAGATAATTTTTTTAACAATTTTTTCAGGATTAACTTAAAAAAACTTGCGAGGCTCCTCTGCGGCCATATCAAAATCCCGCACATTGCATGCACAACGAACTGGGGCATAGCTTATTGATGCGTAAACTCTATCATCACTATGTTTTTTTTCAACCACACGCATTCCAAAAACCATTTTAGTAATATGACGAAACATTTTTTTTTAAATCTTCCTCATTATGTGGAAATGAAACGAGGATTTCCTTTCCGCTTAAATCGGGAGTCCTATACTTGATTTTGTAAACGACCGTATACACACATGCTGGCTGGCAATTTCTTTTCCATCGTGTGATTTCATGTATCGTCACATCTCTGTATAAGCTCCAAAAAAAAAGTTCTGGGCGGCCTCCATGTTTTCTGTATGTAAACAACCAATTATCCACGGCAATTCATCTAAATTATTTATACATTAAAAGACAAATAGACACATATGTATTAAAACTTACTATTACTCAAATTCGGATAATCTCGATATAATTCCTCTTTATAAGCATTCATTATGGATAGAAAGAGGGGCACATTGGTTATTTTGTTCTGTGGGTTATTTTATTATTCAAATAATCTTTTGGTGAAATTTTTGTGGGAAATGAATTAATTAAGAAACGATGTTAAACCAATTCATTTAATAAAATTTTCGGTTGTTCCAAAGTATAAGTATATTGGGACAATGAATAAAGTACCAAAATAAAATTTTTCTTTAACAGTTAAAAATAAGAGTTATTATAATTACAGTTAATTATTTCCGTCATTTATTAGAAAAAATCATATGAAAATAATCACAGACGACTTTTCTGTTAACCCTTGAAAATCGGGGTATTTTCCGTAAAAAGTGGCTGTGTCTTGAAGGGGCCAACATACTATACTGTTTTATATAAGAGTAATAGATTAAGTTTGTTTATTTTTTTACTAACAGTTCCACCAAGTGACATCACTGTGAGTTGGGAGTGTTTTGGGATGAACAAGATATTACGCAGCTCAGTTGGTCATGACCAACTAAAATAAAATTCTTAATTTGTTTCAGAATCTTGTTAATTTTATCGTAATAATTTAATTCAATGTTATTTGTTAAATGTAGTGATCGTTACTTTGTATGCATTTTGAAGAAAACAAACAATGAAATTTCGCAATACATATAGAACTAAGGTTGTGAAATTTTACATTGTAGAGTCCCCGAATTGTTTTATACTTGCTATATGCAGTACAACTCTAATAATCTGGAAAATGGGTGTTGATCGCTTGGTAGTTGTATTTAAGAGTACCAAAATGTTAGAAATAAATTTTATATAGTGGATCTGGATATTGGGAGTTATGCTGTATTTTTCAGTCCTGTGAATTAATAGTGCAACAGCTAGAATTAGAATTTTTGTTATATATTATGTTCACGTAATTAGCTTAGGACTTAATTAAAAGAGAAAACAGCGCGAATTTTTATGAATTTATTAAGTTCTTAATTTATACCTTTATATAAATTTGAATAGATTATGTGCTAATGTTAGAATATGATTATATACAATAAATTGTCCTACTGTAGGCCTACAGTTTGTAAGCCTAAAGACTGTAAATTTACAATATGAAGTACATATGCCTTTAATCAATCAATCTATTGGATGTATAAACTGTGAATGCAATTTTATATCATTCTTGTAACACAAAAATAAATGTGAAAAATATTTTAACCAGCGTTTTATTTACTCGCGCAAAGGACTTAAGGTTATTGACACGATATCTAAGGAGACACGTCATCAATGCAATGACGTCAAATGTCCGCGTCTGATTAGCAAAATCGCGACACAAATTTAGAAATTTTCCAATTTCAATAATCACTTCATTGCAACTTTCTTTTTTTGACAGGTGACCATGCAAAGTGGGCGGGGCGATCTTCAAAATTTTGCAAATTAACTCGAGGTCAAAAAGTGAACTTTTCGAGCGTATTTATAAATTTTTGGAACATAATTTCGTAACAGTGTATTTTTATTTCACCTAAACTCGATGTTTGATAAATCATGATAAAAATAAAAAAATCAATTTTTTTTCTCAATTGATATAATTAATAATACTGTCCGGTGGTCATGTTAATAATAATAATAATCAAATGTTACCATTGAAAATATTGACATGAATTATTGTGGCGAGTGGCGACCCAGTTTGGAGTTTGTATAGCCGGTGTCAATGTAGGTGAAATGAAGTTGCACCAAACAAGAGAAATCGTCGTTTGTGTTTCCCTATGTCCTAAGAAAATCGCAAATCGGGTGCATAATATATGAAAAAAAGCACAGTGTTCCACACAGAAAATACCACCAAGATGTAGGAAGTGTTCGTTTCGGTTTCTGTTAAATATTTCCAGTGTTTATGTGGCACAGATAATTGTTTTCGACTTGGACGATATAAACATGGCTACTATTCAGACTCTTGGAACTCTTTCGGATTAAAATCGTCTTAAATGGACGTTAATGGTACAAATAGAAAAGTACGCCGAGAAAGCAGGATGATTGTGACATGCCGAGGTAAATAGCCTCACTCCCGAAAGCAGCCCCTTCATATAACCTCACTTACCTCCTTAGAACCAACTGCTTGTTTACAACCCCCCAATTGAACCAAAAACTAAATTCACTTGAATCTAAAACTAACAAAGCCAACGACAAATTTGCCATTTTTCAAAAAAATTCCAACACCTCCGTAGCACCTTATGTTGTGCTTCGCCCAAAACATCCCCAAGGACCCAAACCGTGTTTTCCAGAAGGGAGTTTCGCAAACGGAAATTTCAAACATTGCCAAACTTTTTATGCTCATACATTGTGACACTGTTTGTTTATGCCACAAAAATGGCCTGATTATGTACTTCATGATAATAACATCAGTTGACACAATTAGTCGGTTGTTTTTTGTGTTTTCCGGGCAAATTTCGATCTGTGGGGATAAAAGGTACGATTTTAATCATTATTTTGCCGACTTATCACAACAACGTGATTTTGAGAAATGGTGAATGCTGTAATTGCATACCATATCATAAACAGTTTTTGCACAAAGTTTTAAGTGAATTTATGCTTTCTTACCCTAATTACGTCTCAAAACACACATTAATTAACTCAAAAACCAAATTGACACAAGTGACATTTAATCACAGGTAACTTGATTCCCAGTTTTTTCAAAAAAATTGTTATAATCTTTCATTTCAGAAAAGTGCCAAACTTATGAACTTTTTTAGTAAAGTTGTTGAAAAAAAATCACGGAATTTTGAACTATTTGCTCCCCAAAAAACTTTTTTTTTATATTTTAAAGCACATGCACTTTGATTTCTAGTTTTCGTTTTGTTTTAGTGACATTTAATCACCGGCAACTTGATCCCCATTTTTTTCAAACAGAATTTGTTAAAATATTTGATATCAAAAATGTTACGTTTTAAATTTGTCAACGTTTCTACGAAAGTTTACGTAATCTTTAATTATTTGCGCCTCAAAAACGATTTTTTTTAATTTATCACTAGCAAGATTGACATTTAATCAGCGGCGTCTTGATTTCTAGTTTTTGCTTTTCATTATTTTTAAGGCAAAAATTGTTTTTTGTGTTGTTAGGTGTGGGTACGGTTTAAATTTATGCTTTCTTACCTTAATTTGCCAAAAAACCCCAATTTTGCTTGAAATAATTGGCTCACAAAAACTAAGTTGACTGACAAATGACATTTTATCACCAGTAACTTGATCCCCAGTTTAAAAGAAATCGTTAAAATTTTTGATAGAAAAATGTTAAATTCCAAGCGTATGAACGTTTTTACGAAATTTGTAAAAAAAATCACAGATCCAAAAAAAGATAATTTCTTTTTGAATTCATCACTAGCAAATTGACATTTGGCCAGTGCCACCTTGATTTTTAGTTTTTGAGATAAAAATTTGAGTGGAGGATTTGAGGTATGTGGGGCTGTCTTAGTGATTAACGTGTTGTTTGTGTTTAGGCTGTGTCTGCATGTCCGGCTGTAGTCTGGGCAAACTATGAACTTATTTGGCTGCCTCTTTCCGTGTGCACTGCAGCACAGTTGGTGGAGTGTTGGTAACGAGCAGTGCATGACTGAGGAGTTCGTCCACAGGATGGGCGTGAACGCTTCCACGGCACCCGGTGTCGAAGCTGGTCCTATGCCCAACAGCATGGGAGTCGCGGATCCTTGCACGCCTCCTTTCAGGGACACAATTGGGGTAATCGTGAGGGAGCGCAAAAAGAAAGTTACTGGTTTTGCCACCTTAAAGAAGAAATTTATACGTCGGAGAAGATCATCAAAGGCGTGCGACCACGGAAGGATGCTGCGTGAGCTGGTATCTGATTGGAGTCCTCTAGAAGTGGCGGCCTTACTAGAGGAGTACGAAGCGTTGGCCGCTTTGAAAGATCTTTGTGTTCAAGCAGAGTTGGCGCGACCGCCGGCTGCCACCTTCAAACAGGACCTCTCAGCCTTGTACGACTTCAAATACTGCACCGATGCTGATTTGGTCTACCGAGGGGCTTGTTTTCCTATACATCGCGCCCTACTCTCAGCCAGGTGCCCTTATTTTAGAGACTTACTTGCCGGTTGTCCCGGTTACGGCGCTCGAATATGTCTCGAATTGAGAACAGCCACGGTCGATGTGCAACTGTTCTCGGCTCTTTTACGATATTTGTACACTGGAGATATTTGTCCGCATGATACCAACATCGATATCAACTTGTTGAGGAGATTACGAGAGGAATTCGGAACACCTAATGCCTTGGAAGCCGATCTACGTTACTTACTCGAAATTGGTGATTATGCCGATGCTGCTTTAGTGTTCACTTCTGATGGTTCCGACTGCCAAAGACCCGACTCGGGTAGTTCGGAATACGGTTTTAGGCCAAAATTAGAATTACCATGCCATAAAGCCATACTTTCGGCTCGATCGCCGTTCTTTCGAAACTTACTACAAAGACGATCGAGGAGCGGCGAAGAGCACACAGAACGGGCCTTACACATACCTACCAGAATCGTACTCGACGAATCAGTCATACCAAAACGGTAAAACTCACTCATATTTGACCTAATTTATTTAAACCACTGATTTCAGATACGCACGTGTTTTACTCCACGCTATTTATTTAGATCACGTTGATCTCTCGTTAATTTCACGCGGTGGTTGTGGGGGTGGTTTAGGCGAAGCCCAAGCACTTACACATACCGGACGGGCGCGACCATCCCCCCTGGAAGAAGCAATGGAATTATATCAAATCGGACGATTCCTCGAGCTAGATATTCTATCCCAGGGCTGTGAAGATTTAATTTTAGAATGGTTGTCACTTGAGACACTTCCGACAGTACTTCAATGGGCCAAACAACCGCACGGATCGGCTTGGGTCCACCGACAGGTAATAGAAAAATTGATTCCACGACATTTCATCACGGACACTTCATCACATCCCAATTCATCACTTTGCCCATTCATCACATCCATTTGCAAAATTTTGCTGTAAAATACTGGTTTGCGGAATTACATTTTAAATGTTTATTATCCTTTTCAGAAAATTTCAGAAAAAAAACTTTGCCAAGTTTTATAAAAGAAAACAAAACAATCATATTTTATAAAATTATAATAGTGACAGCTTTCGGTTACAACAAACCAATCAGACCTTTACAACAGGAATCATGTTCAGAAAAATTTAATATTTATTAAAGTTTACTCTCGAGTTTTTTATTTTTTATAAAATACATAATATACAGAATATCTTAATTATACAGGGTTATTCACAAATATGAAGCAATATTTGAACCTCAAAAATGACCTATAAAATGGTGTTAATTTAAATAATAACTCGTGTCCTATCTCTACTGATAAGAATTTTACAGCCCTCGGAATGTGGGTATGTATATTTGATTTTTTTGTAATAACTATGGAACTATTTGACCAAATATTATAAAATTTAGAACATTTCCTTGTGACAACATACCTTGTAAACTGGTAATCACGAAAACCGGATACATCCACTCAATTTCCGGTTCCAGCAGTTGCAGGTCATTTTCTGTGTTTTTTTGCTCTCTTAACACGAATTTTTTATTGCCCAAATAAATAGAGTATTCAATTTCGAATAAAAAACGCATAACCTTTAATACCCTTAAAGTGAACCGTTTCAAAGATATTTTAATTTAAACTGAAGACAGCTAAACGCTGAATTAAAAAAATAGGGATTTTGAATAAATGATATCCACGGCAACAAATGACTATGGTCCCACAAATCGCTGTCATGCATCTGTCAACTTTGACATTGGACAATTCTTGGGCGATTAATTGAAAATATTTAATAAAAGAGTTTATTTCAGACTCCAAACGTAATCTACAATAAATCCAAATCGATCTCGTAGCATTTAATTTATAAAAAATTCACAAAAATTTATCGTCAAAGTTAACAGATGCCTGGTAGGGATTTATGTGACCATGGTCATTGGTTGCCGTGGATACCACTTATTCAAAATCCCTATTTTTTTATTTCAGCGTTGTGCAGTCCTCAGTTTAAATTAAAATATCTTTGAAACCGTTCATTTTAGGGGTATTAAAGGTTATGCGTTTTTTATTCGGAATTGATTACTCTATCGATTTAGGCAATAAAAAATTGGTGTTAAGAAAGCAAAAAAATGGGAAAACACAGAAAATGTGACCTGCAACTGCTGGAACCGAAAATTGAGTTAATGTATCCGGTTTTCGTGATTACCAATTCAAAGGGTATGTTGTCACAGGGAAATGTTCCAAATTTTATAATATTTGGTCAAATAGTTTCAAAGTTACTACAAAAAAATCAAATTTCCATACCCACATTCCGAGGGCTGTAAAATTCTTATCAGTAGAGATAGGACACGAGTTATTATTTAAATTAACATCATTTTATGGGTCATTTTTGAGATTCAAATATTGCTTCATATTTATGAATAACCCTGTATAAAAATAGAAGATCAAAGAAATTAAAAAAAATATGACACTGTTCTAAGAAAAGTGAGTCTATTTTGTGTTTCATAACTGTCAATCATATTTTGTAATCTAATTTTTAATGATTTGTACTTATTCTTCATTGAAATGCGTTTAAAAATGCGTAAAATTTTTCTAAAAACGTATAGAAAACCATTTTCGTAAGACCTACTAAAAATTTTATGACACATTATAAGAGATTAACCACACAATGGCTTGAATTTGTAGCCTTCCATAAATGGCACGTTCCTTTGCATGTGTTGCTGCACCCACCAGAATAAAACAGGGCCGTATTTAAAACCAAAGTAGTGGTAGAGTTTTACCAAGCTATTATTAAAAAAAAATCTGCTTTATTTAATACTAACTTGTTAATAACCACCTGGCTTTATTAAATTTCTTAAAATACTTGACTACATCAAAAACTATTAAAATATTTCAAGTATTTTAGACAAAAAAAAAAGTAAATAATCCGGCCCTGTTCAAAATTGACCTGTTTCAGGGTCCGGGTGGGTTCCACTAATTTATGATTTGTTTACCCTCTGGTTTACTCTTAACAATACTGCATTTAACTTAAAAGTAATAAAATTTTTAGTAGGTCTTAGCAAAATGATATTAGTATATTTTATAGCAAAATTTTGCAAATGGATGTGATGACGAGATGTCGCGTGATGGGTTGTCGGGACACCAGAAAAATTACGCAACTCAACTCCAAATTGTTTTTTAGGCGTTACATTTCCTTCGTGAAGAGTTTCAACCAGTGGCTCAGTCTCCGGTTTTGCATCAATTGGACAAAACCCACCTCATTGAAGTATTAAAAAGTCCGTTTTTGCAAGCTTCTGAACTCGAAATCCTCCATGCTGTACTCAAATGGGGCGAAAATGAGTTGGTTCGTAGAATGGAGGATCGAGAACCGAACATTGTGAGTCATACAGCGCACTCAGTGGCTCGTAAAGGTGTAAAAAAGCGTGATTTGAGTGATGTCGAGCTTCGCGAAATTTTATCCGATTTGCTTCCATTGGTCCGTATGGATCACGTACTGCCCCCAAATAGTGATATTCTAAACCAAGCGATTCGACGTGGTTTAGTGAGTACTCCCCCGAGTCATATGATTGGCGGTGATCGGGAGAATTTACGAGTGAATGCATGGATCAGGGGTGATAAAAATAATGGTCTTTTTGTACAACCGCGCTTGTTTATGCCATACTACGACGAGGTGAAGGTCCTCGTTGAAGACCAGTTAGTACAAGAAGTGGAAATAATGCGCATGCGTCGTGCCCGATACATGCCGGACATTCCCGATACGTTGTACATGGTTGAGGATAAGCCCCGAGTGCATGGGGCTGCTGGTGTTGATGTTTTAGCTTCGGTGCTCCCCGTGCCTGACCCGGCGGTAATGAACGCAATGTTGAAACGGGAACAAAAACTCCGCCAATCGCCGAGCTGTCAACGTGCCCTTAACATGCCTTTATCCTCCCGACATGAAATCAACCGACAAATTCGACTCCGTGTCGTGCGGGAGTTTAATTTGCCCGATCCAGTGGCCGACATGTTGGAGAATTGCTATTGTGTTCCCGAGAACGATGATAATGTCACTGAAAATCACACAATTTCGCCGAATAAGGGCCTAAGGGGGTGCTATAATCGCAATATGACGTTTCCGCGACCGGGGGCGTACACACAAAGGCACGAATTGCCGGCTGTTATCCCTGAAGGGGAGTTCCGGTTTGCGAACGAACCGGAGAGTAGCTCATGCAGTGATGGGCATTTGTCGGATATAATGCCCGATGTGGCGATGGCGACGGCCACTTTGGGGCAAATGCAGTTGCAGGAGCAGCAGGAGATGGAGCTGGATTTGGGGGACGGAGCCACTCATCTGCATGCCCAAATGGCCGGGTCGTTGCACCACCCGATATACCGGCGGTACCAACCTTCTACTTATCCTCATTTGAGGTCTGATTCGCAATCTTACCACACTCCTATGCCGAGATTTTTATAGTTTTAATTGTTTTTCTTGGTTTCGCTTTCGTGTCTTGTACATAAAGATTATCGGGAATAATATACATCTGTGATTTTCTGTGACGAGACATCTCTAGTTTTAAAAATATTTATTAGATCGTTTCTTTTTTATTTTCGAGACTGAACCGAGATTTTTTCGATTACAGATGATGCCCGAGTTAATAATACTGAGAGTTGGTTATTTAATTGATCAACATATTCCGTTAATTCTGTATTCATGTACCTGTGCGTGTCTTGTCTTAGATGTTGCTGTGTTGCTGTTACATGTAAATATATTTAGAGTCCACGTGACAACTCTTAAACGGTGCGATTTTATCCATTACTAAGTGCAATGTGTACTTAACACTCTCATAACGACTATCATTAACTGTTTCAACAACGAACATTTCATTCTACAGTTTGCTTTTTGATTGCTATCAACTGTTTTTTTGCATATCATGCGAGGAGAGAGCTGGAAACGGTGACAAAAATTGAATCTCAACTTAAGCTCTTGCTACTTAAGACTTGGCACATTTACGTTAAATATTTTGTTTACAGCTCCCTCTTTTAATTTAGTTATAAATTGTCTGTGATTAATGTTCTTTTTTTGAAGTTGCTACATAAAACATTTCTTGATCGGTTGATGTTGCAGATCACCATTTTGTGATATGTATTGTAATCTACGTTGATGTAATCACATTATTGTTATACATACATGTTAGCTTAGAACTGTATGGTTTATAGGCTTCTATGGGTAATTATTATTTAATAGAATCCTAAATGTACTCAATCGGATAATTCATGCGATTCAGGGTATCCACATAAACATGAGACATGTTTATTTGTGATATGTACTTTGTATTCATTCGGTTATGTTGCTACATTTTTAAATACTTTTGCAAACTGCAGTATGTTACATTTCAATATGAATATTAACACAATACGAAAGACATTATAGCTTATTACATAATTTATTTCAAAATGTAAATATATGAAATACAAAAAAATGATAATTCAATTGTTGTTTTGGTAAAAATCACATCCAACTTTCGTCGGTTTGAGTCGCTTTGTCTACGCAACGGGGCCGTGCAAATCTTAGTTGATACAAGGGACTTATGGCCCTAATCGGTCGTCGGCATTTAATATCAGTCAATTTCATTCTCTTCAAATCGGGGGCGTCAGTAACTGCGTCATTATCAGGCTGAGACCTCTTGATACCTACACCTGCTGAAAACAAGATTAGAAACGACAAAAAATTAAACTAAATCATTACAAAAGCTATTTTGTGCCGTCATTGAGATGTTACTCACGACCGACTTCACCATGTTTGTCATCGAGGACCAAATGTTTGTTGATTTATTCAAAGACAAGTCATTGTTACTTTTCGAAGTTGCGCTATCATTATTGAAGACGTTTATTTGCAAAGAAACGTTAAAATGATTCGTTTTGTTGTCAATCTTCTCAACAATGTTACTACAACCGCTGAAGTCCAACTGTGTTAATGCACTTTCCCATATGGTTCCTTTAGTGTCAATCTCGTTTTCCTCACACTCTGGAATTGTATAAGGGGCTGTTTTGTACAATTCTGGCTCCTCAGCAACACTTGAATAGGAATCATCAGAAACATTGTTTGAATCTTCCGGCTCCTGTTTCGTAATTTCTACAAAAACGCGTTATTTTATTATTATTTTAATGAGAAACTTACGTTTAGGCAGGGTTAAATATTTGGGTTTCTTGCACAATTCGCTCACAGAGGGGGTTTCCGAAAAAGTCACCCTTTTCTTGGAGTCGCTCAAATTCGACGACCCTGTCATTTTCAAGTTTGATTTATGGTAGACAATTTCACTCTGGTTAATCGGGGTGATTTTATCCTCCTTGTCACTTTCTTTGTGTATCAGGGGCGTACTTGTCGCCCCCATTCTGGCCCTGATCTGGTGAGGCCCGACTTGAACCGCTTTGTAAAACGGGGTGACTTCGAGCGAGAGTTTCTCCTTTTCGGTTAATGAAGTGACTGGAGTTTTCGGTGATGCTTCTTGCATTTTGAGAGTTCCAAGTTTTAAAGGGCATTTATCGTGAGGGACGAGCTCGTCAAGAGACGTAAAAACTTTCTTACAAAAAACACAATGCAGGGGCCAATGAGCGGCTTTTATGTGGTTTAGGAGCGAAATTGATGCGTTTTTGACCGTGGCCCTGCCGTAAATACAAATTTCACACTTGGGGTTCACGTTGTGGTAATTTTCTTCGTGGGACATTCGGCAATTGACACAACAGAAAATTTTCGAACATAAACGACAGTTATTCTAAAATTGGTTTATAAGTTTAATTTGATACTTTTTGTTACTTACGTCTTCAAATCTGTTCATTTTTTTCAAATTGCCGCTACAAAAACCCGCCAAACTCGATCGGTAACTTTTGATTTTTTTAACACACAAACTACACTAAAATTCCTGAAACCGCCTAAGCCGACTTATTTAAGGGCACAAAACTGAATTTAATACACGAATTAGTTGAGTATTGTCGATGGGAGATTATAATTTATTTAAAATTCCACTTTGTCTACCATCAGCCATGTTTGTTTTTATAAACAGCCGGTAATCTGGCGTTTTTCTATGTTTTCTTCATGAAATTTAATCTCTTTTGAGATATGTATTGAAAGCGGTGTTTCTTTGCTGTCTGATAAGGTGTTAGAAATGAGTGGGGCTGTTTATGGGGGCGGTGAGTGTTTTTAACCAAAAATTCATTGTTTGGTAAACATAACCTTGTTGTAGACGAAGTTGGGGCTCTTGTCTTCGACATTGGGCACAACTCGACTAGGGCGGGGTTCGGCGGTGAGGATAGCCCCAAGTTGGACATTCCCTCGACTGTGGGGGTCTGGCTCGACTCCCACGACGATGTCACCCAAAAGCGGTACAACATCGGCATCACGTCGATTAACGTTAGAAGATCCGGTAATTCCCCCGTCAAACAGGTGGTAAACTCATTATTGACCCTAAATTTTAACATTTAATAAAAAAAATACTAATCTAGCGCATCGCCTGAAATTTTCAACTATACCGCGTGCCTCAAAAATAAGTACAATGTTTACAGAGGTCAATAATGGACTTTACCGACTCGCTGGTGTGAATGAAAAATGAGAGATTTAGTTTTGTAGAAATGGAGCTGACGACGTTTTTGAAGGACGGTATGGTTGAGAATTGGGAGATTTTTGAGAATTTTTTGGATTATATATACAGTAACGCTTTGCGGGCGGTGCCAAACGACCACCCGCTGCTTATCACTGAGCCGCCATGGGTGACGGCCCCTAAGAGGGAGCAGTTAACAGAGTTAATGTTTGAGAAGTACAATGTTCCTGCTCTTTATTTAGCTAAGAACGCATCCCTCGCTGCCTTCGCCAATGGGCGTCCGACTTGCCTTGTTGTTGATAGCGGAGCTACGCACACGTCCGCTGTTCCTGTACATGACGGGTACCCCCACACTTATTCCATAGCTTGGTCTTTTATTTTTTAACTGTGTTGCTGCTTTACCATTTTTGTTGCTTAGACGCTTGTAGTTGGCTTGTGTTTGTGATGTTTCACTCTAGTAATAAACGTACCCCTCACAGTTTTGTGCTGACACAAGCTGTGGTTAAGTCTCCAGCTGGTGGAGATTATTTGAGCACACAATGTCGCAATTATTTAACTGAGAAAGGAATTGAAATTGTCCCTCCTTGCATGGTAGCCTCGAAAGAACTTACTAAAGCTGAAGAAGCGCCCAATTTCAAACGGAGACTCTTCCAAGCCAAGCTCACCGACTCCTGGCACAATTACATGATCAAAGTGAGTCTCACTAAACTGTCACACAATCTCAACACTAAAATTACAGCAAGTTATGCAAGACTTTCAAGCTTCAGTGTTACAAGTTTCTGATAATTTGTACGACGAAGAAGTTGTTAAAACCATGCCGGCTATTCACTATGAATTCCCTAATGGTTTTCATAAAGATTTCGGTGTTGAACGCTTTAAAATCCCTGAACCGCTTTTTAACCCCATTGCTGGGACTAAATCGGGTATACAACCCACGCTAGGGGTTGGCCCTTTGGTCACAACCAGTGTGGGTATGTGCGATATTGATATCAGACCGGTGAGTAAGAGTCACAAACTTGATTTTTTCTACCACTGATTCACAGGCGATGTATGGGAGTGTCGTAGTGACTGGGGGAAATTCAAATTTGCAAGGATTTACCGAACGGTTGAATCGTGATTTGGCCGCAAAAACACCTCCGGTGAGGTTACTTTTACGATTTTTCTTTATTATTTATTTGTTTTCTAGAGTATGCGCTTGAAGATAATTAGTGCTCCTGGTGCCACTGAGAGGAAATTTGGGGCCTGGTCAGGGGGCTCGATTTTGACATCTTTGGGTTCGTTCCAACAACTTTGGGTCTCCAAACAGGAGTATGACGACGGGGGCAAGGCCATAGTGCAATCAAAATGTTTGTAACTCGCCTCGTATTTACTTTATTCAGTATTATTTTTATTTTGGTGTGATAAAATTTACAGTATTTAAGGCCTAACGATCAACGATTATTTTGGATTAATTTTTTGCGAATTTGTGATATATTTGTTGAAATACTTGTGGCAATATTTTTGTACTGTCATGTTCCTATTAAGTGTTCATTTGATTAAGTTTTTATAAGTCTGAGTGATTAGTCACACTAATCAAGGTTTCAAACCTATGACATTGTCTGTATAGGTTTGAAACGGATGTTATAATACTCCATTAAAATTTTTGTGATTTCTCGATGTGCCAATAAAATTTGCCAAATCAAATGAACCATTTATTAAAACCTTGTAATACTTTTAATAAATTAGCGTTGAGGCATGGGAAGGGCACAGATAGCATTGTGGACATAAATCGATACGATTCCAGCCAAAGTAATCCCAATACTGTCGGCAAAACTGGTGATTGCCATCGAAAACTGCTTATTCTCTTCACGGACCTGGAAAACTTCCATCGTTGGACTCGAGAGGGCGCTAGTTGCGTACTCACCTCAGTCGAGATCCTATAGAAAGTGTTCACGTATGCAGCACCTCCTAATAGACCCTCCCACAACGTTAGGGCCAATATGATCCAAAAACTTGGCATATAATAACATATAACTTCGGTAGTGAAAATCACTACATTAACAGCCTGTAATACCGACATGATCCATATATGTTTAATATGGAAGAAATTAACCGAAGACCGGGATGCAAACACCCCGATTTGATAAGCGACCTGAAGCCATCGGTACTGATCATCAGGGTCCAAAACCGTATTTTCGAAATTAACTAACTCGAACTACAATCAAAATTCTTATTGACTCGATTAATTTATTGTTGAAACTCACAGTTCCTTGATTTATGTAATACTCTAAAAAGTAGACTAAACCGAACGGAATCATGTATTTGAAAAGCGAAGGAACTTGTTTGAGTTTTTTCCTGAATGCTTCTTTGGGATTTTTTATTTCTTCATCGTTTACATCGGCTTGGATGTCGTTTTCGTCCATCACTTCGGGGCTTGGCAAAATTATATAAAACCTGCAACAATTAATGTGGTTAGAAAACAACGTGCGATCAAAAAAAAAATAATTAGAGAAGGCGACGATTAATGTTCTACAGTTGTTCTAAAGTGAACATTATTTCACTCAAAATGAATAAAACGCAAACTTGTCATTTGATGTCAAAAATCAGGATTGCCATCTGAAGAACTTTAATCACCGCCTACTCTAATTTATTAATTTTTTTGATGGCACGGTAAAATAACTTAGAAAATAAATCACTTACGTCACAGCCATCATTCCTGGAACTAATAACATCACTAATAGAGTGGTTTTGAGGCCTAATTGTTGTAAAAGGGAGTATGAGACAGCACCGATAACGCCAGCACCACCGGTGCCTGAACTCCAAGTTGAGACAACATTTCTACAATTAATTTTAAACAACTTGTTATCAATTATTGTGTTAATTACTTGTCATAGAACGAACTGTATTGGAGATAGGTGACTTCCCCAAGTCCTGAACAGAAAGAAGTCGTAACAACTCCTAATAAAGACATTGTAATGTTTTGGCTAAATGCTACTAAAAGAAATCCGGCTGAGGAACAAAATATACAAATGGCAACCCTTACACTGGAAATAAACCAATAAAAAGTTGTTTTGATATTTTGAGTTCTTACTTTACGAAGAAAGGTAGGAAAGGCGCTAGTAACTTAACTAACAAACTTGGAATAATGTCGGCTAGTAAAATGGCCCCTGTAGACATATATGTACAGTTTCTTTCAGTGCTTTTTGTGCCCTATAAAAAACTCTTATATATTTAATTTTGCAAAAATTTGTGAAAAATCATTGATCTGGAATGACAATTGCCTGAAAACTATCTGAATTTTGAAAATTCAAAGAAACGGGGACTAAAAACTAAATCAATTATTACTTCAGATTCTCCAATGATATCACTAGCCGCTGTGAGCATGACAACGTATCCGTAATTGTTACAGAGTCCGAGAATCCAGTAGGAGATGAGGGCCCGCCAAGGTTTGCGTTTTCTGCGGTCTTGCAGAATCACATCCTTGCTTTGGTATTCCATTTCGGAGTAGTCGCGTTTTTTGGGCCTTTTCGAGCCTAGTCCTGGAAAGCGAGAAAAACTGCGATCGATTTATCGGTGCATCTACCAGGCGCCAGCATAAACACAGCTTATAACTTATTAATTTACATAGAGCAACCACTAGCGCGAACAAGCAAATCGCATTTGGTTCGTTATCTATTCATATCAGCCGTGAAATTTTACATGTGAGTTAATACATGCGCCAAAATTGTTTTGACATTGACGAGGCAACAATCAAAATTAATAAGAAAGGTCCTAATGAATATTTATAAATTGTAACGACATTTAATCAACCCTTTGTATTACAATCACGAGTCAATCAATTCGTCCTTACTGTGAAAATGCCTCCGAACACTCATCTTACTCCTCGAAAAACTCCTCCTCATGTTCCTGATCATCCCTAAACCCGGCACTGGGAAAACGCAACTAACAGGTGCCACGCACGCTCTTATCGCGAAATATCCCTTAAACAGTGATAACGCTTTATTTATTGTTATATTTTACTGGTTCAGCAGTCCTCAAACTATTTCAACTATTTAAGGACAACCACTTTGCTAGGAAAAGTCTAAATCAAGGGTAATTGAAATTTTTCATTACTAAGAATGCAAATTAATTAATTCCAATAAAGAACCAATTAACAACTTGCAGTCAATTTTAATAAACTATAAATAAACCAATTTTAAATTGATTAATAACAAATTTAGCGTGATAAGAAATCGCGGTATTTTTCCCAATTGATAAGCGACAGAAACGCGAATACAAAAATCACTAATTACCGCCCAATTAATTTCAAGGGTCATCTCACGAAAACTAGTAATAGTCATTTTTTACCACTTACCACAATTGGAACACTGATCTTTTGAAATTCAATATTCTGATAAGTGCTCGTGCAAGCACATGCGAATCAAGAATGACTTAAGAACTCACTTCTATCTCGGAACTGCTCTATATTTTGGGTTATTTTAATCGACCCTGATTTACGCAAATGTCTAATAAATGCAATGTGTTGATTACCTTACACATGGGGCGATAAAAATCGTGGACAAACTTGCTTATTACAAAAACCACCACAAATATTTATTATTTTTTACGGTGCGACTTTTCTCACACTTTGACAGGTTCAATTGTTACATACAATTGTTTGCGTACTTATTAGATAAATCAATAGAACAAAAACACTCAAAGGACAATTATTTCGGTCATTGTCATTATGAAATATTTTTTTCGCGCGTTATTGTATTATTGGTTGCATACACATTACGTAACAAGGCACTAAAAATATACATATTCATGGATTTTATTAAATGATTTAAGTTGTCACAGTTTTCCATTTAATGGAAAAGCGGTTGCACATGTCACATCGAACCGTAGATTACTCTTAATTGACTTTCCGCTAATCAAATTATACATTTAGAGCAGTTCGGTGGCGTTTTTAGCCAACATTTATTCCAATCTCTTCATTTCTAAATTCTCTACTATCGAAGTAGAGAAGTAGTATAAAAATGATTTTTCCAAATAATTAACAACGTAATTCACAACATAAAGATTGATGTGATTAAATTAGTTCTGAATGACATTAATGACACTTTTTGTGTGAATCGGCCTTTAAATTAAAGATGCATTTAGACTTGACGCACATTAATATGAAAAAGAGTATAACTAAAAAATGATACTATACCGAATAAGGCTCCAGCGTACTCGAAAGGGATAAAATCCATGCTCAACCTACAAATAGAAAAATGACAAATAGAAAGATTTATGTAAATTGTGTCTCATCAATTGTTTGATGGATAAATAAATAACTATTTACGTGGCTTTGCATAATCAGTGCTTATCGATCAAATGTCTGCATCTCTCGTGATGCAATTTTAATGCCTCCAAATGTCAACATCCAAGAATTGAAACTTTTCCAGTCGAAATTTTTTAATTCGGAGTCATTAATTTTGCACACGGATCACTTCCCGGTCCCGCTTTTACTTTGATTAAAAATCCAGTGCTGCAAACATTTTCCAAAATGTACCGTGCGATCAAAAATACATAAATTAGAGTAGGCGACGATTAATATTCTACAGTTGGCAACAATTTTTGCTGGAAGTCGTCTTCCAGGACCGTCCCCAAGGGCGGGGGGACTAGGGGGTTCAGAACTCGCGTCCCAGAGAAAAATGCCATATAAGGTAAGATACCAGGAACATGGAAAAAATGTTAAAAGAAAATTATCTATAAAAATTTCGAAGTTATGAGGGTTTAAAGTTTGCACTTTGACTCTATTTATTTCTGTTGGAAAAATAATTTTCCAAGTTTTTTTTGCTATAGGCTATTAAAAGAGGAAACAAGGAAGCTGTATCCTAAATTGTAACTCTGTTCAATGTTATTTGTGGCTTGCTTTTATTGGCAAAATGTTTGTCTCTTTACTAAATAATTGTAAAAAAACATATACAAGATCATCAGTATCCTTAAATGGATATAAAAAATGTCAAATGTCAAAAAATAAGTGTCAAAATTTTTTGACAGATAGAATTTTTTAAACATTTTTTTCATGTTCCTGGTATCTTACCTTACTTGAAAATTTTCTCTGGGGCGCGAGTTCTGGCTCAGCCTCTATAGTGTTATAAGTGTTAAAAATTTATTTATTTTTTGTTATTTTAGTGAGTAAATTTTAAATTTTTGTGAATTAATTTTTCATGTGTTAATTATACAGAGTTTCATTTTTATTGTTAGGTACCTACAAATTTAAATAGATGATAGAATATTTAATTTTAAGACAAAAGTTTCTTATAAACATGTTTCGAAAAATGCTATGAAAGAGAGCTACACCTCCTAAAAAAGTTACGTTTTTTAAAAAGTTTTTCCTAATATTTCAGAATAAATAAAATTACAAAATTTGGTAACCTTTACACACCTAAACAAATGCCAAGTAACAAAATCAGGGGCGTCCTGAACGGTAAAACAAGTTTAATTTTTAATTTTCATGCTGTTTATAACATAACATAAATTTTTAAACCGATTTTTACTAAAAATCCGTAAATTGTATAGGAAAAACGCAAAAGACCTTTTTTTATGAAAAGCTATAAAATTTTGTTGATGAAAGTGTAAGAAACCACAGGCCAAATAGTTTAGTACTTTTTACCCTAAACCCATCCAGTTTATGAAGCCCCTAATTAAAAATTTCAACATTTTATCTTTTTTTTTACTTGTTTAGGTGTATAAAAGTTATCATCTGTACCAAATTTTGAAAATTTTTCTAAAATGATTTCGGAAATATTGAAAAAAACCTATTAAAAGACTACCCCTTGCGTAGTATTTTTCGATATATCTTCATAGAAAATTTTTGTTTTAAAAATGAATATTCTATCTCCTGTTTAAATTTGTAACAATAAAAACGGGACATCCTGTATGGTTTTATACTTAAGTATTAAAAATTTATTTTATTTTTTGTTACTTTGTGAGTTTGTATTTTTTCTGTTTAATTAGGATCTCTTATTTCAATTTAAAATAAAAACGTATACTTAGAGATAAGCTTGCTTTTCTTCATTTCATTTTCATGGACCAACAAGAAACCCTTTCCGAAATAAAATCCTGGTTACGGCCCTGTCGTCTTCTACAGCAACAATAAAAATTTGCTGATCTAAACTGAACATTATTCACTCAAAATGAATAAAACGTAAACTTATCAAAATCAAAAATCAGGATTGCCATCTGAAGGATTGTAATCACCGCCTACTCAATTTTTTTTAGATAGTATGGTATACTCGTTTTCATATTACTGTGCATCGAAGATCGAAGTAGCCGTTGAAAGGGGTCATTTTAGGGTGGCAACCATGCGAAAATTCAAACAATTTTAACCTCAATCTTTCCCAAAAATTATTTTTTTTAATAAATGTATACCCCAGGTGGCAAAAAATAATTAAAATTAACATAGGGTGGCGAACTTTGTCATTACTGATGTGATTGAATGACATTAATGACATTTTTGTGTGAATTTAGAGTTCCACAACCTACTTGATGCACATTGATATAAAAAAAGAGTATATTTTGATTTTGTCATTTTAGGGTGGCAACTATGCGAAAATTTAAACAATTCTAACCTCAATCTTCCGTAAAAATAATTTTTTTAAATGAATGTGTACCCCAGGTGGCAAAAAATAATTAAAATTAACATAGGGTGGCAAACTTTGTCATTACTGATGTGATTGAATGACATTAATGACATTTTTGTGTCATTTAAGATACATTTAGAGTTCCACAACCTACTTGATGCACATTGATATAAAAAAGAGTATATTTTGAGGTGATTTTATACGGGGTGGTCGCAGGGGATGCGCTGGCAGACGGCGAGCTGTCCCGGTGACGGTTGAGGCTGATTGCAGCATCATCGCATATGAAAAGGGTGAGTTAGGGGTAGGTCGGCGCGTCTCAGATTCCATTATTCTACCCCATTGACAAAGGCTCCCCAAATATCCTATTCGAGCCGGTTTTTTACGGAACGGATGCGTGAGAGGGGTGAGGCCCAGGTGCGACATTGAACGCATTTGATGCACGGCGATCTTGCAAACAAAGATCGCAATCAGCAGCCCAACGGCAATGGGTTGGAGCCCCAGTCCCGAATCGCGTCTCGAAAAGTTAAGACACGCAGTAGCGCGCACCTGTGACACCCCCGACACGTGACTCCGACCACCAATCGCACTTGACCGCGACACATTCAAATTTTACAACTCTTCAGGTAATAGAAAGTGACTCAATAATTGGGACGGGGGACCCTAAACTACAACCCTAGAAATCCGAAAATACAAGGGAAATGTTCTCGCCGGCTTGATTCTTTTATCTAGGACTAATTATTGGACGAAATATGTACCCCAACACATGTCAAAATAATCATAAGTTTCCAAAAACAGCTGCAGAGCCGAAGACAGTGCAAAGTTCAAAAATTAAGAGGGGGTAAGTCAAGCATCACACTTCTAGATTATTCTATAGATCTTTAAATCACAGTTTTATCAAAATATTATTTTTTTTACTTACGTGTCAAAAAATTAGCACAGTGATGAGCTCGCAGACTGACCAGAACTCACCGCGAAGGAATGTGAAGTACAGTCGGGGCCCCCGATTAGCGTATTGTCTAAACTGGACAACTTGCACTTTGAAATTGACAAACTTTGTTTAATTACGCAAATCTCTACACAGCACAGTCGTTATATTAGACACAACTCCTATTTTTCGAATTTTGGCCCAAATTTTAACCAAATTTATGTCAAATGATAATACTACTGAATGAATAATGGAACGATTCGGTACAAATTACGTAATAAAAATTTATTTAAAACCAGTTCTTTGCTTTGAAATTACGCGAGGGCAGACATTGCCCCTGATGGATGACTCATAAGTACTACAAAAGTAGTATTTTTAAGCAAAATTTTTCGGCACACACTGTACCTAACAAAATTAGTAATAAAGGTGATAAGGATATCGCAAAATTCTTATGATTTTCAATGACAATTGAATTTTTATTCATCGACTAACAGAAAAATTTAATTTGAGATAACAATAATTTACAAAATTGTTTTTCTGTAGACACAGATGAGCCGGAAAATGGAAAAGACACCGTTCGTTTCTAATTATTCGATTTTAACAAATTGAAAGTTAAATTGAAAAATTACTAATTAATTTATATTAATATTTTAACAATATTGATCTATTAATGTAGTTTCTGTAGTGTTGACAAGTTCATGATTATTTTATTCCAAAAGTGTACATTTTATGAATGAAAATTTAATAAACTGCAAAATTGCAAGAGCTTAGGTTCGATTTTTGCAATTACTACTTTTAATACCTACAAACCCCAAAAACTTATGGCTTTTTGAATCTAAATTACGTTTGTATAAAAATAAAAAACATACAGGGTGTGTCAAAACTTGCGCCTCAGAGAAAGGTAAGGTACGATACCTGAAACTTGAAAAAAATGTTTAAAAAATTCTGTTAAAAAATTTTGACATTTATTTTTTGACATTTGACATTTTTTATGGCTATTTAATGATACTGATGACCTTGTATTTGTTTTTTTATAATTATTTAGTAAAAGTACAAAAATTTTGCCAATAAAAGCCACAAATAACATTAACATTTACGATGCAGTTTCCTTGTTTTCTCTTCTAATAGTAGGAAAAGAAATAGAAAATTATTATTTTTCCAATATAGTGCAAAATTTAAACTCTATTACTTTGAAATTTTTATAGCTTACATGGCATTTTTCTCTAGGGCGCGAGTTCTGGCGCATAGTATGTTCTGTAAAAATGCCTATTATTTATTTTTAAAAAATTACATTTAAATTGAAGTTGACACTGTAAATTGAAGCAACAAACTGAACATTTTATGAGGGACCGTTAACTTGAAAAAAATGTGTAGCTAATTTCAATTTAAAAAAAAATTACCGAAATTCCAGCAATTCCAATAATCCATCGTAATTCCTTTGTTTTCAGATTAATTCATATTATAATTTGATATGAATTTTGCAACTCCAACTTAATTTTCGTAATTTCAAATTAATTTCGTTAGTTCTATAAAATTCAACGTAATTTTGAAAAGAAATTAGAATCCAGTAATTCCAGGGAAATTCCAGTAATTCACAAATAATTATAAGCAATTTCGATTGAATTATAAAAAGTTACAACTAATTTCAGAGTTAACGGGCCCGACATTTTAAAAATTGTTAAATTTGTCTACTGTACTGTTCGTTTTTGTTAATTACACAAAACTGCAATCTTTTTTTGTTTTTTCGTAAAAAGTAAGAAAATTCAGTTTTTTCAAGTCACCTAAGTGCAACACGATACACTTTAAATAGGGTAAGTCTGGGAGAGATGACACATTTTGAAAAATCTGCTGTAAAATTATGATTTTTATTTGATTTCAAACCACGAATAACAAAATAGAAAACACATTCTTTTAAATACATCAAAAGATTAATATATTCTGATGTGTAAAATTATTGACAAATCTGTATCCATATTCATGTACCTACATTATTTGAATTCAATTCATTAACTTTAAATTTTAACTTTGATTTTGATATGATAAATGTACTATTATTGTCTTTTGTAATCTTTTTAGTCAGTTCCCTGCATTTGGGACACTTTTTTCTAATGTAGGTAAATTGAGGATAAAACTAGAAATAAACATAAAGGAGAAATAATTCACTAAATTAAATATTTTATTGCAATTAAATTTTATTCGTTACGTGATTGGTTAAATTTTGATGAAAAACCAATCAGATTTCAGCATTTTGAAGTTAATTGCGATTAACTCAATTTTGATTTAATTCACTCTCTGTAAACCCACCCTAAGATTAACATTTTGCTATGAGAGAGGGAGCTTTCTCCCGGCTTACCCTAAGTACCGAAATCGGGGTTACTTTTACATAGTTTGAGAGGTTTTGTTATTGTAACTTTTTTATTTGTTGCAATATTTTCTTGAAAAAAATAGCATCAGAACAATTGATCCTTCTGCTTTAACAAACAAACTTAAAATTTTGCTTCAAGGTCATAGTCTTTCCAAAAAAAAAATTTTGGTGTCAAATAATTACGTTGAAAATCAAAGTAATGCTAGCCTGTGACACCTTAAAACTAAAAATATGTAATATATGATGTAAACAAATATGTAAATAACATTAAACACCAAACATAAAATATATATTTTATAAAAAAAATAAATAAGTCATTCTTTGGTATGTTATGTGAAAAATGTCATATAAGGTGAGATACCAGGAACATGGAAAAAATGTTAAAAAAATTTTATCTATAAAAATTTCGAAGTTATGAGGGTTTAAAGTTTGCACTTTGACTCTATTTATTTCTGTTGGAAAAATAATTTTTCAAGTTTTTTTGCTGTAGGCTATTAAAAGAGGAAACAAGGAAGCTATATTCTAAATTGTAACTCTGTTCAATGTTATTTGTGGCTTTTATTGGCAAAATTATCATAACATAGATATAAAAAAATGTCAAATGTCAAAAAATAAAGATCAAAATTTTTTGACAGATAGAATTTTTTAAACATTTTTTTCATGTTGCTGGTATCTTACCTTACTTGAAAATTTTCTCTGGGGCGCGAGTTCTGGCGCACCCTGTATAATTTCGGTGGGTACCTACACTGAAAATGAAACAAGATTAGTAGCCCCATAACGTGTCAAAGTAACCCCATTTTAGGGTCAGTTCGTATATAAAAGTATGTAAAAATGTTCTTGTCTAAAAAAAACTAAAAATTTATCTCTGATGAGAAGTTTTGCCAACAGTACATATTTTTCATTGAAGCAGCATTTCTTAATCACTTGCGTTGAGTAGAATATAAAAAAATTTTTGCTTTGTTATACAGCTGCATTCTGCATTAATTAAAATTGTTTCGAGATGCGAGTACATATTTTTCAACATTGTTTTTTTCTACACGAAAATTCGAAAAAGTATGGAAAGCTCTTTTGTCGGTTAAAAACCAGTTGTACAAACAAACAAGTTTTTTTTCAATGACAAAGACTCACCATAAAGTAAAATCGTCATGTTTTTTGAATGTGTAAAAAATGAGCGATTTTTGGTCCGTTAATAATGCAAGAGTTGCATTGCAGATAAATCCGGAAATAGCAATGCAAGCCTGCGTCAAAGAGTCGTCGAGGTGTCAAGAAACGAGGCAAATTAAAAATGACTGGGGGTTTGGAAGGGTAAATATTTTGATAAGGGTGTGATTCGCTAATTAATATTTAATGGTCATAGGTCTCCATTTTGGTGTAGGTGTCAATGGGAGGAGCTTGAGCGGGTAAATGGAGGGAACGGCCAGTCAGGAGGGTTAAAAGCCAGACTACCGCCCTTTTGTCGCGCACATCCGGATTCGGTGTCGAAAGCGCAATTACCTTCCGGAGAAGTCTTCACCTGATCTTCACCGAGTCAACAGTGCAACATCAGTGCTGAAGTGACACCAACTTCCGGTCACGCTGTATCGGGAGTGCCGTGATAACGCGATTTTAGGAAAATTCTCGCGACATTTGCAGTGACGACATTTCAAATTTATCGCGCCTAAATTGGAACCGAAACCGACAGGTGACAACGGTCTGTCTTATTACATATTCACGATTTGCATTCGTGAATATTTAAAGATTGGCACGTCAACAGACGTATTATCTATACGAATAGCAGACTGTGGCCCGGAAATTCTACTTTAACCGAATTTAGTCCATATTTAGACGCCGACTTCTTCGAATAACCGAGTTTTGAAGATTTCAATGCTGGAGGAGACGACGAACTTGCAGTTCCTTTTGCTTTTGATTGTTGCTCAGAAAGCCGGACATTTGAAAGGCTTTCGGGCAATAATCATTTCCAAAGAGGACTCATCACAACTCACCTTTTGTCATATTTATAATAAATCTTTTTACAATACTGAGATTTTTATTCCCCAATATCAATCACTGTTATCTGAAAATTTTTCTCAAGTGTGAATAGTCTCGCAAATATGAGACTTGTAAGTACCTTATTATCTTATCAAGGGTCAAAAGACGCTTTGTGAAATTTATGAGTCAATTAAAGGTTTGGAACAAAACAAAAACCAGTTCCCAGAATGTATTTCTTTAATAAGTTTAACTTTGATAATTAAATATAAAAATAAGCAATTAAATGACAAAATGACAAAAAATAATCAAATATCTATCATAAAATACAATTATGTATTCTAAATTTGTTACATTTTGAAAAGCGTGTGCGTCACAAATAATTCTAAATCATTAAAATTTAATGACACTATTTGGATCTCCTCTATAATATAATGGTCACCTTGTATTTCCAGGTAAATACAAATTATTAAAACTATTTAGAATGCGTAAAAATTTGCAATCATATACCGTGAAAAATGTAAAATTGTGCAATATTAAATAACGATAAATTTTGTTCGAATATTCTCGAAGCGTCCAATTAAATAATGCAAAGAATTGGCGAAAAAATGTGTGTGCGCTTAAATTTTAATTACTCCCGGAGTGAACTTTGAACTGTTATTATTGGAGTGTTTTTAAGGTTTTATGTATGCAATACGTCTTACGCAAACTGTATTGTTGGTTGCATAACGTTATTTATAATGTTCAATGTTACCAAAATAGTTGCCAAAGAGGAAATTTTTTAGGTAAATACAGTTTATTGAATATATTGAAAATAAATAAAAATTTGCAATCATACACCGTGTAAATGTAAAGTTGTGCAAAATTAAATAACCGTAAATTTTGTTCAACTTTTGATTTTTAAAAGCGCCCAATTAAGAAAAGAATTGACGAAAAAAATGTACGTCCGGGATGAACTTTAAACTGTAATAATTAGGGTGTTGAGTATTTATGTATGAAACACATTTTTACGCAATGTGTATTCTTAGTTGCATAAGTCATTTTAGTAAATGAGATGACGTTCACTGTTATCTTATCAAACTTGTTGCCCACTTGTTGCACAAGAGGAAAATACTGCATTTTTTCTAGAAGGTGGGAATTACTCAATAAAACACTTATCTGTCATGGATGGCGTCATATATTTGTTATTTTACAAAACATAGGTACAAAATAAACACTGTTTATTTGACCTGACCTGTAGTGCGTCTCATTATTTGTACATTTTGGGGAAAACACGCCAAAACGTATAAATAATTAACAAAAAAATTAATTACTAATTTTGTTACTTCATGAACATACAAAAGTATAAAAAATAAGTCTTTGATACAGTAAGTACAGTTCTAATCAATGATGTTTTACTATTGACATAATTACACAAAAAACCTACTTGATGCCAATTTCTATTAAACAATAATTGAAATAAAAAATGTATTCTTAATTGTCACTTGCTTAAGGCAGATGTATGTATATAGAATTGTCAAAAAATATTCGGGAAACATTATTCAACATTGTTATAAAAATATCTTACTATACATATGGCATGTGAGCATCTTTTGGCAATTTATACAGAGATATAAACATGTAAACTCCCTTATTTCTATAAATTTGTTCATATAAAACAAGAGAAACGTAGCAGTTTTAAGTTGCACCAATGAAATAGTGTGTTAAAAAATATTGCATAACTTGTAAATGACTTACTTTAAAAATAAATACAAATCTTTATAAGACAATATGAGAAGAGAAGCTGCTTGTAAAACAACACAATACTGAATGAATTTTATCACTGATTTAAGAGGGAATAGACGAAACGAGATCAGTGCCGTTTCAAGCAGCTTCACTTCCATTTTCCACATTACATAAAAATGAAATGCTTTGCATAAATTCCGACTTAACAATATATTATAAAGGCCGTTACATCAAAAGGCCACAATCTTTTAAATTATTATTAATAATAACATTAGTTACTGCGTCAAAAACAAACTGAATATTCGTAGTGTCTGTCGCACACGTGAAATGAGTATAAATTTCTTTCTGATCCTTTCGTTTATTCAAATTTTCGAATTTCATTCGGATATAAGCCGACGCGTCTTCGTAAGTATTCGGACCGGTATATTCAGGGAAACATATCGTCAACGGACTTCGCGTTATTTTCTGCTCAAACAAATCTTTCTTATTCAAAAACAGAATTATCGAAGTCGACACAAACCACTTGCTGTTACAAATCGAATCAAACAGTTTCATTGACTCCACCATCCTGTTCATTTCCTCATCTTCGGCCAAAACTAAGTCGTAACCAGACAACGCGACACAGAAAATAATCGCAGTCACGCCCTCGAAACAATGTATCCACTTTTTTCGCTCCGAACGTTGACCCCCAACGTCGAACATTCTAAAAAAAAGTGTTACCCTGACCGGATTCGAACCCCTGACTCGGCGACTTACTTAAAGTGGAGTCCTTTGAACGAAAAGTGGGTTTCAACAATCCCAGTTGTCTTGACTCTAGTTCTTAGTACGTCCTGTTGCGAGGGAATGTAATTAGGTTGCGAAATTCGGTCTAAAGCATTTAAATAATAAGCTGCAGAGTCGTTTAATTGATATTCTCGGGAGCGTGCAAAACATAATTGTACCCCAGGATCCTGCCAAAGCTTCTTCATCAACATCACAAGCTCGGGGGTTAACTCCCCCTCTTCTGCGGCACTCGCATATGTGAAAAACTGACGCGCGATATCCTGCAAAAATGTGGATCAAGTCGCTAGTTATTTTCGTTGTCATGGCAACAAAGTTTACAAACAAGTGACGCGGTTAGTAACAGAGGTCGGTAATAAGACAATGTCAACTTACAGCACGACTGGGGTCTGCAAAATCGATTCGTAGTTGTCCCATGGCCCGAATGATTGCCATTAAACTCTGAATGGTGTTGCTGTAGACGACAGGCCTGTATTGTTCACATTCTTCCTTGGAGTAGCCCGTTTCGTGTATGATTTTCATTTGTTTAACAATTGTGCTCTTTCCTGATTCGCCGGCGCCTGTAATTACAAACAATCGAAGCGTGATTATTAATCACCAACCTGAGCTAAATTTTTCAACGATGAGTAAACCGAGCAAAGGAAATAAATAAAACGCTTGGGGGCGTAATTAGGGCACTTTTGGTGTTTATTTCCGGGTGGGAAACAATCTCTAATTCAAAATTTCCACCAATTTTCTCTGAAAACTCACCAAGCAGTAACAGCTTGACTTCACTTGCTGCCCTTTCGCCATCAGCTCGCAAATCTCTGTCAATTTTCTTCGAGCGTTCTGTAGCTTCTTTATCGCCTGTTGTACTAACCGCACAACCCATATTATATTTAAAATCGCTTTTATTTTGACACTTGTTGCTGTTAACAGATCACAAACGACTCCACCCGCTGGAGAAAAACTTTCGGTTAGATTGGCAAACCAAACTCCCTAGATTCGACAACGGCAGCCATGACACGGCGCCAAATTCAAAACACCCAACATTAAATCAAACAAACTTGTATAAAAATATGTTTATTTCCTAACAAAATCACAATAACATTATTTATACAACTCGGCACCGGCAATTTTCCTTTTATGGAGTAAATAAGGGGCGTATCGCTGCGCTAACGGCCGATACACCCACTCAAATAACATATACTATGTTTTTTTGACAAAACCGGTCATAGGAGGAGGCCCCAAATTAGTGGTGCATTGCATGGGGGCCGTCGGGTCTACACCAACCGGTCTTTGCGATTTCGGCGACGCCGGTGGTCTTTCAATAGTCATTGTTTGTTGAGGTATCTTATCATCGGTTGAAATATTCATACTGGAATAAATTTCTTTCAAAATCAACAACATGGTGTCTTCCGATTCCCAGTAACACACGTGACTAGTTAAGGCAAAAATGTACTCGTTGAAAAACTCGAACGGTGCTTCCTGGAGCACGTAATCAATTCGTCGGTTGTTGTTCAAAATACCTAAAGGTAAATCAGTTGGTTGTTGTTCAGGTTCGTCACTTTCCATCTCTTCTTGTTTACGTAACTGCTCTTGAAGGGCTTTATCGACTTGCTCCTCCAGAGAGGGTTCGTCTGGGCGGTGAAACATTGCGAGTTGGTAAAACGAATTCCAAGTGCTTTTCATTGAATCAATAATACGTTGTTTTAAATCCGCTCCGACTCGAGCCATTGTTTCCTTCAATTCTAAACACTACCAGTAGTAATGATGAAAATTAATTAAATATTTTACCTAAATGCAATCTTTTCCGCCCTTTGTGATGTGGGATAAGCACCGGTTTGAGTTTAGCCAACTCGGGATTGATCAAAGATTCGATTCGATAAGCTACAGGGTCATAGGGGTGGAAAATATTAAAGAAAGCGGGACAAGTAGGGAGAGCAAATTGTTCCCCGAGTGTATCCAACCCTCTCACTGTCACAAACATACCAATTGGGGACCCTAAGGCAAAAAAAGCCTTAGGTTGGAACATAAGATGAGGGTAATGAATTTGGGGTTGTCCGGTGCCTACCGCACCCATCATGTAACTAATCCTTCGACTCATCCGACGTAGCAATGGGGGCGGCTTTGTATCATTTAGTGGGGCTATAGTATCCTCATCTGCAATTAAGTGCGATCAAAAAAAAAATAAATTAGAGTAGGCGTCGATTAAATTCTACAGTTGGCAACACATTGGCTGGGAATTTTCCACACAAACTGAAAGTGATAATGACCATTTACCGTTTTCGTCTTCTTTTTGCTCTAAAGTGAACATTATTTCACTCACAATGAATAAAACGCAAACTTGTCATTTGATGTCAAAAATCAGGATTGCCATCTGAAGGACTTTAATCATCGCCTACTCTAATCGCACGGTACAAACCTTCAGATGCTGCTTTCTCTGGTTCTGGATGTTGGTGGCAAAGTAAATCAAACAAAATCAAAGAACCTAAACTGTGACCCCCGAGTGATATTCCGCCGTTGAAATCAGGATTTCGCTGTTTGTACAACTCAAATATTTTATTTAGTTGATTCCCGACTGTGGAAATAATAGTTTGGCAATAAACAGGACTTGTGTAGAAAAGTATATCGAGAAGTGTGTCGTTTGTAAAGTCACGTAAACGTGGAATGCTATCAAGTGTGATACTTTTCAATTTCCGGTCAATTCCGGTATCTTCCGAATGCAGTTCTTCGTGCCAACTTATCGGAAGGACTTCAATCCGATTGGCTATACCTTTCTCACACGACGACTTGTAATGCGATTGGACCAATTGTAAAGAAATGCTACGAAATTCGTCAACTACAAGCAAAAATTAGGGAAAAAACTACAATGGTGTCACCCTCGTACCAACTTCCTCAACGGTGCGAAACTTCAAGTCACAAACTGACCCAATCCCGTGTACTAGAAACAAAAGATGGTCGACTTTCGCCGGCTCACCTTCGTCAATATCAAACTCGTCCATTCCTCTTTTGACAACTCTGGGTCGTAACTGATTCTAGAAAAAAAAAAAAAAAAACTCCCTAGAGATTTTCCAAATTTGAGTTGGTATACTTACTGGTGTGTTTCCCCAAGCATCAGGTGACTGTGTCGGTGGGAAAAGGACCAAGACATCAGGTGCATGAAAAACAACTGTTTCCCCATTGGTCAATTCAACTTTTCTGTGCCATTGGTTGGTTTCAAATGCGGTTTTAAACTCTTCTTCTAGTTTGGTCGCGACGTTTTCCTCATACGGGACGTATCTGCCATCGGAATTGCCTTTGTGGAACCAAGAACAGCGCCGGACTTCACTCGGGGCCCCCTTCCAATAAACAGGGTCACGCTGACGGCGTAAAATATTAACATCATAGCGACCACCGTCAGTAGCCACCACTTTATCCGGATCTAAATCATCTAAAACTAACAATTAGAAAAAAATCGTAGATTAGTGTCATTACTTGAGGTAAAAGCTTGCTCTAGAGCCAGAGAATCAACCATGGAAAATGGTTGCCAGACAGTTTTCCCCTCAATTTCACGTTTGTAAAACCAGTGGTGATAAACAGGTCGATAAATCTGATTAGGGGCCTAAAACCACACTTACACTTTGAAACCCAAATCAAGACTAATTAATTACATTCGCTGCGGGTAACGTCTCCCCATTAAGCCCCGTTGATAATCCAGGACCGACTTCAGGAGTTTGCAACAGCTCATTTGCGGGAATTGCAGCCATGACAGGGGTGGTAAAAACTTGGGAGGGGGGTGGAGGTTGGAAAAAATTTGGGGCTGGAGGTTGCGAGTTGTTGCTCAAACCTGGGACTTGGGCGTAGACGGGTCGTTTGAGCCCTGGTCTTCGGTAGGTGTTAGATGGGGCTTGCGGAGGGGCACTTGGGGGCGTATTAGTAATTCCACTTGAAGGGAACAAGGGAACCGGTGCAACATTTGTCGGAGGTTGACTCAAAATACTCTCAATGCCTGCAGGAGGTGGAGCAATTTCGGGTTGGGGCTCGTGAGAGTTTCCCTTCAATTTTAAAAAGGAGAAAACCGAGGATAGGTTTGAGGTCTGTGGCTGGTTTTGGAAAGTGTCAATGGTTGTTGGGACCGTTTCCAAGAAATCTATTGGCTCTGCAACACGTGGAGGTTGATCTGAAAATAATTCCAAACACCGGATCAAACAATTTGAAAATTTGTCAATATTTGAGGAAGATTGTAATTGTAATGCCACACCCTTTTGAGGCATAAAACATTAATTTTTAGAAAATTACAAAGACGAATCTCCGTTATCACAAGATTGTTATTGTGTGATAACAATCTTATTTATATTTTGATGCATTAAAATAAAAAATTGACTGAATTAAAAAGTAATAACACGTGTTACGAATATTTACTAGAACTGATAATTGTTAAGGTTGAACAATATCCGCTCCTACCCACAATTTGTCATCTAACTACTACAAAAGCTAAGTTTTTTTTGGGGAATATTAGTTGTGTTAATCACTTGAAAGTGACAATGTTTAAAATAATAGCAATCTCTTTACTTTTCCAAACAATAAGTGCAATAACAACAGTCAGGCAAGAAAATGAGAATTATTTCACCAACTACATAAACCGGGAGGAAGAAAGTGCGCGAAAATTTCTCCAACGTTACAATTCCTTCAACCCTGTGATTCTTCTCGTTGAAAACAGTCAAGCGAGTCAAAACGCAGCTTTAAATTTCCTGAAATCGGTACACAAACTTGAGCCAAGAGTCCAGAACGTGAATTTCATGTTGATGAAATTTAATGAAACAAGTGAGGGTTTTTAGACGGATTTTACCAAATTTGTAGGTGTTAGCCCCGTTTTAGGTAACAATAAACTCCACTTGGAGAAACTCCTAATCGAGAAAATCCCTCCAAAACCGTCAACATTCCTCGGACGTGAAACCAATCGAAGTGCGGTTTTTTTCGGGATTTTGAACGCCGTCCATGTGCTACCCCCATCAAGTGGTGTGGTGGTTTTCATGAAACGGGACGTGGAAGACGAGGATTTGTCCCAACATGCGGCAATTGAAGTGGAAAAGAAACGAATTCAAGTTAGTTGATTATTTGATTTGTCTACTAACTGTTTTAAGGTTTTTGTGTTTTGTGGGGCGAAGCGAAAAGGGGGTTATTTGGAGGAGTTAGCTGTGCGTTCGCGTGGCGGTTTTTGGATTCAGCCGGACCGGGACCTCTCCTCGGAATATTACGAGGAATTTTTAGAAAATATCAATGCATTCACTTCAGTTGTGATGATTTTATCGCGGAGGAATCTCCGAGGGGAAAATAACCTGGTGTTTCCGATCGATTCTGATGTAACAGGTGTCCACATAAGTATAGCCCCCGAGGTCACCACAGGGCTACTGACAACACCTGGAGGTAGTTTAGACACTGGGAACGGTTGATGATACAACTGTTGTTTCAGGGTACAACATTGGTGTTTTGAGGGGCGACGATGTAGTGCGATACTCAGCTGGGTCGTTCATAAAACGAGGCTATGGCGTGCACGAAATCCACATTAATACTACGACGCCTGACGTCGGAGTGTGGCGTCTTCGAGTTAGCAACGCGCGCGCACTTTACAACGTTACAGTTTTCGCACATACAACAAAAATCACCGATTTTGGGACAGGTAAAATCAACTTACCGGTGGAATTATCAACGAGATATTAACTCGAGTAGTTAGAACTACACATTTATAACAACTGGACGTTCGAATAGACTTTGTACATGATGTTAGATGCGTCATGGATTGGTTGCGTAAAATCACCATTTAAAAAACGCATGACCTTAGATATTTACAAACAAATGCAAATCCTCATATCTGGTGTTTAATGTAATGCCAACACGAGAAAATTCGCCCCTAGAGTGTCAAAATATTTTGGTGACATCACAGGGAGTTGTTGCGTAATTCTGATAACGTACTCGAACTTAAACCTATCACCACACCAGAATATCCCTTCCAAACCTTGACTTTTAAACTCTTATCACGAAAATTTATTAGTTGTCAATTAACTCAGTTTATTCCAGCTGTAAATAAGACAGGAAATAAGAAAAAAATTCTGAAAGTGGGACTCACGTCTGCGATAAGCAACATCACACACATTAGTTTCGTTAATAGAGATGGCAACCCCATCCTAAGCAATGTCAGCTACTTAAGTGACAATAAAGAAATCCAAGTCCCAAATGAGTCATTTTATGCCGTTATCGACGGAATTGATTCAAAAGGGGACAATTTTAGACGCTTATCGTACGTTAGAGGAAACGAAAAAGACATATTTTTTCTACCACCTATAACCATCGATCTGGGTCTTGGGTCCGAACTTATCACCCAACCATATCGCCAACCACAACTTTTTTTTGAAGTAACCAACAATGGCAATACTCCGACTTTGGTCCGTTTTTTTTGCAAAGACGACAAGGGCATATTACTTAGCATGGATCCGTGGTAGTAAGTATCTAGAGTAGTTACCAATTTCTCGATTAAGTATTAAATAACAGCAAATGGATTAATCCCCAAGAGACAGCAACCGTTCGTGTGACCCTTACAACAAGGTCTGGTCAATACCAAGACTTTATCACTTTTACAGCCGCTGGGACGGAAACTGTCACTAAAAAAGTGATAGTTGATGTTGGGATTAGTAGTGACGATCGGAGAGACCCCCACATTGACTATCACTTCACTAGTGATTGCACTGGTGTTCTTTTGGGGAGTTGCGAGGATGCGACTTGGACTGTTGAAGTCAAAGCTAAAGATACCGGTTCTGGTAGGAAACAAAGCTCTGTGTTCACAAATCTTCATTTATTTTTTACAAGGTTTATTACAAGTGATATCTAGACCCAAAGGTATCTACTTCCCTAATGGTTTCACAAGCGGAACCACCGAGGAAGTGACTGGGTTTTTCAGCGAATCTTGTTGTAACCCAGACTTGGAATTGATCGCTTTTGACAGACAGAATAATCGAAGGACGCGTCATATTAATGCATATTGTATGTTATTCTTGGATACGTCAAAAATTTCAATTGTGGTTTCAGGGGCTACTTTAAGTCCAGGAGCTATAGCGGCGATTGTACTCGGGGTCATAATACTGATTTTGCTAATCATTGGATTGTTCTTCCTGATCAGGAGATGTTGCATCGCTTGGCGCAATAAAGAGAGTTACGACTTACCAGTTTATAGAGGGCCTCTTAGCTCCAGAAGAGCTTAATTTTTCTCTTATTTTGTAATAAACATATTTCAAAAAGTGTTTGACTGAATCGGTAATGAAGGGAACTGCAAATCAAATTAGCTAAAATCGTCTTTTTGTGATAATTTAAAAAAGTTGAAACGGATAAATGTCACAAAATCGATTAAAAACTTAATATTCCATACTTTTCTAATGTTTTTTTTTTACAATAAAACTGTATTTCAAAACGGGTGTTTTACTGAATCACTAAAAGATGGTGCCGGTAATGACGGGAACTGCAATCCAAATTAGTGAAAATCGTCTTTTTGTGATAATATAAGAAAGTTGAATCGGGAAAGTGTCTCAATATCAATTTTCCTTACCTGGTTCAAGGTTTAGCACTGGTGGTGGTGGCGGCGGTGTTTTTTCTTTAGCTGGGAGTAGTAAAGCATTTTGGGAAAAATCTTCAATGGTACCTCCAGTCACCGCATTATTGAAGAGCGGGTTTTTCACTTTTTTGTTAAAATCATTCATTTTTTACCAAAGACGGGCTTTTTCACATACTAACAGCTGTTAGCCACCTAACTGTCAACAAAACTGTGACACCTTACACGTAGTAGGGGGAAGCTTCAAAAATGGCCATTACTTTGGCACCCCTCTAGTAGGTGTCACTGTCACAACTTTTTGCGGCAGGTTTAAAAACTTATCTTTTTTGATGATTCAATAGAAAAACATGAGTAGTCATTACGTAAAAGTCTTTGTTCTCATTAAAACTCGACGAGATTGATTTTTTCGTGTTATCGTTAAACAAATTAGAGGCTTTTGTAATGTTTCATTAATTTATTTGTAATATATTCAAAACATGTTATTTGCTTTGTTAACAGGAATATTCCAGCCACGACGATTCTCGTAAATTCGGCTGAGCTGTACAGAAATAATTTTGAATCTTTGTTGTTCCTGGAAGTTGAATAATGCGTAAATCACCCTCGGGAGTGATTTGTAGGGAATTAAACAAAGCTACAGTCGTGGTTTTCGGTTTTCCCCATTTATCGTAAGTATTTGTGGTAAGAAAGCTCGACTGTTGTTGCCCACTTATCGGGTTAATGGGTGCACACCTTGTCCGAGCTAAAATACAAGATGTTATGTTTTTGACTAGGACGATTTGATCCTCTTCGATAAGTGCGTCGTTATCAACGGACGCTTCTGCGTAGCATTGGGCTATCTACAAAGTCCAAAATGAACCGAACCGGTTAGGTTTTAACCCCTCACCAGTAAATCGGAGTTGACTCGTCTGATGCAAGTTACAAACCGGCAATAACCTGCCACACACGGGCCCGTGCCTGGATTCGCCTAGAAATTTGATTTCTCGAAAGGAGATAACACTGTTTATTTATTCTTGAATGTTTACAACACAATTCGTTATTGTTATTATGCACATTAAATTACGTAAATAGCGGTCGTTGATTGTTTAAATAAACAAGCAGATTGAGCTGAGTAAATTTGATAATTCGTTTCATTTTAATCTTACTTACGTCTATTTGAGAGGAGCAGTCTTCGTATCGCGTCCCAGCTAAATAATTGTCCCCACAATTCATTAAATCGGTTAGAGACGGTTGATTGTTATTTGAGGTTGATGCCTGTTGGAAACACCCAACACACGCATCCCTCATCAAATTATCCTCGTCGTTGATCGCCACATTATTGCACATTAGGGTAAAAAGCCCAACTAGTTGCTCCCTGCGTCAAAAATTCAACTCGTTTCGGCCCAAGTGGCCACTTACGTGTATTGTTGGCAGTTGGGGGGCTGCAATTTTTGGAATTTTTTGACTAAGTCTGCTTGAGTGAAATTAGCCAATACGGCTAATGTCACAATTGCGAGTTGTTTACACATATCGAGTGGGTTTTTTCATTGATCCGTCATAATTTATAACAAGTGGCCCCACTTTAGTTACCTAACATTTTGTCATTTTGCAACATCCGAATGCGAGTGCGTTCACCCCTCGGATTGTTTGATTTTAGTGATTTTTGCGCGTGAGAGGTGACTTTCGACGGTTATTCGCATGAATCGTAAATACCCATGACGCAGTGGAGCCATGTTGAGTCTCAAATCTAGAATTAAGTATTGCGCAACGTTGAGCGTGGTCATGGTCGGAGCGCGTGGAACGCGCCCGTCACAGAGATAATCAACATACATATGATGGGAGAGAAAAAAAGCTCAGATTGAAAAACGATGCAAATATTTATTTAATACATAGTTAAGAGGATACATGCTTGGTAATATGAAAATATATCGTTACTTTTTATTAAGGTGATATCGTAGTGTGCCGGACGAAATCGGTTACAGATCAGTTTTTTGCATCAGTTGAGGTAAGGTCCGGCTCAAGTCTTATTGATACATAAATATACAATAATGAGATAACATAATGTAATTTCGGTTTTGACCGATGATGTAACAAAAATACATACATATTTATACATAAATAATCGTACTTTACTTAACAGTAATAGTCTACAAAAAAATCACACATTTCCAGTTAAAAAATAAAAAGGTACAATAAATCCCTATGAGATGAGGAGAAAATGAAACCATTGGTAGAATATAGAGCGATAAAGCGCGCCAACAATGCGTTACAATAAGATTATGTTAAATAAACTCGTAGGAATATATCGGCAAAATGAAAGCAAGTCCACTAAGATACAGATTTGTGCAAGTGGAGAGGACTCCAAACTCACAAAAAATGAATAAATACTTAAACACTAGAATAAATAGCCCCCGGCGGAGCGTTGATATGTCCGATCCATCACAAGTACGCGCACGACGAGCACTGGGGCAAAGCCCCATCATCAAACTAATGTCTCGGTTCCTTCTCCTTGCCGATCATCATCGACTTGAGATGCTCCACCTCGGATGATAACCTCACAATTTCCGAGTGGATTCTATGCTTGGCTTCGGCGTCGCCCCCAGCAGCCTCCTGGATAGCCTGAAGATGCGACTGTTTAAGAGTCTGCAAAGTGGCGGCAGCTTGCGCCGCTTGCGTCGACCATTCCGCCCCCAAAGAGATCCCTGAATCGCGTTCATCACTCGAGCCTTCGGCGTCCCAAGGAGGACTAGCACGTGGCCCCGGTTCCTGTTTAATATTCTGGAGCGAGAGAAGCGTATTGGCGGCGTCTTTATCACCCAAATGCGACTTATGACGCAACTTCAACGGGAGACTGTTGTTGGCTTCAGAGGTAAGAGCCACGGGGGCGCTCTCGTCCCCCGAATTACTCGAAACTTCAAACGGACTCTGGCCTCGTGATCGGGACCGCGCCGAGAGATTGAGGGCATCGTTGGAGTCGTAGTGGACAGTGGGATGGTAGTTGGGGTAGGGATAGGGGTACGCCTCGGGATGGTGGTCTCTATAGGGCGGTTCATGGTGCGACGCGGGCGGGTGCAGAAGCGGGAGGGGCTGTGGTGGAGGCGACCCCAACACCGGTTGGTGGATCACCGGGGTCGGGATTGGACTATGAGGGTTGAAAAGGAGAGGATTTGCCGAATGTGTGAGTTTTTGACGTTTTGTAAGACTAAGTACTTGCTCGTTTGTGGGGAGATTTGCGAGGACTTTCTCGACGCAAACGACGTTTTCCCCACAGATCCCGTACTCTTCCTTGATGGCTTCTAACTGGGCCTTCAAAATGGCGTTTTCTTTAGTTAGTTCAACAACGCGTTGTTCGAGGACCATATCGTTGAAGCGGCGTTTTTCACGGGAACGTTTCGCGGCTTCGTTATTTCGACGCCGACGGTCCCAATAGCTGTCGTCCTTCTTGCTGTCGGGGGTGAATTCGCGTTGTTTCCGTTGGGAGAAGAGTTCTTTGTGTTTGACAGGATTCATGTTGTAGCCGGGAGGGAAGGAGTCGGCACCGGGAGACGACGACGATGAGAGGAGCTCCCGTCCGTGGCTGGCAGGCATATTTGAGTTTAGTTGTGGAATTTCACCATTTACTGGAGATCCACTTTGACCTCGGCCCACGAATTCGGCAACCATTATACGCTGCTTTAATACATCTGAAAGAAGAAAAAAAGAAATTGTCTTTCAGTCTTTAATCGGATTAGTGGAAAAATGCCGACCGGTTTTTGCCACAAGTGCAGTCAAGGCCGTCGCGATTCACCTGCCATACCTGCAAGTGCCTAACTAAGTTTTAGTCAAAGCCTTGGAGAGGTCGTTGCCTAAATACGTCGGAATTCCGGAACGGAAATGATTCAGAAGCCATCTGGCTGATATAGAACGGACTAAGACGAATCTAAATTAAGTAATAGGCAATAAGCCACGTGATTAACCCCCGGAAACGTGAGCTTTCGTACCAACAACGTGATATACTTCACGTGTGGACCTTGAAGACACCACATTTCTAAACAATTATCTCTTTTTACGAAATGTCCGAATTCAGGGGAAAAACCAAAAGCGAGCCGCCTTTCCGATAACTAACAAAAAATGACGCATCGGTTTAGTGAAATGATGCGGCGACTTTTAAATAAAATCGATGTTATTTCGTGACGTGGCTACAAATACAAAACAAATTCTTACGAAACTATTCTAAAAATAATTGCCCGACTTATTAAAAAAGACGTAAATCAGATCAATAATCACTGAGTAACTGTAAATCTGTGGAAAAATAAAATTCAACGACAAGTTCGCACAATTGGTTTATTTTTATCCGCACGTGGACTTCGCACCGAACCCGGTCAAAATAAATATTCGTTTTTTCGATTTGTTAACCGTATTACAAACACCTACACGGTGTTCTTATTTATTGGCCGTGATAAGCCGCAAGATACGTATTTAATTTCGTTACGCAATTTTATTATGGTTCCGCTACAACGAGCATAATCGAGAAACAAAAAGGTTGCGGCCATTGCATACAATCATCAACAATTAGAGCGCATTACATTATTTTCGTCCGTTCGATCGATTGATTGATTAATGTCTCCGGTTTTTCCAAATTGACAATTAGAAACAAACTAACGTTCGCAGGAGAGAAGTAGGCTAGTGGAACTCCGAGTTCAAGAATGCTCTGCAATGCCGAGCTCTACACTTATCTCTTATTACATAATGTAATTGCAAAATTATTACTCCAGACATGGCATCAAACGAGGCTTTGTCGGTGATTGTTCACTCATTACTCTTTGTCCCGAAAAATGATTTCTTTGTTTAGTCCTGTGTGTGGATCGAGACCAAGAAAACATATCTCGAAAACACGCAACAAAGTGATTCATTAGAGTTGCCAAAGTGAGCTTGGCGGGAAGACATTCGAGCATCGGGCGCTTTTGGCGCGCGGTTCAAACCCCAAATCAATCAAAATATAGATCAAGTAACGGCGGCAATAAATATTATTAGACCGTATCTGTCACCTAAATGCACGCGAGCGTAACAATGAAGAATTGAAGAAGAAAAAGAAAAGACAGCCCTGGACACTCACCAACTATCAATTGTTGACGTGTAAAGTCCCTGGATTTGTTTAGTTTCGTTGTTAAAAAATCACTATTGAACAATAACAATACACAAACAGTAGCGACACTCAACTACGTCTGTACTCTAAGTGCAACTGGCGAGAACTGAACAGTAAGCGTTCCGAAACTGACTACACTTTGACAGTGGCCGCGTGCTGATCATGATCAGTCGCGACGGGTTAAGGAGGGGGTGGTGGGGGCTACGGAGGACAACACCCTCAGTGAGTCACCAATCAGAGCAGTGACAGGTCACCTTCGTAAGTTACGTAACTTGCTCGTGCCCTCTCGTGTCTTAATATTTGGGACCGCATCAACGTTACGCAATTCCGGTGCAATGATGATTCGTGTAATTCCCCGATGATTTTCGGCGCAAAACAATTAGTCATTGACTGACAAAGGATAATTCTAATGATTTTAAATGAAAGTCAGACGTATCGATCCGAATTCTAAATGTTTTTAACAACTTATCACGCAAAATAAACTTGAGGAGAACCAAGCGGCCAATGTCATCAAAAAATAACAGAACTACGAGATTACGTTGACATAGGTTAGGGATATTGCAACTGCATAAATATCATATTTACAAGTAAAGTTCATGGTTGCCCAGATAGCTTTGCAGTAAAATGTTAAGATTATTGTTGAAAAACACGACGATTTTAAAAGGTTAATATCCTAACTAAACGCGCCATTGTTTGTTCAATTAACTCGACGAAATTCCGAAATTGCGCAACAAATATTTTGCGCGACGTTCACCACCTCCAAGAACCTACTTTTTCTATTGATCTGAGATGTTTTTACGTTTTGTCTTGGAGAAAGCAATAGGAAAGTTCCCATTACTATCACTAATTATTTGCTACAACAATTTTTGCATTTACATTACAAATTGTTGTACCGTTTCTCCAACCACATACCCAAATTTAGTACAGTTAACTGATTTATCAACCCATTTACGTTACAAAACACAAAAACAACAGCAATCTTTACTTAACATCCTCCTGTAATTTCTTAAACTTAAACTTTTCACCCAAAAAAAAAAAACAAAAAAACGGTCGCCTCTTTGTCATCATTTTATTAATAAAATTGCATAACAACAAACAATAGGCGAATAATCTTATCACGAGGAAGTTATAGAAATAATCACTTTGTCTCAATTCTAGAATATTAAAACGAAAAACGTTGTTTCATAACATTACGTTATAATTATCGATGAGCGAGTTTTTCCCGTCACAGGTCGAAATTTCCTGTTTTCAGGTAAAACTGACTAATTGAGAAAAATTCCGGCTCACCGTGCGTATTTCAAACGTAGTAAGAGGTTGACCTCTGAACAAGAGAAGACAAGGTCATCATAATGACCTCTTATTTGTCAGTTCAGTCATTTTCCGGTAACGTTTTTTCCCTATAAAAATCGCGACCTTGAAGCGGTGAACCACCCATTACGAAATTCACGAATTAACCGACGCTTTTACCTTATAATGTAATAAGTCAACCTTCCAAGAAAGTCAAGAACGCAAATTATGTCATCGGTTTTGACTCAAAATCCTTCAATTTCACCCTCGGGCCCCACTGATAAAACAATGACCGATAAAAATGACAGGACGAAAACAACTTTTCCCTTATCTACGTTGCAATCACATCAATAAAATTAAGATGGTAAACAACCAAATTACTAGAAATATTATAATTTAGAAATATGCTGACGCGATAAATCTATTGTTCAATTAATCTGTCTCATTGGAAAATGAATGCTGTTCCTATTGTTTCCACAAATGTTTTTGCTTACTCATGTCATAATTTTCATGTCAGTGGGGTCAGCACCCCCAAAACATAAAAAACTCACCGCGAAACAACGAATTTTTTTTTCTGTTATTTTCCCTCTCTATTTCTCTAATTAAATTTGGTATAATATATCCTTGTCTAACAATGTAGTGCACGATTTGTTTTTTGTCCTCGACTTACAGTAAGTCCTTGAGTGTCGCATTCAGATCAAACCTTCCCGCAATTATTACCTCAAATAAATCTAAGGTTAGCACTTAAACAGAAAGTGCATTTCATTTAATAAATTTAGAATGAAGTGACCTTATCACGACGAGAAAAATGTGTACAATGTCACGATAATAATAGAAAGTTTTTTTTTTTTTTGGAAAGTTTTAATTTTTTTAAAAAGAGGTAAATAATATTGTCAATGCGTGACAATATGCTAACGTAGCCTCAATCAAAAGTGGGCCAAGTTTTCTTCCCGCGAACATGCCATATAAGTGCTATTTAGCCGGTAAAAAATTTGTGAATTTTAATCGTTAACCCCATTCGTCTTCCCCACTCTTGAATTCGCGTTGCAGTTTTAAAAATAATATTTACAGCTCGTCTTGCACCGGCATAAAAATAATCCGACTCAAGGCTGGCCCTAATAAGCGAAAAATAATTTTTATTGTTTGGGTTATCCGGGCAAAAAATTATTTTATTAGGGGTGGAGAACTTTCCCTGATTTTTCTATAAGTTCCCATTGTCGGTTTACCTGGGGGTGTGAAAATTAATCCGTTATCGGGGTGCATCGGTGGCAGGGTGGGCATCATGAAGGGTCCAGGTCCGGCCGGCCTGGCGCTGTGGAGTGACGCAATGATGAGGCTTTCTAATCAGAACCAGAACCAGAACCAGAACCAGAACCAGAACCAGCACAACACCACACATAGAGTTGAAAGCACACACGTCTTAACCGATCAGAAGTCGACTAGGGTATAGTAGTCGTATAGCGCTTTGCAGCAAGTGCAAGCCGTCCGCGAGGATGTAAAAGTACGAGATAGTGACCTACATGGCCGCGAAGTAGTGGCAAAACGAAGAAAGCGGAGAAAGGGACACCAAAAGGAAATGCGGCCGTTACAAGTAATACGTAGTTACGTGAGATTACCACGACATAATATGTTTGTGGCCTCAATTTAGACCGACTTTCGGCCGTACTGCATTCTCGGATAAAAATGAAATCAACTGCTTAGAAACGCTAAATAGGGTTAACCAGAGAGAGTTGCCACTAATTCCTATCATAATAACAATTAAAACATCAACTGATTCGCTTTACATCACACACACAACACGTTTCTCACCACTAAAACACAATTAAACTATTCAAAATCGGACAAAATCGCCCCTATTAAGTTGCAGAAATTACCAATTGCAATTTTACAAAACTTGACTCACCTGGTATAACATTTTGAAATTAAAAACGGAAACAGTTTTTTTAATTCTTGTAATACTAAAAAGCCTTGGAAATACAAAAATGTTAACTCTAAAATATTTTTGAACAATTTATGTAAAGAAAAACAAGATATTTTTTTTTCGGTGCCTCCACCATATTTTCTTCAGTTTTTGTGTACAGTTGCTACTAATTCCTATTGTAATAACGGTTCAAACATCCAACTGATTTCATCACCAACGCCTGTAACACTTACCACACTTTTCATGCAACTCTTCTAAAACTCTTTTATTTCACCCCCTTTTCCAAAAACATAAAAATCATGTCCCATTTTAAGGCATTAAAAAATACAATTAAACTATTAAAAATTGGACAGTCTTCTTTTATTTGAAAAAATTTTTTGCAATTTTATTTTAATTAGACAGAGGTGTTTTGGGGGTGCGGATAAAAGTTGGTACACTTTAATCTAGTTTTCACCAAAAATTGAACACTGTCCATTATAAGTATTTTGAAATTAAAAACAGTCACATTTTTTTTAATTCTTGTAATACTAAAAAGCCTAAAAATCTGACCTGACCTAGCTGACTTCATTATAGCCTTTGAAATACAAAAATATTATCATTTAAGGAAATTGAAAATAAAATTAATGCAAAAGATTTTTTTGGAAAACACAAAATAGTTTTAAAATACAGTTTTAGCGGACGAGGCGAAGCCGAGTCTGGCATATCAGATAGGTTCTCAGGTACGTGTTACAAAATTTTTTGTTAAAGTTCCCAAAAACACATTCAAATCTCTTATTATGTGTGATTAATTTTTCGAAAATAGTGACTAAAAATAACAATAGTACTATCCGAAAAAAACTCGTTTTATGGACTTAAATGAGTACGTAAAATATTATTTTTGGGACCGTATACAAATTAATTTAAGTACGGAAATTTAACATAAAAACACAAAAAAGCAAAATTCCAAATAAAATAAGATACCAGGAACATGAAAAAACTGTTAAAAAATCCTTTCTATAAAAATTTTGAAGTTATGAGAGTTTAAATTTTGCACTTTGACTCTATTTTTGTTGGAAAAATAATATTACATGATCTATGTCCCATTAAAAATACAATTAAACAAAATCTTCTTCTGTTTGAAAAAATCCCCAACGATTTTCTTGCAACTAGAAAGAGGTGTTTTAAGGGTGAGGATAAAACTTCGTACACTTATTTTTATATTTTAAAATTAAAAACAGAAACATTTTTTAAAATTCTTGTAATACTAAAAAACCTAAAAACCTGACCTGACCTAGCTGACTACATTATAGTCTTTGAAATGCAAAAATATTATCATTTAAGGGAATTGAAAATAAAATTAATGCAAAACACCTTTTTGGAAAACACGAAATAGTTTTCTTTTATTATAAGTACTTAAAACACAGTTTTAGCGGACGAGGCGAAGCCGAGTCTGGAATATCAGATGGGTTCTCAAGAACTTTTTAGTTACGTGTTACAAAATTTTTTGTTAAAGTTCCCAAAAACACATTCAAATCTCTTATTGTGTGATTAATTTTCCGAAAATAGTGATTAAAAATAACAATAGTACTATCAAAAAAAAACATTTTATGGACTTAAATGAGTTCGTAAAATAGTATTTTTGGGACTGTATACAAATTAATTTAAGTACGGAAATGTAACATAAAAACACAAAAAAAGCAAAATGCCAAGTAAAATAAGATACCAGGAACATGAAAAAACTGTTAAAAAATTCTTTCTATAAAAATTTTGAAGTAATGAGAGTTTAAATTTTGCACTTTGACTCTATTTTTGTTGGAAAAATAATATTACATGATCTATGTCCCATTTTAAGGCTTTTAAAAAATACAATTAAACAAAATCTTCTTCTGTTTGAAAAAATCCCCAACGATTTTCTTGCAACTAGAAAGGGTGAGGATAAAACTTCGTACACTTATTTTTATATTTTAAAACTAAAAACAGATTTTTTTTTAATTCTTGTAATACTAAAAAACCTGTCCTGACGTAGCAGACTACATTATTATAGTCTTTGAAATGCAAAAATATTATCATTTAAGGAAATTGAAAATAAAATTAATGCAAAAGACTTTTTTGGAAAACACGAAATAGTTTTTTTTTATTATAAGTACTTAAAACACAGTTTTAGCGGCCGAGGCGAAGCCGAGTCTGGAATATCAGATGGGTTCTCAAGAACTTTTTAGATACGTGTTACAAAATTTTTTGTTAAAGTTCCCAAAAACACATTCAAATCTCTTATTATGTGTGATTAATTTTTCGAAAATAGTGATTAAAAATATCAATAGTACTATCCGAAAAAAACTCGTTTTATGGACTTTAATGAATTCGTAAAATATTATTTTTGGGACCGTATAACCGTAATTTAAGTACGGAAATTTAACATAAAAACACAAAAACACAAAATTCCAAGTAAAATAAGATATCAGGAACATGAAAAAACTGTTAAAAAAATCCTTTCTATAAAAATTTTGAAGTTATGAGAGTTTAAATTTTGCACTTTGACTCTATTTTTGTTGGATAAATAATATTACATGAGCTTTGTCCCATTTTAAAACTTTAAAAAATACAATTAAACTAATAAAAATTGGACAAAACCTTCTTCTATTTGAAAACGATTTTTTTGCAATTTTATTTTAATTAGAAAGAGGTGTTTTGGGGGGTGAGGATAAAACTTCGTACACTTTAATCTAGTTTTTACCAAAAATTGAGCACTCTGTCCAT